CATCCTGAGCCTGAGCATGCTCAACCAACTACCCAAACTCGCTGACCACCTTACTCAAATGATAACAAAATCGTGTTCGTAACGTCGTCACATGACGAACACAAGATAAAGCATCCGCCACCACATTTGATTTTCCCAGACGATGCTCAATAGGAAACTCCCCAAACTCCATGAGTTTGACCATCCAACGAGCTTGCCTAGTGTTCAACTCCTTCTGTGTGAAGAGATACACAAGTGGTTTGTGATCTGTCAACACCACAAACACTGCACCATAAAGATAGTGCCGCCACGTCCGTAAAGCATGAACAATAGAGAGTAACTCTTGCTCATATGTGGAATAGCATTGCTCGGCGGAATTCAAAGTTCGACTCTCATATACAATAGGCTGTCCCTCTTGCATGAGAACTCCTCCCAGTGCATAACCACTCGCATCGCATGTCACCTCGTAAGGTTTCGATGGATCAGCAATGCAAAGCACTGGAGCCTCGCTCAACAATCGTTTCAGCGCCACAAAACTCTCCTCTTGTGGCGTCTTCCACTCGAATGGCACATTCTTGTGTAACATCCGCGTCAAAGGAATAGCCACCTCTGCAAACTTATGCTGGAAACGTCGGTAGTAACTAGCCATACCAAGAAAACTGCGCAACTCGGCCACTGTAGTCAGTGTAGGCCAGTTTTCCACTACAGCCACCTTCCTTGGATCTGTCTTGACACCCTTAAATGTCACAATATGGCCTAAATATTCCACTTCCGACTTTGCAAATTCACATTTGCTCTTCTTCGCATAAAGTTTGTTGTTTCAAAGTAACAAAAGAACCTTGCGCAAATGCACCCTATGCTCCTCCATATTCTTGCTAAAAACAAGAATATTGTCCAAGAAAATCTCCACAAACTCATGAAGATAACGCCCAAATACCTCCATCATCAACCGAGTAAATGTGGCTGGTGCATTCGTCAAACCAAACGGCATAACTGTAAACTCAAAATGTCCGAAGTTTGTGTTGAATGCCGTCTTGGAGATAGATGCATCATCCATTGCAATCTGATGATATCCACTCCTCAGATCAATCTTGGTAAACACTCGTGTTTCACCAAGCTTGTCTAGGATATCATCCACACATGGCATCGGCATCTTATCCTTCACTGTCTTCTTGTTCAAAGCGCAGTAGTCAATACACATTCACATTGAACCGTCCTTTTTTTTCACAAACAAGACCGGAGCACCAAACGGAGACTTACTTGGCTGAATAAATCCAAACTCAAGTAACTCCTTGACTTGTCGTTGAACTTCTTGCTCCTCCACATAACTTAACTGAAATGGACATCGGTAAATTGGCCGCATCCCCGGCTCCAATGTAATCCCATGCTCCACACCTCGTAATGGAGGCAATCCATGAGGAAGTTCAGATGGAAAAACATCAGAAAACTCATCAAGTACATCCCGTATTGTTGCTTCTCCCCCACACGTGCCTTGGTCCCCCAAGTCACGAACAAACAGCAAGTAACTTGAAAGTGTTTTTCCATTACGACAAGCCCGCTTCAAAGATGTAGCAGAGAGCATAACAACTGGTGGTTGAACGCCCTCACCAAACCACACATCTTTAACGCCACCATACTCCAGCGAGATATGCTTAATGCTCCACTTTATCTCTGGATCCACCTTCACCAACCATGGCATCCCAAGAATGAGATCCACACGATGGATATCCGCGAGATAAAAAGCCTCCACAATGCCAACCAACACTTCCAGCCTCTCGACACAAGTATCAAAATGCTGAGCAGAGGTAGTTGCACCTTCCACTGTGTATGGAAGAACTCCACGTGTGTTCAGGTGATGCTCCGCAACAAACTTTGCCGAAACAAAGTTGTCATCGCTCCCACTATCTAGTAAAATCCGCACTGGATCGCCACGGAACACGCCCTCCAGCATTAAAGCTGATTCACGCGTATCCTCGAGCTCCATCTTGTTCCACACACAGTTGAGTTGACGAGCAACAATCAAAAGTCTCTTCCTCCGACCGGAATGGTCGTTCTCGTCATCCTCACACTGTAAAGCTTGCAACTTTTTAGTATCTGACTTACCGTGAGAAGATGATTGGCCATTCTTCTTGTCCTACTGCTTGTTCTTCAACTGCAGACAATCAGCCTTGTAGTGTCCAAGTTCGCCGCAATGATGACAACCCTGTCTATAATTCTTCACAAAGAACTTCTGCTTCTTGGACCCCTTTGCATTTGAAGTAGTCACCACCGACTTCAACTTGTGATGCTTGTTCCCATCCTTGTGTCCACGGCGATCATCACAATGATTCTCGACAGAAGGACTCCGCGAACGCTTGCAAGACTTGTGCTTGTCATTGTCAAGTCGACGAGCCGCATCAAAGAGCTCCTCCAAACTCTTTGTAGGCTGAGAATGACGCAAGTGTTGCTGCATGCTCTCACTATGTAGGCCATCAATGAAGTAGGACTTGTTCTGATCTGGATCCTTCATTGGAACACGACTAATCAAACGAGTAAGCTTCTCGATATAATCCCCGAGCGTCATTTTCCCTTGCTGGAAATGGCGAAGTTCTGTACGAGCATTCTCCACGTCGTAATGAGGGGCAAAACGTAAACGGAAAGCAGCCTCAAACTCATCCATGGTAGACACTGGTGGTTTCTTATCCGCAACACGGGACTCCTCAAGCCAATTCCACCATCGAAGACCCGCATCACGCAAAACCATCGGAATAGCCACTAAAGCCTCTGCATCTGGAATTCCTCTAGCAGCCAAGAACTTCTTCACATTGGCTAGCCAAGCGAGACACTCGTCCACACCACCATCACCGGAAAAGGTTGGAATCTTGAGTCGATCTACCAAAGAAGGCTTACTTGGAGCGCTACTCTGTCCAGCCTCGAGTGCCTCAACACACCCACACATGGTATCCATCATGCCATGCATCTCGTCTTGCATCTCTTGCTGATTTCGATTAAGGGCTCGTAGCTCATGAACCACATCTTGAATGGTCCAAATCTCTGCAGCTTCGTCGGCACCATCGTCGGCACTACCATCGACAATAGGATTCCAGCATTCAGCTTGGTCGGCCATCGCAACCAATCCTCTGATACCAATGTTATGATCCAGCACAAAAAGACAAAGATCTAGTTGCCCTAGACTATGCTACGCCACCTCTTGAGGTTCCTCACCACCCAACCACCCCCGAGCTACCTCAAAAGCTCCACTGCACCGCCGCTCCACTATGAGCCCTAGGGTAGGTTAAGTCCCTTACCCTAACGTGCCTTAATATACCCTTGAGCCTCCTTTTGACCGACGTTGATCACGTAGTCAAAGCTGGCACCTAACATTATCCATCTTGTGAATCAACATGAGAGCCTCTTGGTAATCTTACACATACTCATAAGCTTGTCACAGAGTATGAGAATCAAAATAAAGAATAGTTTTTGCAAATCTTTCACTAAATCTTGCAAATCAATAAAGTAATATATATTTCTATAAACTCAAAAGTTTCATTTCTCTTGTTCGATAGTTCTTGGGTCAATTTTGGTAGGTTAACTTTGACACTCCTGACGTTCCTCCAGATCCTGGCCCGTCTACAAGAGAACCCTAATGGTTTTCCATTATTCTGATGATGTAAAGGCCACGTGTATGGCTATAATGCCGTATACTAATATTAACGTAGTGGGATTTTGGTAGCCGTCGGATTGGTTTCAATCCAGACCATTCGCTTCTGTATATAAGTTAGGGTTTTTGGGTTGATATGCATATTTCTATATTCCCTTTCCATATTCCAAGCACTCACAACTAAAGTTTAATTTTATATATAATAATATATAAAGTATTATTATTATTTCATTACCAGTTGGTTTGGGGTCCAAATCCAATGCCTAGGCACAAAACAATAAAGAAAAAACCTTGCAATTGCCTGCCCCTGGGCAGACAGGAAGAAATCATCGCCCACCCTGTACTGCCTCAGAAATCACAAACTGGGCAGACACAACAAGATGATGGGATGGGGAGTTTGGGAAGCAATGTGTGGATGTGATCCCCTAACTCACAAGGCTCCACTCTTTCTTTGCACTCTTGGATTTGGGGAAGAGGAGCTGGGCGACGAGGAGCTGCTGGATACGATGGAAGTGTTCATGAACGAGTCTTACCTCACCACTCTTCCCCACGGACCATGCTTTAGCACCAGCGTTGTGTTCGTCAGGCTCTGGCATGGGACGAAAGCTCTTGGAGGGAGATGAGCCTGCTCATCACTACAAGCTCCACGTCTGTGCTTCGCCTTACAGCACAAACGATTGGGTCTGGCCTATACAGGTATCTGTATCATACCTGGTGCCAAACGAGTAAGAAGATTCCAGAGTAAAATTTTCATGAGTTTTTTGCTATTTCAGTTTCTTTCATGTTCCCTATCCAACCATCAGCGAAATATATAATGCAGTCGATTTCCATTGCAAGCATTTATGTTCAAGTGTTTCCAAGGCTTCACGAGCTGCTAGATGATTACAACCAGGCCAAGCTTGGGGCTACTTTCCTAAACTTTCTAGAGCTCTGGAAACTAAGCGGCATACCTCGTTGGCATGCTCGACCACCCTTCCGATTTAAGCATTATATAAAAAAAATTTGGCGCGCTACCAAGAGCCCTAAAAACAAGGATTAGGTTCTTGCAAGAAAATGGAATGGAATGAAGAGAAGGCGCTGGATCCAGCGGTCTTTCCTCCACACCGATGCGATTCCTCCCGCATTCTTCGTCAAGGGCCACTCTGCGAAGAAGGCATTCAACAAAGACGCCGGGATCCGGGAAGAATGCCGCAAGGGGGTCCAGTCGACGCTCAATCTCCTCGAGCAGGGGCAGATCGCCGAGAGCCAGGCTATCTACGCGGCGCTCCTTCGCGACAGCGGTTTCGCGCGGGCGCTGGAAGAGGGCAAACGAATCCACTCCAAAATCTCCTCCTCGATCTCCCATTCGCGCAATCGATTTCTTCTCAATCTCCTCGTCCAGATGTACGCGCAGTGCGGCGATCTACAATCGGCGCGCGAGGTCTTTGATTCCATCCCGGATCAAAATCTCTACTCGTGGAACATCCTCTTCTCTGGCTATGCCCAAAACGGGCATCTCGATCTAGCAGTGGAAATCTTCCACCACATCCCGCGCAAGAACATCGTCTCCTGGAATGCGATGCTCCAAGCGTTCGTCCAGGGCGATCGAATCCGCGAGGCCAGGGATCTCTTCGATCGGATGCGCGAGCGCGACATCGTCAGCTGGAATTCGATCGTCACAGGCTATGCCCGGTTGGGGCATCTGGGCGAGTGCTGCGATCTCTTCCACCAGATGCCCGAGAAGAACACGATCTCCTGGAACGCAATGGTATCCGCCAGCGCCCAGAATGGCCACGCCAAGCTCGCGCTAGGGTTCTTCCGGGCGATGGATCTCGAGGGCTTCCTCCCGGATCGTGTCACTGCCGCGGGTGTGATCAGCGCATGCTCCTCGCTGGGGGATCTCTGGGAGGGCCGATCGATCCACGAATCCCTCGCAGCGGTTGGATTGGAGCGCGAGGCCATTGTCGTGACCTCGCTCGTCAATTTCTACGGCAAATGCGGGAGCTTGGAGGAGGTGGAGGCCCTCCTGCCGTGGATGCCGTCCAACAACATGGTGGGATGGACGGCGGCGATCACGGCGTACGGGCATCACGGCTGGTTGCGGGATGCGCGGGGCATATTCGACGCGCTGCCTGTCCGCGTGGCAGCCACGTGGAACGCCATGCTGTCGGCATATGCCCAGAACGGGCAGCTAACGCAAGCCCTAGGCCTCTTCCGTGAGATGGACTTGGACGGGGTACGCCCCAACGTCATCACCATCATCGCGATCCTTGACGCGTGTCTCAACGCCTCAGCACTCAACGATGGGATCCTTGTCCACGAAAGCATCAAGTGTACGGACCTAGCGTCCGACCCGGCTGTCCGTACCGGCATGCTCAACATGTACGCTAAATGCGGCAACCTCCGGCGGGCTGCTGACGTGTTCGCCGGAATGTCCCGTCCCAACGTCGTGGCGTGGAACGCGATCCTGTCGGCACATACCCAGGCCGGCTGCAACGTGGCGGCCATAGAACTCTTCCACGTCATGCTTCTGGAAGGAAATGTCCCCGACGGGATCAGCTTCTTGAGCCTGCTGTCGGCATGCAGCCACGCTGGTCGGCTGGAAGACGGCATCGGTTACTTCGTGTCGCTCCAGCGGGACTTCGGGATCGTGCCGGAGGTCAGCCTGTTTGGGTGCGTGGTGGATTTGCTGGCGCGCGGGGGGTGGCTGGAGATTTGCGAGGAGCTCATCGAGACAATGCCGGCGAGCGCGGATGTGGTGGCGTGGATCTCGCTCGTCGGCGGGTGTAAAGTCTTTGGGGATTTCAAGCGCGCGGCCAGGGCGGCAGAGAGGGCGTTTGTGATGGATCCCGAGAACTCGGCGCCGTACATGCTATTGTCAAGCATGTACGGCAGTGCCAGGAACAAGGAGGACGCGGAGGTGGCGCTCCGGGCCATGGAAGCCGTCAAGCCAAAGAGCATGCGCTCTTAAACTACTCACAAGAAGAGAAACCAATTTTTTCAGAAGAGATCGAAGAAAATGATCAAAACTTACAAAATTATCTGTGACTTCCATCACCATCATCGCCCAGGAAAATCTCGCGAGCTTCACCACACTTTGCATACATGACCTCGAGAGCTCGCGTCACAGACACGTCCGAGTCGTAGAAGAGTCTCTCGGCTTCACGCTGAATGGACACGCCTGTTTGAAGCAACGCAGCCTTCTCTCTGGAGCTCTCCTCGGCTGCCCCGAGTCTTGCACAGGCCGTGAGCGCGGCGACGAGAGTTTTGGCGTTAGGAGAGCACAGCCTCTGCCGTATCATCATCTGGAACAAGTCGAGAGCGAGCTGGGATTCACCATTCTCCTCGTATCCCAGCATGAGAGCGTTCCACGAGACCACAGTCGGGCTCTCGATCGAATCAAACACAGACTTTGCCTCCACTGTTCTTCCACATCTCGAGTAAGCGTCGATCAAGCTGTTCTCGACGACAGCCCCAGCGTTGTCGTAGCAACCAGCCTCCAGAAACCGAGAGTGGAATTCCTGGACCCTCTCCAAGCTCGAGCAAGCCGTCAAGGCCGCCACGAAAGTCCCAGAGTGGAGCTTGCAAACGCCTTGAGCCGCCATAGCCGAGAAGATCTCCAGAGCTAGCTCGGCTTCGTTGTTGTCTGTGTATCCCAGAATGAGGCTCGTCCAAGACACAGCATCGTGGTCTTTCATCCTGTCGAAAGCTCGCCGAGCGTCCAGCATGGACGAGCACTTGGAATACGCTTCGACGAGTGATGTTTCCCACGAAGAGATCTAGCTGATCACAGCTGTTCTTCCCGGACGCCAAGCAGTGAACTTCCATGCTTCTCTCAAGGCTCTCGATCTTCACAAGTCCTCCCACCTTCCGCTCTTCTTTCATAGCCTTGCGAGAGCACGCCGTGAGAGCAGTCACGTAGACTCTCGGGTTTATCAGCAGCTCGCAGCTTCGATGGATCCAGTCGAAGAGATCGAGAGCCAAGTCGATCTCACCACTTTCCACAGATCCGACCATTAGAGAATTCCACGAGATCACGTCGTGATGCATCATCCTGTCAAACACTGTTCTTGCGTCCAGAACGCTCCCACACTTTCCATACATGTCCACCAGCGAGTTCTGCACGAAAATCTCTCCCAAGTGACCACCTTTCACTGCTCGCGAGTGAATTTCCATCCCCTTTTCCAGGCTCATAACTTTGATCTCTTTCCCATCGATCTCCTGTCCCTGTTCTTCGCCAGCCATGCCCGAGCAAGCCGTGAGCCCCGCTACATAGCTCCGAGCATTTGCTTCGCGGTCCATCGCGAAGAAAAACTCCAAAGCCAGCTTGCTATCCCTGTTTCTCGCGTATCCCATCACCAGAGAGTTCCACAGCGCCACGTCTGGATTTGCCAAGTTCTCAAAGATCCTGCGAGCCTCCGCCATGCTTCCACAGCTCGAGTACATGTCCACGGCAGCGGTGGCCACGAAATTGCTAGAAAGATCTCCAATCCCAGCAGCGTCGTCGTGAATTCTTCTGCCAAGCTCGAGCTCTCTCGCCATGCTGCACGCCTTGAATGCCACGAGGAAGGTGAAAACGTTTGGACCGCCTACCTCGCTGAAGAAATCCCTCCTCCTCGCGCCAGAACATGATCGATGACACCACTGCGATGGAATCGTTGAGGAATCCCAGCCTACATTCGCGAAGGCGTGGATCGCTCGCTCCTTGGCGCGGCATTGCCTCATTCGCCATAAACCCTAACCCCTGTTTGCCTGACCTAAACTTCAGAATTATTGACCAATGCGACAAATTTTACCGCGCTTTTTCATCTCCGTGATCGTCTGCTGGAATCGGCGGTCAAGTGTTGTATAAGTTCGCCACATATGTTCCCATCTCTCCCTCGATCAAGTCGATCCATCGACGAGAGGAAAGATTTTGGAGCAAAGACGCATTTGGGCGACACTCGATTGATCAAAGTAAGTCGCCCACATCGATCACTTCACGCTTTCTCTTCCAGCTTCGCCCACATCGATCAATCTCTTCTTCTCGCCCACCACAAATGCCTTTGTCATTCATGCGAACATGTTTTTATAAATCCCAAACAGGATTGGACAGACCATAAACAGCAATATACAGCAAAAACTTACGGGATGTAGAAGTGTGCTTTTTACGTCGAATAGATAATTAGCACTGTCCAAAATGCATTCCTATGTCTTCTGCAATACTTCCAACCTTGCTCTCCATCTGTCATACATATGCACATGTAAAGTCAACCTAGTCAAATAAAAGTCAACAAAAAAGTAACTGTTTGTGTCAGCTTTTAACGGCTGGTCTATCTGGAATACATTGCTAGTGCAAGGCCATAAATAATGCTAATCATAAGAGTAATGTTAGTTTACTTTTAGATTAATAACGTGTTTTAAAATGCTTGCATTCACACTTAAAAGGTATTACTAAATAACCTGTAAGCCTTCAGAGAGTGGCAACACGATGATCCCATGGTGAGCTCGTGCTGCTGTATGAGTCCACTGGATTGCTCACCAGCCCAGGAGATTTTGCTGCGGTCGAGCAGCTCTTTGGTTTCTGGGCTGGATCCCCCCGAGTGGTGCTGGACAGAGCCGATGATCCGGACTGATTGTGCCAGTTCCAGGCTGCTTTGCTTGAGGCCGGAAGGAGAAGTGCGTGGATATTTAAGACAAAACCTGAAACGCTTCAGCCATATCTCCATTTTGAGCCTTTTGATCCAGAGTACAAGGTGGCAGCTGTGGTTTGTGCATCTGCACACGTAAAGAGGACGCTGGCAATTGGTGCCAAGTATGAGCCGTATAAATATCAGCAAGGATAACAATCTGTGTGAAGTTTGTGTATCTTGTGTATAGCCTCCTGGCGTCACGAGAGGTGAAGAACCTCGATTTTCGTTCCAAGTGATTGGATCCCAGTGCTGTGATGGCAACTTCCAGGAGGTTGGAGATATCACCACAGAGACATTGGGATACTATGTGGCCAAGGATTGTCCAAACTCACCAAGTTCTTGCTCCGATGCTATGGGAGTGGCTCGTGATGGTTCTGTGGTGATGTACCCAGAGATCCAGGCACAATGAACTGCTGCAGCACATTCAAGATGTAGTGGAGAACACTTGGGTTAGGGATGAAATGTTTTGATGGTCCATCATGAACAATTTGAGCAAATCATTTAATTTAGGTTTTATAATTACTACTTTTTATCATATTTATTGAAATTGATTCAATTGATTCAATGAAATTGATATTGATATATCAAAGTGACATTGGTGGGGTATTAATATATTGCATAAAATATAGAGTAATATCAATATCCTGCTTTAAAATATAGTATGACATATTCAAAAGCCATAAAAAAATGAACATTTTAAATTAATCACTGATTTTCATTGAATTTCATTTAAATTGAATTGAAATTGAAATGAAAATCAATGAAATGAAATTGATTCAATGAAATTTTAATGATCAATTTTATTTTATTGTGACTTTTGAAATTCAATTGATTTTCATTAATTTATGATTTCATAGCACTTGGTGTTTTGATAGTTCACTATGAATAATTTGAATAAATCATCTAACTTAAGTTTCATAATTACTATTTTTCATCACATTTATTCAAGTGGATACCAAGGAAACTAAAATTCTTTAGTGTCAAGAATTAAATAGATCTTGACATTCATTTTGCAAAGCTTATTGAAATTTAAATTTTTTTGTTACAAAATATAAGTTTAAATTCCTTTAATAATTATGTACATGAATTTGTCAGTAAAAATTATATATTCCAATTGCATTTCTAAAAGTTGTTATGTTCTTAGTAGAGTCTCATTTAGTAACTATTGATATTTTTCAAAAATCCCATCAACGTAAGGGCATTTGATGAAACTTTTGAGATTAACACCCATGTCAATAGTTCCTTAATATTTTATTTAGAAATGGAATTAGAATGTGTATTTTTTATAAATGACTTCATGTAAATAATTACTAAAGGAATTAAAATTTACACTTTTTTAATAAACATTATATAAAATTCAATAAAATATCATTAATTCATTGAAATTTTAATGATCAATTTCATTTCATTGTGACTTTAAAATTTCATTTATTTAATTTTAATCATATTAACTTTTATTTTATTTCAATAAAATTGATATTGATATATCAATTTAATATTGGAGAGGTATTGATATATTATATGAAATACAGAGCAATATTAATATCCTACTTTAGAATATAGTATGATATATTTAAGAGCCATGAAAAATGAACATTTCAAATTGATTATTGATTTTTATTGAATTTCATCTAAATTGAATTAAAATTGAAATAAAAATCAATGAAATTGATTCAATAAAATTTTAATGATCAATTTTATTTTATTGTGACTTTTGAAATCTCATTGATTTCATTTCAATCAAATTGACTTTTATTTTATTTCAATGAAATTAATATTGACATATCAATGTGAAATTCACAAGGTATTAATATATTACATGAAATAAACAGCAATATCAATATTTTGCTTTAGAACATAACACAACATATTCAAAAGCCATGAAAAAATGAAATACATACTTATATTAAATGAAAAGATTTTGAGAAACTAGAAAGATTTGTTGTATTTGGTGATGCTGTCGCTAAAGCAAGCCTCAATGATCAATCAACAAAGGCTACTATTTGATAATGATGCCATGGTCTATAGAAAGCCCATCATTCAGTATCACCCAGTTGCTACTTCCCGCAGGATTGCCCAGAACTGTGGGAAGCTCGAAGGTTGGAGCAGAAGGGATGTTCTTTTCCTTGCACATCTTTAGCCAGGCATCCAGCAGTCTTTCCCAATAAGCTAGCGTCACAGCTGCTTGAATTTCAGATGCAAGAGTATCCAACGCCCAATATTGGCATATCCTACACACAGCAGCACATTATTACTCCAAGTGCAAGTATCACCAGCGATGGATACTTACCACAGTAAGCTCTGAATCCGTTTCTTCACGAGTTTTGATTAAGACGGTCTGAAGAGCTTTACGTTCCTTTTTTCATTACTTTCACTTGGTGTTGAGCACCCAGCAGCTTTTTTAGTCCCATCTGCGTGACAGTAATAGAATGGATTAGCATTACGTACATGAGCGCAGAAACACACCTCCAAAAGCTCCAGAACTGAAGTCGGAGTGACGTGAAAATGCCGTTGCTGCTTGTGCGAAATGCTGAACAAAATAGAATGACTGTGTGCAGATTTCTCTTGTATTGCTCCACCATGTAAATTCCACCTGTGTGCCTGCTACTCCTGCCTTTTTAGCACGGACCCTCGCGGGGTAAAGGTTTGGCACCTGAAAGCAAACCAGAAAAGCTTGAGGGCATTTGGAGACTGCTTACGGCTAGTCCATACCTCTCCAGTGTTCAAAATACTATTTATATCTTGGAGAAATATTAATTGAGGATCACTGAAAGCATTGTTATCACCTTTCAAAACCACCTGCAAAGTTCATTCACTGAACACAGTACAAAAAGGAAAGCAAGAAAGAAAGAGAAAAGAGACAAACCTTCAGCATATAAGCTGCCATGGAAGTGGCCAGTTTAGTGAGAGATTGGCGGCCTACTCCTCCCACTTCTGCTAGCAAAGCATTCCCATACGGCTGTCGAAGAATACGTCTGATATATAGAGCCAAGACAAGAGGATTTCTCGTTTGAGAGTTGAGCTCAGCGACTCGCTCCTCCACAATCGTTGCATCTTCATACCTGTGACAGAGCTTGTTAACCGGAGTGCGGAATGCCAACGAAGATTGCAATGCACACATACCTCTTCGGAAAGTTTGTTGTATCCATTCGGATGGAATTGGCATAGCCGAAAACGTAGTCGCATTTGAGCTGCAAACGAGACTCAATCATGTTTTGGTCCTCGTCACCTGCACAGATCTCCCATATTGTATGCATAGTGAGGCTCTGGTGGCGTAAACAGCTGCTCCTTTTGTTGGATACATCGATAAATGTCGATCGTCCCAAGAGCAAGGTTCAGAATGCCACTTATCTGTATGCAGCATGAAGCCAAGGCAACGGCTGCTGGAAAGTAGAAATGAGACGACTTACAAGATATAAGGCTTCCATTTCCTCCCAGGAAGAATCGCATCTAGCAAAGGAAGTATCTGAAAAGATGTGGTCCAGTTGTTATAGCCTTGCAGAACCAAAATAGACATCACCTGGAGCTAAGAGTTCCCGGAAAGGATCGCATCTATCAAAGAAAGTCGACCATAGCTTTATGCCATGGTCCTCGTGGCCTTCGTCGCATCCTGTTCCATATATCCATGCTCAAAATCGAAAACTTGCAGGAAAACTTACCCCGGGCATCGGAAAGAGCTGGAACAACGTTAGTGTTGCTCTGGGGATTCCCAAAGTCGTCTTTATCTCTGGATCGGGAGGAATCGAAGAAAGGGAAATCTGTAAATACCTCTTCTTCCAGTGCTGTCGTGCTTTCTCCCATTCTAGCGACGAAAGATTGGTGCGCAGCAAGGTGCATGCGATCCGAAAGAACCAGCTGCAGTGGGGAAGATTGGCTATGGTAGTAAAGAAGAATCAATCTCTTACCATTTTCTGAAAGGCGGCGACTTCAGGGACTGCGCCGGGGATTTCCGATGCCGCATTCTTCTTTATAGCTAGATCGGGTCGAGTTCTTCCCGATCCGAGGGAAAATCGTCACAAAGATCAAAATCGGGGAAATCTCGGAATACCTCTTCCTCCAGGGCTCGATTCGTCACTCCTTCCATTCTTTTTCGTGAAAGATTGGGAGACAAGTGGTGCTCGACAAGTAAAGCCCTAAACCTTTGGAGGGAATCTTCTCGTCTTTAAATTGTATCATGCGACGAAGTTAATAAAGTAGATCCTATTTAACATCCAAGAAATTAGGGCTCCTGCGGGCGCATAGATGATCATGGAGGGGAAGAAAGCGCAGGGGCGCTGCAGAATATCTATGTGTGCGATCGCCTGGCCCAAGACCTCCTCAATCATCCGCAGACGCCGGAGTTGTGCACCTGGGCGGACAAGAAGAAGTCGTCGGCTGCCCTCTACTGCCTCAGCAATCACAAATTGGGCAGGCAGGACGAGATGCTGGGATGGGGAATCTGGGAAGCAATGTGTGGATGCGATGCCATAACTCGCAAGGCTCCACACTTTGTTCGCGCTCTTGGATTCAGAGAAGAAGAGGAGCTGGGCGAGGAGGAGCTGCTGGACGCGATGGTGGTGTTCATGCACGCGTCTTGCCTCGCCACATTTTCCGGACGGGCCGTGGTTTAGCACCAGCGTTGTGTTTGTGACGGGGAGCCAGCGCTTCTACCAGGCTTTGCCACGGGACGAGAACTCGCCTGCTCATCACTTACGAGCTCCAAGTCTGTGCTTCGCCTTACAGGGCAAACTATCGGGTCTGGCCCGTTCTTCCTGACCACACCGAGCCCGTGGAGCAGTGTATCATGCCCGGTGCCAGGCGAAGCAAGAAGATCCCAGAGTAAAAACATTCCGGTCTCTTTCCTTCTTTTGTTTCTTTTTCATATTGTTTGCTTGTTTTTCTCAGGTTTGGAACTCCCTTTCGTGTTCCCTGTCCGACTATACGCGAAATCTACAATGGTGAATGCTGTCGATTGCCAGGGTAAGCGTTTCTAATCAATTATTTCATTGCAAGTTTTTCCACCACCTTCTAACAGGCTTCATGAGCTGCTGGATGTTTACGGCCAGGCCAAGCTTGATCTTCCTGCAGAAGCTGCCTTGGATAGAGTAAGAGTTTCTCCCCTTGCTACACTTTCTAGAGCCCTGGAAACTCAAAGCTCTGTGTGTTTTTTTGTAGGAATACCCGGCATACGTCGCCAAGCTCGAGCAAAGTTCTTCCTGTGATCAGCGACTGTTGTCGAGGTTGCAGAAGTTGCCGAATAAGCATCCGGGCTGCGCTAAGGTTGAAGCACCACACGTCTTTCGAGCGGACAAGGTATGGAGGGATTGAGCTAGAGAAAGTTCTCTTCCTCTTCTCTCTGAAAGTTCCAGCGTCAGGTTTTTGATTCCATCCCGGATCAAAATCTTCTCTGGCTATGGGCGTCTGGATCAAGCACTCGAGGTCTTCCACCACATCCCGCGCAAGTCTCCATGACTCATAGTTTTGTGGCGGTAGCAATTGGGATGAGAGTTGCTAGTTTAAATTATTTAGTTTGCCATTATATAAACATAAACTTTCAAGCAATAGCTTCTCCAGTGGCCTCAGTGGCCTCAGTGGCATTGTATCGTATGACCATAGTCACGTCCAAAGCAGATTCTCCAATCCTTGTGGACGTCACCTTGAACCGGCTATCATGAGTCACTTGCTTATATTGCGCCGTTCCACCATAAGAAACGTCCCAGTAGACATACACTACCTTCGGGCCATCGCTCGCGTAAATATCAAAGGAGCCATCCGTACCAGAGGGAGACCACCTCCTGCCAGAGGCATAGATGTGGTACTCGCCCCACGCCTTCATTTTGAGACCATCGGGAGATTTAGTCTCCGTGAAATCCTTCGTGGAACGGATCCATTTCCCATAATTGAGCCACGAGTTTTTGACTTCGAGCGTCAAGGGCCCCTTGGTGTAGTAGATTCTCAGTGAAAAGTAATTGCTCTCACCCTTGAGCTTCGAATGAGGTTCTCCTGTTGGTAAATCATCCAAAGCAATTTTACACAAGATCAGAACCGAAAGAGAGAGGATGCATTGATCAAACCAGTGCCGTTGTTGCAGAGATGCGTAGGAACTCGAGGGAGTTCACGAGCCAAGGAAAGAGCAAAGAAGAAGAAGAAGAAGAAGAGGGAGGAGGAGAAAACTGCGAGAGCTCCAAGCTTTGCCATGGCTTGGGCAAGATGAGAGCTCTCTTTTATAGAGGGGCGTGTAACTATCCCAGTGGTCCTAGGCCTCCAACTGGTGTACTATTGAAGGTTGGGATGGTTTTATCAATAACATTTCAGCCACCCAGCAAGATATAAGAGACAAGTGAGGAAAATGAAGTATCCGTACCAATAATTCAAGCTAGCATAGGCGCCGTACATGTGCCGCAGTGCCAGGACGCGGAGGTTGGAGGCTCTAGAGTTTGCTAGAAGAAGAGATCTATGCGATGGAACTTTGGCATGTTGGTCCCCACTTGGAAAACTCCCAAGTGTTTAATTCGCCATGTTGTGGCGCTCCGGGCCATGCAGACTGTCAAGCCAAAGAGCATGCGTTCTTAAACATCAAACTCAAAAAGAGTTTTGATTTTCACCAAAGCGATCGTAGAAATCGGTCAAAACATTCAGAATTATCTCTGACTTCCATAACGACCAGGAAAGGTTCACCACATTTGATCAAAACTTACAAATGACTTCCATCACCACCATCGCCCAGGAAAATCTCGCGAGCTTCACCACACTTTGCATACATGATCTCGAGAGCTCGCGTCACAGACGCGTCCGAGTCGTAGAAGAGTCTCTCGGCTTCACGCTGAATGGACACGCCTGTTTGAAGCAACGCAGCCTTCTCTCCGGAGCTCTCCTCGGCTGCCCCGAGTCTTGCACAGGCCGTGAGCGCGGCGACGAGAGTTTTGGCGTTAGGAGAGCACAGCCTCTGCCGGATCATCGTCTGGAACAAGTCGAGAGCGAGCTGGGATTCACCATTCTCCTCGTATCCCAGCATGAGACGAGACCACAGTCGGGTTCTCGATCGAATCAAACACAGACTTTGCCTCCACTGTTCTTCCACATCTCGAGTAAGCGTCGATCAAGCTGTTCTCGACGACAGCCCCAGCGTTGTCGTAGCAACCAGCCTCCAGAAACCGAGAGTGGAATTCCTGGACCCTCTCCAAGCTCGAGCAAGCCGTCAAGGCCGCCACGAAAGTCCCAGAGTGGAGCTTGCAAAAGCCTTGAGCCGCCATAGTCGAGAAGATCTCCGCTTCGTTGTTGTCTGTGTATCCCAGGATGAGGCTCGTCCAAGACACAGCGTCGTGGTCCTTGATTCTGTCCAAAGCTCGCGGAGCGTCCAGCATTGACGAGCACTTCGAATACGTTTCGATGAGTGTGTTTCCCACGAAGAGATCTAGCTGATCACAGTCGTTCTTCGCCAAGCAGTGAATTTCCATGCTTTTCTCAAGGCTCTCGATGTTCACAAGTCCTCCCACCTTTCTTTCATAGCCTTGCGAGAGCACGCCGTGAGCGCGGTCACGTAGACTCTCGGGTTTATCAGCAGCTCGCAGCTTCGATGGATCCAGTAGAGGGGATCGAGAGCCAAGTCGATATCGCGAGTGAATTTCCATCCCTTTTTCCAGGCTCAGAACTCTGATCTCTTTCCCATCGATCTCCTGTCCCTGTTCTTCGCCAGCCATGCCCGAGCAAGCCGTTACATAGCTCCGAGCATTTGCTTTGCGATCCATCGCGAAGAAAAACTCCAAAGCCAGCTTGCTATCCCTGTTTCTCGCGTATCCCATCACCAGAGAGTTCCACAGCGCCACGTCTGGATTTGCTAAGCTCTCAAAGCTCCTGCGAGCCTCCGCCATGCTTCCACAGCTCGAGTACATGTCCTCGGCAGCGGTGGCCACGAAATTGCTAGAAAGATCTCCAATCCCGGCAGCGTCATCCTGGATTCTCCGGCCAAGCCCGACCTCTCTCGCCGCGCTGCACGCCTTGAATGCCGCGAGGAAGATGAAAACGTTTGGACCGCCTACCTCGCTGAAGAAATCCCTCCTCCTCGCGCCGGAACACGATCGATGCCGCCACTGCGATGGAATCGTGGAGGAATTCCAGCCTAAATTCGCGAAGGCGTGGATCGCTCGCTCCTTGGCGCGGCATTGCCTCATTCGCCATAAACCCTAACCCCTGTTTTCCTGACCCAAAATTCAAATTTCTCTCGCCGTAAATTCAAAAATTAATTTTTCCCCACACCGACACTCGCGAGAAATTTTACCGCGCTTTTTCATCTCCGTGATTGTCTGCTGGAATCAAGGGGTCAAGTGTTGTATAAGTTCGCCACATATGTTCCCATCTCTCCCTCGATCAAATCGATCCATCGAAAAGAGGAAACATTTTGGAGCAAAGAAGCATTTGGGCGACACTCGATCGATCAAAGTAAGTCGCCCACATCGATCACTTCACGCTTTCTCTCGTCCAGCTTCGCCCACATCTAGTCTTTCCTTCTCCTCGCCCACCTCGACCAATCTCCTCCAGCTTTTCTTCTCTTCTTGCCCACATCGATCATAGCTTTTTCTCATCGACCATCTCTTCTCACCTTCGTTCTCCCTGTTCTTCCAGGGGATCTACTTGGTGGCGATGGAGCGGCGGAGCGGCAGCAAGCCAGCGGCGATCCTTCTCCTTGCCATCCTCGCCTCGACTCTCGCAGCTCACTCCACCGCGCAGCTCACCGCCACCACGAACCCCACCTCCGTCCTCCAGAACCGCCCCGATTTCTCCACCTTTAGCAAACTCCTCACCGACACTGGTGTCATCTCCGAGATCAACCAGCGCTCCTCCTTAACTCTCCTCGTCCCCCACAACTCGGCCCTCGACGCCGTCCTCAATCGATCGTCCCCCTCCAGCACTCCCCTCCCTCTCCCAGTCGTCGCGGATGTTCTTCGCTACCACTGCCTCCTCCAGTACCTCGACGTCCCCCAGATCAAGTCCATGACCAACGAGCTGGGGATGCTGGTGACGAGCTTGTACCAGACCACCGGACGAGCAGCCGGGCAGAATGGATTCGTCAACGTCTCGGTTTCCAGCGATGGCCAGATCCACGCCGGGCTTCCTTTCGCCGCCACCTCTCTCGCCACCGTGAGGACCAACATCACCCAGTTCCCTTACAACATCAGCTACATGCAGATAGACCAAGCTCTCGTCCCGGAAGATCTCGGTCGCCCCCAAGCGGCAGCCTCCAGCATCCTCAATCTCACCAACACGCTGCAGCGATCCGGGAAGTTCACCACCTTCCTCAATCTCATGCAGAGCACCGGCTTCACGGCTGCGCTAGCGACTCTGCCAGCTTTCTCGCTCTTCGTTCCCACTGACGAGGCCTTCCAGGGGCTGCCGAATGGAACCATGGCCGCTCTCTCGCCGTCCCAGGCCTCGAGCTTGATGGCTTACCACACCCTCCCGGCCTACACGAGCTCCGGATCTCTCCAGCGACAGAACAGCCTCGTCCAGACGGTGGCGTCCAACGGCGACAACCAGAAGTTTCTGATCCAAGTCGCTCCATCGGGAGGAAACTCTGGCGGCGTGAGCCTGTCGACTGGAGTTGACACCGCTGACGTCGTCTCCACCATCTACGATCAGCCCCCGACTGCTGCTTACTCGGTCAATCGGGTGCTGCTTCCCAAGGAGATCTTCGTCGTTGCCGCCGATCAGAACAACGGTAGCGCTCGCGCTCCGTCTTCGTCACCTTCGCTTGCACCGGCTCTAGCACCGTTTGTTCCTCCGGTGGCTTCTCCAATCGTCCCTGTTCTTGCTCCACAGCAAGCCTCTTCTCCTCAAGTTGGCACCACTTCTGCTCCTCCGACTGTTGGATCTGGATCCGGATCGTCCAGTCCGGCTCCTGTTGTTGATATCGGGAACTTGCCGCCAGCGTCGGGACCTGGTGCTGCTTCCACGGATACCAACCAAAACTCCGCTGCTACTGCTCCTGCTGGATTGGGTGAATTATGGCTGATCTCGGTGGTTTTGGCCATGGTTTCCAAGTTCATGCTAGAAGTTGTGTAAACCGAATTTCATTTCTATAGTTTATATGAATTATACCTCTTGATTTATTTTGATAATCTGGCCGACCATGTATAGCCCCTCCTGCAGAAAAGAAACTAAAATGGGCCATGAATGCCATAAAAGAGCTTCCATCACCTTAATTTATACTGTTCGTTAAAGCTTGGAAGAAAGATGGCGATGGCTGCCGCGAGGATTTTCCTCGTTCTGGCTCTTGTTCTCGCAATCTTCTCATCGGGAACGAGAGCAAGGTCTCCGGCTGCAGATGAAGATTTCGTGAGAGCAGTGGGAGAATTGGCCGCTGCGAAAAGATTCATGAAGTTCCTCTCGTCTATCGATCTACTGGCTCACCTCCGGGAGCTTGACGAGGTGACCATCTTTGTTCCAAACGACGATGCCTTCTCTTTCGCTCCAGATCTCACGGGGGATGAGCTCTCCAAGATCGTCAGGTACCACATCCTTCCAAGGTACCACTCGTACAGCGCTCTCAGCGAGATGGAGTTTCCGGTGTCCACTGTGGCCTCGGGCAAGGACTCTAGCGCCTACCAGATCATGGAGATCAATGGGGACTTGATCGCCAGCGGGCAGAACTACGCCGAGATTTCCAGCGTCGTCTTCGATCGCGAGGCTTCAATGGTGGTGTATGAGATTGACAATGTGCTGATTCCTTTGGAGCACGCCCATGACAGTTGCCAGGAGCACGCTGCCGCGCCATCACCATCACCGCTGGTAGCACCATTGCCGCCCCCTACCCAGGTACCACCATCGTCATCACCATTGCCATCGCCATCACCAGCCCCTACTGAGGCATCCTTTCCACCATTACCATCATCAACACCATCGCCCGCTCCTATTGAGGTATCCCTTCCACCATCACCATCCCCTACCGAGGCCTTTCCACCACCACCATCACCATTGCCACTCTCTACCACACCATCACCATTGCCAGTGTTTCCACCTCGCCCTACCGAGGCGTCGCGTCCCCCTCTTCCACCACTGGCGTTTAGTGGATCATCAAGGCCTAATCTATTGTCTTGGCTCGTATATGTTGCGGCATTGCTAGCTCTGGTATGTTAAGATTTACATTTTGATCGAAAAAACCAAAAGTTTAAAATTAGTATTTTGTAATTTTTATTTACCTAAAGTAGAAACTAAATTTATTTTGTTCTAAAATATTTACTATATATCGGTTTACTTTATTAATAGCAAACTTAAATATATTTAACCCTTCTTAAACAAAACTTTGGTTTTAATTTCAATTTTTTTTTGGAGTTTTCACGATTTGACACACATAGAAATGTCCACTCCCGCCACGTCCATGGCATTACACACCCATTCCGGAACATCTCCTTGTGGATACTAAACATCAAAACTTTAATCACTTATCAACTTGAAACTAGAAAGCTCTACCTGTTTTTGCAAGAAATCTTGTACAAACCTGCGAGCATTGTCCACGAAAAAAACGAAAAGAAAACCGATGACGCTAAGAAGTTTAAGAAACCACTTACTCTGGAAATCGACCCTCGAGTATGGAGGTATGGAGATCATTGCTAAGCTGCCAGTAGCAAAGTATAAAACCCCAGAAAGTGTTTCACCATGATCTTACCCGCATCATGTAAAAAACATTGTGATAGGAAACCAGCTGGGATCCCATGGCTTCTTTCGTCACCAGTGTGTGAATGTACGCTCGAGTGTAGTTCTTGCAAACCTTGACAAAGCAAACTCACAAAAGAATGCATGGATCTTTCTTTGTTTCTTTGCGTACCATGCAGGAGCAAGAAGCGTCGATCGGTCGAGTGTCCGTCGCCATTGAAGCGTGTTTGAGCTTTAAAACACCCTGCCAAGAGTTGTTGAAGCTCCAGTTAGAACAAGGCGAAGAAACGAAGAGAACAAAATTCCAACCTCGGGGACTAGAGCAGTGCCGAAACGAGCAGTTCTCGTTGGGTAGACGCAATCGTACATGTCCGCTCCAAGAGCACTACACACAACAATGTCGAGTGGAAATCCAACACCCTGAAAACCAATCCAAGGAAGAAACTTTAGAAAACTATCCATCCTCGCTTTCTTTTTTCGAAGAAAAAAAAACAGTAGGGAATACCATAACGTAGCGAGGCTTGTCGTCTGGAAGACCCGCAGTGCACTGCGCTACAACTCTCCAAAACGAGTCCTTTTCTTCTCCACCTGCGAGCCCACCAATGGCATATCTGTGCACGGCGTCAAGAGAGAACAAAACAAACCAGTGTTTTTGATGGAATTCAAGGACTGTACCCTGGCAAATTTCGCTCCACCATGCCTTTGACGCATATATCCCTGAAAGTAGAAAGAAAAAACCCAAAAAGAAAGAGCCACACTTGGAAAAACTTTGCTTTTTTTCCTTGCCTGAGATGTGGATCGAGTCCTCCTTGTACTATTCCGAATAGATTTTGATCCCTTGGCCTTGAATGTGCTGTAATCTCACGACAAAAATTATGCAAGTTTTACTCGATCTCGATAAACTGGTCGAGCAGGTACCAGATATGCAGCGATCGATCCACCGGAGAGTGCGATACATTGCTTCCTCGACGCGAGGGCCCGTTATAGTTGTCTTGACAACGTCGTCGAGAGCCATGATCACATCGGCTCCAATCTTGTTCTACGTAGAAATTTTCCAGTCGTGAGAATGAATCATCCATGAAAGAGAAGAAAAAACGAGAATCCAAACCTGTATCCTTATAGACTCTTCGGGTGTGAGGAGCATTTGCTTGCCATCCACAGGCGACTGCAACCATTTTCACCTTCTTTCGTTAGAATCCATCCAAAAAACATGTAAAGAAATACCTGAAACGTCACTCCCTCTTCAGTGATGTCTGCCAAGTGTAGAAGTGATACCTATTTCGCAAGGAAAAAAATTCACAAAAACGTTTTTCGAGCAGAAAAATAAAAACGCTGGACTCACCATTTGAAAGCCACCGGAATCCGTGAGCAAGCCCCGTTGCCAGTTCATAAACTCGTGAAGGCCTCCCACAGCATCCAGCAATTCAGCTCCAGGTCTCAAAGCGAGATGATAAGTGTTTCCCAAAACAATTTGGCAGCCAAGCTCTTCCAGCTGACCGCTAGTGAGACCCTTTATCGAGCCTGACACCCCCAAGAAAAAAAAAAGTAAGAAAAAAAAAAAAACAAACCAAGTTTTATAAGAAGAGAAAACCAAAGATGTTCTCGACCTTGAGTTCCAACTGGCATGAACATCGGAGTGAGGCATTCGTAATGTGGAAGCGTGAGTTTTGCTGCGCGAGCTCGCTTATATCTTGCCAATACCTGAACAAAAACAAATTTCTTTCGCCTGTAAGAATCACACACACACAAAAGACGCACAAAAACGAAGAAAAAAACCGCTTGCCTCGAATTTAAGAGCGCACATTTTCATTCCAGCGCTCGCTGCTGCTCCTGCGACGCCAAACCAAGAACAAATCCCTACCCCGCGAAGAAGCAAAAAAAAAAAAAAACGCGTCAGGAGTTTGCATTCCTGGACCATCGTCTTGACCAGAAACAAGCAGAAAAACGCCACAGAAAAAATCGCGCACGAGATTTCCCATGAACCCTAATCCAACAGAAATCAAATCTAATGCCCACCTCGCCAAATTTTTTTCCACTCCACACGACCGGCGCCTCGACGAGGACGCTCCTCTGTTTTGCTCCACTTCTTGGAGCGGTCACCGGGAGCAGCCGGTCGCCAGCCCACGTGGCAAGAATCTAGACGGGTTTGCTCACCGGACAAGCCGGTTTGCCCTAAAAGTGTAGCCACGTGCTCCAGACTTCTCGGAGTGGCGGCGGCTAGGGCTTTAGATTCTGTTTTTTTTTATACACACATTGTATACAGTACAAAAGTTTTATACAATACAATCTACGTATCAAACACAAAAGGAAGAAAAGAATGCGTTAGACGAGATCAGCGATGGCGTCTTCAATGAGCTCGTTGAAGAAAGAATTTTCTATCTGTTGGCAGACGTTTGCAAATCCACTCTCGGCTTCCACCCAATCTTTTCTCCTCTCCTTTTGGAGCTCGCCGTTGATCATCGACTCGAGACTCTGCTCCCCGGATCGCTGTAAGCTGTGATGCTCGGACATGGAGCTCCAGACTTCGTGGAGGAGCTTCTCTTCTCGTTTCCTGCCACTGTCACTGAGCTTTGGGATCACTGGCTGCGCGGACAAAATCTCGTTGGCGAAGTCGAAGATGAGCCACCTGTTGATGGCGCGCGAGTGGATCTTCATTGCATCGATGGCGCTGTCTTGGCTGCTTTGATCTCGACTGTATTCGTCTTCCAGTTTCTCGAAGACAGTGGAGTCGAGCTTGGTGCCGAGTTCTTGGATCCTGCTGGACGCTGTCGCCGCGGCCGCCAGCTTTCTCACGTAGATCAAGTCGTCTTGTCGGCCAGGAGAACAAGGAAGTTCCTGTGATGGCGGAGGTTTACACTCTTCGTGCTGTGGCTCTGGCTGGACAATTCCTTGCAGAGCTTGCGACGTTTGGGAAGCTGTCACACGAGGATAAGTTAGTCCGTGGCAACGTGTTCACTAAAGCAAAGAAAAAAAATTATTAGAGTAGCTCACTAGTGGCAGGCTTGGACGTCGATCTGTCCTCCTGGTGGGCGACGTCATGATCATGCTCGTCCTCATCAAGTAGATCCAGGACAGACACTGGGCTGGTGCTATCCGCAAAACTTTTCAATCCGTGCTTGGAAGTTACGCTTGAAGAATCCTGAAAAGACAGGAGTAAGACACAAGACTGGCGAGAGAAGGAGATTGCTCACCGGTTCGTTCTTTGTTGGTGTTATAGTTATGCAGTCCTCGTCCGCGATCTCAGCAACTAATTGATGTTTAACAAGGTGACAGTGTCCTTTTTGTGGTTCAAGCCAGACGTCAGCCAAGTTCTTGGTGTCATCTCCTCCATCGGGCTTCGGTTTTGAAGACTTTAGCTTTGATTTCCTCTCAGCTGTTGCTCTGTCGCATTTTCCGTTGGCAATTTCCCTCGAGTCGTGTGGTTTTGGAGGCTTAACTGCGTTGTTACTTTTCTGTCTCGGGGGCCTGGGGGACTCGTCCAAAGAAACGGTAGATCTCGGACTAGGATTTCTCGGGCTTGCATCTGGAGAGTTCAATTCCCTGTGTCTGGCAGTGTTTCTCGGAGAACTTGACTTGGATTTCCTTTCCGTCACTGGTTTCTGAGCCTTCGCACCGGCATTCTTTGCAGAGTTGGTGTCGTCCCTGGATCCAGAATTTCTAGAAAGACGCTTTGATCTCGGTGACACAGATTCAGGCTTCCTCTTATCCAAGTCTGTCGCTCCTGTGACATTTTTCCTTGCACTAGCGTCTAGATCACCAGAAAACTCGGACTCTGGCTGGCTCAAACTCCGCGAATGCCTGCTTCTTGGTGTATCGTCCGACTTATCAAAACTTCTGCTAGGTGATCGCTGTGGTGACCCGGATTCCACCTTCGAATAGAATGTTTTTGCAACTTCCTTCGATATACTCTCCTTGATCTTCTTCGCAATCAGCTTAGCAATGTCCTTCCTGTCCTTGACCGTTTGCTTTTCCTGCTTTGATTCTCGTTCTCGTTGATCTTCCTGCTTTGATTCTCGGTCTCGTTGATCGGTTCTCTTCCTTGGTTTCAGCACCACTATACTAGACACCTCGTGTTTTTCATCCCGACTCGTTAGAAGCCTGCCGCTGTCACCATTCAGCACCTTGGACTGCTCTTTCATCAGAGGACGAGGACTTGACTGACCGCTCAGAAAACGAGGAATCCTTCCCGTCGGCAACTTGCTTTCCCGTTTACTTTCCCGTGTCGACGAAGCAGAATCGTTTCTCTGTGAGATGGCCTCCAAAGCTCCCGAGCTCCGAAAATACTTCTCGAAAAACTGCCTGTTTGCCTGTAAGAGTTCCACCGCGTCCAAAAACTCGCTTGAATCGCTAAGTCCCTTGCGAGGCTGCTGCTGCTGCTGCTGCCTTTCCACACCAGCCTTACCCTGCGCCATCTGCTGCTTGGCTTCCTTGAGCTCGTCCAAAACTCTCATGTGCTTGGCCAGGAGCTGCCGGTTGAGCTCGTCGAGCTGTATGGATTGCAAGCACTCGGCCCCCTGGAGTACCGCTCGTACCTCACGCACATCTTTATGCCGGTCGTCAAAGGCCTCATCAAAACTCCTCGACTTCTGAGATCTCGTGACCCCTCCATTCAGCCGCTTCCCTGACACTGTGATATCTACCAGTGTGTTGGAATCCGGCACACGCTTTTCCAACAACACCACGGCCTTTTCCTTCTTCCCTGTCGTAGCTGGCTCCGCCGGAAGAGCCTCCAAACCCATCAGCCTGGCCACCACACTGGGAGTCCTGTTCCTACTCGACATCTCCTTCGTTGCTCCTTCTTCCGGGGTGGTCTTTACGTTTGCTCCAAAGAGTGACTTGAGTTTCGCCATGGTAGTAGTCTTCCTTCCTGGGCCATGGAAGCAAGCCGCTAAGTAAAAGAAGAAACTCCAACTCCAAGCATAGCTTACCTCTAGGAATCGCTAGAGACCATGATGGCTGCTACGAGCTCTCGCGGCCAATCCACTCCTATACAGTTTTGGAGAAGAGCATTGATTCAGACCACGCTGTAGTGTAACGCAGATTTCTTGTACCTCGAAATTCTCACTAGTCGCCGTCGAAGCATCAGGAATGCGTGTGTAGCGCGTCTCGCTCCAGGCACGAAACGCATGCCCCGCCTTTGGCCTTGCCAGTGGAATTCTCGCCTCGCGTACAGCGAAATCCAGCGAGGTCTTTGAGAATCACACCATTTTCTTGCGCAGTACCAGGCGCCAGGACCTGCATTCCGCGATGCAAGGAGAGATTTCGGATCATCGGCGGGAGAGGAAAGGATCCTTGCTCACCTCGTATCTTTCTCACGCATCGCAATGGCGGCCGCCACGATCGAATTGACACCGAGCACGAACCCTACCAGGGGTTTCTTTCTCTTTCGTCGCGCTCTCCAAACAGAGAAGAAGAAGAGCCTCTCTCTCACCTCTAAAAGCCTTTCACTTCCCTCCCTCGGCGACGAAACTGTCGGCCGTCCATTTCACTCGCATCGACGGTCACCATCTCGACTCGTGGCCCAATCCCCGAGCGCCGGCAAGCCCAGCCGTCGGATATCTACAACCAACGGCGCCGATGCCACGCGGTGGGCCCCGTCGCAAAACGTGGCGCCAGGTCACGCCGCATTTTCCTGGCTTAACCATTCCGTTAAGAAAAGAATATCCTCCAGTTAGAATGTTTGAAAAAAACAACGAATATTTTTTCACCTGGCGAGGAAAAAATAGTGTTTTGACTGCAAATCTTCATTCATGTGGCGCGAATTAATGTGTCTTTGTTTGATCTGCGGCAGTAAAGTTAGCTCTACATTCCTTTAAAAGCAGCGATTCAAGCCACCAAACTTACGCTCAATCAATCAAGTTCGCTCGATCGCTGGCGCGTCCAAATCTCGCAAGATCTGCGAAAAACTCTCCCGTGAAGCCAAAGAACACTTGAGTGATCTTCTTTTCTTGCCTGTGTCGTTGGTTGCTTTGCTCCTCCATTTTGCTTTCGGCCACTGTGTCCCTTTCATCTCAAGAACAACTTCCATCGCTTAGCGACTAAACAAAGGGCCCTGCAACACGCAGTGACATGTCATGGCACGATTCCAGACATTCGTTCCTTGCTAGAAACAGAGCGAGCGGAAAGAAAAGATAGAAAAACAAAGTACCTTTGGTGGAAGAGAAGAGGAGGAATTCGCTGTTTTGGCTGGGAGCGGGAATGTTTCTCCCAAGTACTCGCTTCTCCTGTACGTTCGGCAGCAAAGAAAACGCGTCAAAGTCACAACATAAATTCCCACGAAAGTGAACTTATTATTTCATGTTAAGATCTTACCAGTGAAGAGTGAGAAGCGAGCATTCAAACTCAGCGTCTTGAAGAGAAAGCTTTCACGCATGGCTTTGTTCGGGCTTTTGATTAATCTGATGATGATGGCTTTGATAGTCCGGACAGGAGCTCGTGAGCTAGCTGCAGTGGAGGAGGCTCGTCAGATAACAGACATAACGCACTCTCTTCGACAAGATTTACCCGTGTGGGATTCCAAGGAGGGACTCGGAAAGGTTGTAAGTCTCGTCGCAAGTATCGCCAATGGATCCCTTGTCAATGTCTCGGAACTCCAGCTCATCGTGCACACTGGAACACATGTTGATTCGCCAAGCCATTTTCTCCAGAAGGATTTCCTGAATGGAGTCGACACCACCAACAGTCTCAAGCTTGACATCCTCACTGGTACACAGCCAGTTAGTTTTGTTTAAACCAAGCATTTTGTTACCAGGACTTGTGCTTGTGGTGGAGACGCCGAAGGATCAAAACATAACAGCCGAGGTTGTCAAGAACGTCGTCCCCCCTGGAGTTGAGCGCGTGCTATTCAGAACACTGAATACAGAACGGTTAGCTCTCCAAGAAAATGAATTGAGAGGAGAATCTGATAGTAAGCTATAATCCCAGGAGGCTCATGTGGAAGCGAGAGTTCACGTCGGATTTCACCGCACTGACCAAAGACGGAGCAGAATGGATAGCTCAGAACACATCCCTTAAGCTCATCGGTACGTTCCGTTTGGTGCTTCTTTGTTCTCACGCGCATATATACAGGACTCGACTACCTTTCCGTCGGAGTTTACAACGAGCCGGATGCGACGCACAAGCCCCTCCTGAGCAAGGTGAGTTGAGTTAGCCTGCTTTATCAATGCTGCAATATATGTTTACCTTACAGGGAGTCGTACTCGTGGAAGGATTGAACTTGGACAACGTTCAATCCGGTTTCTATACGCTGAATTGCCTTCCAGCAGCATTAATCGGCTCTGATGGCTCGCCTACGAGATGCATAGTAACTAAATAACAAAACGAAGAATGTACATAGAAAGCGTTGAATCAGTATTTCCCGAGGCTCGCCTTACAGACGTTTTCCTTTACAGTAGTTTACGTATGGAGCATAGTTTTGCTGCCATTTCTCAAAGTCCATTTGCAAGCGCTCCAAGGCCCCAAACGTTGACGGTTCAAATTCATCTGTCAGCAGGGAAAGAAAATCAAAATAAGAATATCGACTGAGAGCAGACGAACCTGATTTGAGTCGCCCGAAAACTTTCGACGACCCAACTTCTCCTCCAACTAGTTGTTGTGATCCAACATAATTCTGGGATTTCATGCTGCCAGTGCTCGATGACGATGATGCTCCAGAATCTGAGTGCTTTGAGTGGAATAGTAACTGCTGGGACAAATTGAAGCTTGCATCTTCACCTTGACCAAGAGACACAATTGGTTCTTCCTGTTTCTTTCTTAAGCTGGATGTTACTGTTTCAACCGCGTCACAGGCAGCTTGGAAGCTCTCTTTTGTTGCCTTTCTGTTGCCTTCCTTAGCCTGAATTTCCAGAAGCACCGGCAACGGAACTGGAACCGGAGTTTCTTGCATTTCCAAATATTTCAGCGGTGGTCGAAGATAAGGTGTTCTATCAGTAACATCAATATATCCTGTGACGTTTGACGGCATCTTTGCTGCGTGTAGTGCTAGATCTTGTGATAGACCCAAGAGCAGTACCTTAAACGATATCTCATGGCTTGAAAATCGTCAAGACACACAAAGAAGAAGCCAGGAAAAAGAAAAAGGATACTTCGAGAGAAAGACTTCAACGTCCGACAAAACCTTGTATATGCGATCCTGGTAGTCTTCCACAGGGTCCATCACTGTTGCCTTGAGCCCTGCAAATCACCGCAATTCCAGTCAAAACTAGTACAAGCACAGTCCCATAGCATACGCTTGCTTTCATGAGACGACCCCAAAGCCGCAAGACAATCCAGTCCGTGTTTCACGTCTGCAAAGAAAAACAGCGTCAGAAAACACAACGCTTCAGAAGCTAGTCATACAGTTGAGCATAGCTGGGAAAGAGCAATTTTTCATAACAAGCTTCTTCTTGTTCTTAGCTGCATATATCATGGTTAGAGAAGAAAAACCATGAAACAATTCAAGCCCACCTATTAAACGATCAGGGTACTCGCACAACTTAGTGTTCTTTTCTCTCTTCAAGGTCTTGGAAGCGATATAAGGTTGATTCAGAATGTCACCTGTACCCGTAAGTTGCAACAAGCTGAAACCAGTCTTTGCCCCAGGCAGAACCGCAACTCCAGACAGGCTTTCAATATAGCTGTCCTGCGTTCCAGTGGAAAGAGAATCATAAAGTGCCGTCATGGATAGTTTCCGAGGACGAGAAGTGAAAATCTTAGAAGGAAGATCCCACGCACAGTACGCTTCCTCTATCTCACGAAATCTGGAACTTGCTCCTGACACGATTGCAGTAGATGGCGCTTGAGGACCATAGCAGAATGCTCGAACATCACCAGACCGAAAGCTCGCAGCCAGGATAACTCTTCCTGCACGACATAGTCAGCCAAACTCACGTAGAAACCCCATTACCTGCGCCATTATCTTCCTCAGGCCGGAGCCATGACAGAGGATGCATAGACAAATATCCGGGAGAATCGTCGTGCATTGAGTGTTCCCACTACAGAATGAAAAAGGGAAAAATCAAGAATCAGGCTAGCAGAAAGTAGAAGATACAAACCTGAAGTAGTGGCATTCTTGGCCTACGAATGTCGAAGAGCATGATATGTTCCATAGTTGCAGCAGCAAAATGATAACCACGATCCTCAGGGCGCACTATAGCTACGAAGCGATCCTGTTCGCAGCGCCTCTGATGGCAGTAATTTTTGCTGTTTCCAACAGTACCAAGTAGAGTAGTCGCGTTGCCATGTCTTAAGTCGGATAAAAGAATGTCCTCTGCGTTCGCTATGACAAGCAGCTTCGGATGCCAACCATACTCGACTCGCCACCAGCTCCGCCTGAGATTCCAAATCTCGGCAACCACAGCCTTTGGAAACTTAGCAGCGCCACTTCCGTCGGCCGTTGCAGCCTCGACCATGCGCGCCTGTACTATAAAGTTCGCTCGTAGATTGTTTGTAGACTGTTTAGTGGAGTGCACATTGTAAACGAAAACCTCCCCAGACTCCAGGACAGTTGCAAGTTCTCCCTCGATATAAGGACTCCAGACCACCTGCGGGAGCCGCATCGTGATCCACCATCATGAAACACAAAATGAAAAGCTTACATGAGATACACCCTGGCGGTAAGTCGTCACTGAGCGTGAAGCAAAGCATACGCGATCTTCCTGTAAACTCCTGATAAAGCTATCGAAGCCCAAAAATTAAAAAAAAAACTTACTTCTCTTAGAACGTTCATAACATGTACTTGATGCTGAGTCCTAGCTACTAGGATGTTCTCATCTACACTTGAATTCGAAATCTTCATCGCTGATAACTGAAACCGAAGTAAAGAAGAGAACGAGAGAAAGAAGTAACAAGTACCTGGCGGATGGGATGATTCAATGTTGGTGAGACTGACATTCTCACGCCACCGAGCCACTCACTGTCCGGCTCGTCCTCTTGCTTTTTTAGAGGACACAAGCGACCAGCGGGATCACGCTTGCAAAGTATACTTCCTATACTGTTGAAGTTCTCACCAACGGGAAATGTGAGCTGGAGCTTTCCATCTTGACACTGCACAGAGACACAGACACAGAGAGAGAGAGAGAGAGAAGAAGAAGAATCAAATGAGAGAACAAGAGTAAGAAACTTAGAACACACTTGCATACACTCCAGTCTGTTTCCAAAAATGTTGTTACTCTCGTGGATCATAGCAACCTTCGCAGCTGTGTCCTCCTGGACGAGCCCCTGGAGGAGAGAATCGGGGGTGTAGCCGATCGATGCGTCCTCCCCCGCGTAGCGTGATTGCTGCGGACAAAACAATCGCACAATGAGAAAAATCCAGCATTGGGGTCGAAATTTTCGAGAAACCTTCTCAAGGGGAGGAATCGGATGATCAAAGAGATGTAGCTTACACCCCGTCGACAGTAGTTGTTGAGGCTCTCCCACGGAATCAAACAGCAGAGGCCCGCCTGTAGAAGACGATCGATCAATCAGAGCCGGAAATATCGCTAGATCGAGCTTACGATCGGCGCCGGCTCGCAAATGTGGCGCTCGAAACACCGCGCCAATGCACCACGGCGGTGCCGGCCCCTGGAAGAGATCCGCCATCGCTGCCCAAAAACCCTAAACCTCGAGAGTAGAGGCAAAGGTATATTCTCGATTTGATTGGAAGGGCTAGGTTTTTTCGTCTTCCATCGCCATGGATGTGCTGTGGGCCGTGGCGATCTTGGCGATCCTCTTCTACCTCTGCCGCCTCCTCATGCTGCTCATCCCGCCCGTGGTGCCCGAGATCGTGGTCGATACCTCCGATGGTAAGCGCGATTCGATTGATTCCTTTCTCGCATCGATCAAGGGATTTTCTTGGCGCAGTGATGCTAGGCAAGGGCGGGGACGACGATAGCTATATCTATGTAAGCTACATTCTCATGTGTGTGGAGTGAGCTAGGAAGCAGCGAGAAGGAAAGGTTTTGATCTGGAAAAATGTCTTTCAGGTGGCTAGAAGGAGGAGCGGCGACGAGGATACTGTGCATTGCTACGATCCGGCTACCATGAAGTACCTCGGCCAGTTACCTGCATTGAATTTCGATGAGGTGAGCGAGCTGGGAAATTTCTTTGCGCATTTTTCTCATGTTCTTCTTCTTTTTTTTTCTCTTGGTTTTGGAGTTATCCAGGTTAGTGATCACGTCGCCAGAGCCCGAGAAGCTCAGAAGAAATGGGCTCGGAGTAGCTTTGAGAAGCGACGGCAGCTGCTGAGAATTTTGCTCAAGTACACCATCGATCATCAAGAGCTCATTTGTGAGTAAGTGGCTTGCATACAATGATGTGCTTATACGAGTTTGTTTTTTGCATTTCAGAGTGTCAGCAAGAGATTCTGGAAAAACTCTAGTTGATGCTGCGCTGGGGGAGATTTTGACGACTTGTGAGAAGATAACCTGGCTCGTTGGCCAAGGCGAGCAATGGCTTCAGCCGGAATACAGGCTCGTAAAGCTCTTCATGTTGTTTTCCTTTTTCTTCTAACGTTTTTGTTTTTCTTTTCTTGTTCTCTCAGATCTGCTGGAAGAATGATGCTTCACAAGACTGCAAGAGTAGAGTACTCACCTATTGGTGTCATCGGGGCCATCGTTCCATGGAACTATCCATTTCATAACATTTTAAATCCCATGGTCTCTGCAGTGTTCGCTGGTAATGCTATTGTTATAAAGGTATGATCGATCTCTTCTCTTCGATGGCTGCTAAACGTTTAACTTCCAAAGGTCTCAGAGCATGCAAGCTGGTCGGCGTTTTTTTATTCTCGAATTATCAAAGCTGCTCTTCGTGCCGCGGGAGCACCCGCTGATCTTGTTCATGTCATCACAGGGTACGGGAATTCTTCTATACTCTTGCATTTATCTTGAAGAAGTCTGGCAGATACGGTGAAACTGGAAAAGCGCTTGTTAGTCTTGTGGACAAATTGATATTCGTTGGCTCAACAGCCGTCGGGAAAATGGTAGCTGTTTGAGTTTTCTATCTGGTCATTTATGTTGTATCGATGCAGGTGATGGAACAAGCTGCTAAAACATTAACTCCTGTGGTTTTGGAGCTCGGTGGAAAAGATCCTTTTATCGTCTGTGAAGACGCAGATGTTTTACAGGCAAGTTTTCTGTTGGCTAAGTTTTTCTGTTGAAACTCGAATGTTTTTTTCGAATTTGTTCAGGTTGCTCAGATAGCTGCAAGAGCGGCTCTGCAGTCAAGCGGCCAAAACTGTGCCGGTGCCGAGAGATTTTACATTCATGCTCAAATTTACCAGCAGTTTGTGGATGAAGTAGTAAGAATCGTGAGAACAGTTCGAATGGTAAGTGAGGTTTTGTAATCTCGACTCTCAAATCGTTCGAACTCTCTTCTTACAGGGGCCACCTCTAGAGGGTCTGTTTGACATGGGAGCAGTGTGCATACAAGAACACACTGATCGCTTGCAAGCTTTGGTAAATGACGCTGTTACTAAAGGTGCCGAGATTGCAGTTCGTGGAGATCTGGTTCTCCCAGATTTTGGGAACTCTGTCGTTGGACAGTTTTATCCTCCGACTGTTCTCTTGAATGTCAATCACTCCATGCGCTTGATGCAAGAAGAGGTATGCAGCATTGTTATCCTTTTCGTTTCCAAGTGATTTACATATGTGAAGCTTTGTCTAGATCTTTGGTCCAATAATTCCCATCATGAAGTTCCACAGCGACGACGAAGCTATCACTTTGGCAAATGACTCCAACTTCGGACTAGGATGCTCGGTTTTCTCGGCCAACAAGGAGCGAGCTGTTGCTATTGCTTCGAAAATCTACTGTGGAATGGCGGCTATCAACGATTTTGCAGTAACTTATATGTGCCAGGTACTCTAAACTTTTCTTCGTCCATTTCTAAAGCACCAGAATTGCCTCTTCTGCAGTCTCTTCCTTTTGGAGGTGTGAAGAACAGCGGTTTTGGAAAGTTTGCCGGCGTTGAAGGCCTTCGAGGCTGCTGTCTGGTGAAATCTATTGCCGAGGATCGATTTTCCTTTTTCAAGACAGTGATTCCCAAGCCACTTCAGGTAAGAAAACCTCACTTCTCTTTCACTGTGTAGTAATCATCCTCGTCTTCGCTGTGGCAGTATCCCGTAGCGGAGAATGCTTTTCAGTTTGAGGAGGCTCTGGTAAGAATGTTTTACGGGCTTACAGTCGTGGAAAAGTTCCAGGGCCTCGTCAACCTGGTGAAAATCTTTACAGAACAAAAGGACGTAAAAAAGACATTGTAAAAAACGTATAGTACAAATTGTTGACAATTATCATGACTTAGAGGACGTTCACTGACATGAGTAATACTATCTCTCCACAAAGGCTGCGTTAGTAATGCCTCTTCCAACAAGTGGGAGGAAATTCTTTACTGTTCCTAATGTTCAAAAACAAAGATGAGGACAATGGTCATGGCTGTGATATTTGTTATTAAGTGTGTGATCAAAGACAAAGATAAAAACATGGTCATGGCTGTGATATTTACTATTGGGTGTATGATGTTGTAATTAGACCAACGCTCTGACCAATTGAGCTACAAAACCTTTTGGAAAAAAAACCATTTTCTGCCTTTAAACAGGTTAATCTCAAAAGCATAAAACCAAAAAAAAAGGATAAAGACTTTTACTACAAATTTATCAGATTTTATAGCTGGTTGATTTTTCTTGCAAGGGTCTGCCCAACACTAAGCATCCATAGGTTATTGTGAAGAGCAAAGGTGAAAGTTAGAGATGGTACTATACTTTTCCATTTTCCATGCATTATATATTTATGTATAATAATATACACTAATTATTTAATTATGTAAGTAACTCTCTCATGAATACGCAGGCAAACACAAAGCAGCAGTAAACTCTGTCCCAGTGCACGGGCATACTCGGATCATTCTTACAATAATCATTCGTCTTGAAACTCTTATCAAGATGCTTATGAATGGATCTCACTGCTGCCTCGATAGCACTCTCTTGCTGCAGCCATTCGGATAATTGAATGGCTCTCTCTTTGACCTGAAAATAAACTTGGTTATAACAATAATTTTGAAAAACAGCAAAGAAAAATCGAGCAATACTTCAGGCTTGATCAAGCAGAGAATACACTGGACCATTGTCTGCAGGGAGATTTGAGATATGTGGATCGGTGCTGGTCCAGCCCCATTTGAATGAACAATTTCACCCCAGAGCTCTTGATCACTACATGCATGGACCACTGCTGTTGGACACTGCACAATATATTTGCCAAGGTCGTAATTCAGAAGAAGAAAATGAGTTCACGATATTGTTACCCCAGCTCTGAGGCTTGCAGCAACTGTGCCAACGCCTCCGTGGTTGATGACTCCAGAACAGCGAGGAAACAGCCAGTCGTGAGGAATTTCATCCAGCACGTAAATGTGGTCTGGGAATTCAGCTGCAAGGAGGATGCAGAAATTCAATCGACTAGTGATATAATGAACAACATGACTTGGTGTACTTGATTCACCACCCAGTCCAGCCCAGCCCTTGGAAATGATCCCTCTTTGGCCGGTCAGTTTGAGAGCTTCTATGATGATTTCTGTTGTGCGCTCTGGATCCTGCATAGGCTAATAAATAGAGCATGGTTTTGATGAGGTTAGCCCAGAATGAAAACGTTTCCAAGTTTTTCATCTCACCAAGCTGCCAAACCCGATATGTATGGGAGGTTGCCCGGATTCTAGCCAACTGAGAAGCCCCAAAGGTGGTTTGAAATCGTGTGCTTGATCCAAGAAGCAAAATCCAGTCACATCCACGTTCTCGCCCCAGTCTGATCACAGACAACAGATCAATTTCATGAATCAAGGTTCATTCCCACCTTTAGGCTTGGGGACCAGGTGTGGACTCCATGTGTACGTCGCGGACACATTGGAGTCTATGAAGCTGCTCAAAAGTGGAAGCGGATCGAGCTTGAGCTGGTCTTTGCGTAGTTTGTTCAACAAGGAGCCAGAACTCAGCCACATAAACACATCCACTAGCTTGTATGTCATCTGTATGTAGCCAGAAAGCAAAACCAAATCTGAAAGAAATTCTTTCAGTGTTTACCTTATTATCCAGTCCTTTGATACGAAGACATGGGTGAAGAATCTCACTGGTTGGCCTGTTACAAGGGGTTGAGCTTTCAACATAAGAATGAAAGACTTACAACTTACGTCCAGGGGATTGCAGATATCAAATGGAATGGAACATTGAGATACTCAGCAATGTGCACATGACCTGCAGCAACATCATTACAAAAGCTTAAGTTGCTGCAAAGATATAAACAAAATACCGTATGCCATTGGGTTTGCTAGTATGGCTTGTGCTCGGAACGAGGGATTCAGAATGCTAGGCTCAGTGCACGCTGGCAGCACTGAGTTGATGATCGCTCTTAGCTGCTTCCTGTAAATGGAGATGCGGCTGAAACGCAAGGGAAGGATGCATCCGTTGTTCTCTGCCATGTCTAGATGAAATCAATGTCAGAGAAGGATTTAAGCATCAAGCGAAGTACATTGGACAAGTATCTTTGGATCTCCACCCAAGGGATAGAAGTCAAGGCCGGCCTCAATCACCAGATTCCTGAAGTCCACATGTGTTGCTACTCTGATTTGATGGTTGTACTTCTGTTTACAAATGAAGTGATATTAAGATCGAATTGAACTTCTCGACTAGTACTTACTCGCTGCATATGCATTGCGATGGCAACAATCGGCTGCACATCTCCACGGCTGCCTACTATGAGAATTGCTATTTGCAAAGGTCTCATCGTTTCACCAAGCGCTTTCTCCATAATCCAGGCAACTCCTATCTTGAAGTCATACTCGGTACTTAAGATCTGTCCTAGGCTTGCCGCATCTGTTTCGTGTTCTCTTCAACACTCAATAGGACCCACTGTCATTCACTTTAAAACTATTATTTTAAGTTCGAATCTATCATATATAAAAGAAGAAAGTATTCTTCAACATACCTTTTGCAGTTTAAGGTTTATCATATTCTTGCCTATAAACTCAAAGATATATATATTTAGTTATATAAGTATAATTATAAATATGATTAGAGATTAATGTCAAATTTACAAATAAATATTTATTAGGATTTAAATTTAAAAAATCTATTTAATTTTGAGCCATTTGATTGAGGAAAATTTAGTATCCATTGATTTATTTATTAAATCTAATCTATTCATTTATAATCACAACCACTAATTACAGTTGTTAAAAAATCAATTATATGCCTCCAAAAAGCATATATGGCTCTTATGAAATGCAAATGTGTATTCAAGAACTATAAAGCATATTAAATCTGATTTGCTGCCTTAAGAAAAACAAAGTTAAAGAGAAAGATCAAATAGCTTTCATGATGAACATACACATTCTTCTTTCTACGTTGTCACATGGAAAATTAGTGTGTATTATTACTTTTATTATTATTTTTATAATGTGCAAATGAAGAAAACATATTTAATGAGCTGAAAACTCCAATTTATTTGAATAACTAAAAATAAAAAAAATCTATTTAGGATCAAGTTTTGTAGAGATAAATATAGTTCTTGTCTATAATAGTAACTATATCACAATGATTTAAGTATAAGTATAATTATAAGTAGAATTACAGCTAAGGTGGCAGCTACAAAAAAAAAATTATTTATCATTCTTGCAATTTTTTTTCATTCCTCTATTATAGAGTTTCAATAATTTTGAGGAGTAAAAAAACACTAAACTTGACATTAGATTTAGAGAATCATAAAAGTCAAAATCGATCAATATGGATCAATCCATCAATCGATCATAGTTCTTGGATATTGATGTCAAATTCAAAATAAATTTAACCATTCTAAATTCAGAATAATGATTACAGTAATTAAATTTAAAAACACTATTTAAGTTTAAGATATTTGATTGAGGAAAACCATATTATTCATTGATTTAATTATTAAACTAGTCCATTTTTTAGAATAAGCACAACCATGAATTAAAATATGCATAAAAATCAATTACGCCTATGCCCTCCAAAAAGCATTAATTATTCTTATAAAATGTTAAATTTGTTTGCTTGTTCTGTGTTGAACGTTAAGTTAACTTCTTTATACTATAGAATGCGTGTTCAAGCATACTAAATCTATTTGCTGCCTTAAGAAGTGATCCTTAAAACAAAGTCAAAGAGAAAGATTGAACTTACATGTTGTTCTTATGGAAAAGTGGAAACTTTTTGCAAATTCTACTTTGAAATGACAAACTTTGCATATTAATGGTCTTTATGTATTAGTGTGGTATTGGATAAGTTCTTTTCCAGTCTGGCTGCTGAAGCACCATTCATGCATAATGGTCTCATTGTGGGTAGTATGTCTCCCTGGCATTTTTTAAATGTGACAAAGGAATCAACCTGCTATAAAAATCCTGATTATTTTAAATGAAACAAACCACGACTAGAATTGCAAATAATAATTTGAAATAAATAATCTAATGAACAGCTCATTTATTGAGGTAGTGATGGAGACTTCCTGGGAAATTAAAGAAGATGTCATTAAACCCTTAATAGGTGTTTTAAGTGATGAAAAGCATTGTGCAAGAAGTGATGCTTGTGGTCCAATTGCAATCACGTACTTCATACTTCTGAGTCTAGAAGGGCATAGCTTGGATAATAAGGTTCCAGTTAGCTTTAATTTAAATAGGGATTGTAACCATGGCATGAGTACATTGGATTCTTCAGTTAAGCCATCATGCTTGTACACTACTACTACACTAGCATCATGGAGGCTTTAGTCAAGTCATCATATAGTTTAAATATACTTAGATATTCTAGATATATTCTTGACATTCTTTTTTCTTTTATTATAAACATGTAAGGGAATTCCTAATTATAAAGAATACACCATGGCAGCCTGGCCACGAATGAAGGTGTGGAGGTTGCCATCTGAGAACCACGGTACAAGTGGTGACCTTCCTGACTTCTGTTTCGATATTTCAATGTCATGCTTTCATGGGCGTTGTCTTGGCTCCTGAACTATCAGTTGTGGAAAGAGCAGGCTACGGCTTCGATTTGTTTCTCCAAAACGTCTCCTTCAGCTTCCAAACATGGATATCAAACCTTTCCCTGTCCTTGCTTTACTATGGTTGCTTCATTCCTGAATAACTGTGTGACCAATTATAAAAATTCAATCGTGGCCTCAACATGTCTAATAATTCTTTGTGCACTTGGATTTAAAAAGGGTCACAGGAATGTTGGGGTTGACGCCCGAGCTCGTGAGAGAAATCCTGGCTAGGGTTCCATTCTCGAGTGTCCTCACCTCCAGATGGCGCGTGGAAAGCAAGATGGCTGCTTTCAAAGCAAGCGTGGATCTCGGTCAAGATCGCACTCGCACGGGCGGTGAGTCCATTTGGGGAAAGCTCTACATGCTGTGGCTGAATGCTCAATGTTTATAATCAAGGAGGTTTGTGCGAAGACGGGGTGGTGAGTATGCGTGTGGTACAACCTACATTGCGTCTCACCTTTTCTGATCAAGAGGATAATCACTTGAATTTTTATGGACATGGCAAACCGATTTTCATATGATTTAGATACAGGTACGTGGGCTGATAAGAAGGTAGATGAATATAATTGCCGTTAGAGAATAAGATTGGAAAAGTGGATCAAAGCTTTACATGATTTCTTACAATGATATCAACGGGCAAGGATGTTGAGAACTTCGAGTAGCCTCCACGCGTAATGACATGCCCGGTGATTGATACCCTCAATCTTTTGCAGAATAAGCTCGCATTGCTGGAGTGTCAAGACCATCTGAAAACCAATCAATCAGATTATGATCATACATATACTTGCCTGCCCTTGCCGCATTACTCTTCTGCTTTGGAGATTGAATGTCAACTTCAAACTTTAAAGACTATAAGAGAAACTACTAATTTGCTGATAGAGATCGATCAATGATCATCAACTTCTTGTCGCCAAGTTCGTCACAAGCGCGTAACCTGCCGCACATCAAGTCCAGCTAAATTCTCGAAGGTCAACAGTAAGATGGCCTTGGAACTGGTTTCAGATCAATGAAGCGACGACACAAGGCCGAACTTTGGGTCACGTCACTTGCTGTTCCAAACAGCCATCCAGCCGTGCCATCGCCCCCTGCAGCCTCTTAAAACTTTCCCAAAGTCCTCAGGAAAGAGAAGAAATCGCTCTCAGCATTCTCATAGAGTTTCTCAATTCCTCAGAAACGTTGTTCTCCGCTAGAATTTATGAGACCTTGGAAAGAACAGCGCTCAGGACTCGCCATCCAACACAAGAGCCGCCACCAAAAACTCTAGCATCGTCAAGTGCGATCCATCAAATTATGCGAGAATAAATCTTTGGACCAAGCAAGGATGCCATTTCAAAAAGGAGTGAAGAGTGAGGGGAAAAGGCAAGAGAAAGTATAAAACAAGTTTAGGATTCTTTGGCAAGGGTATGGCGTGGACGAAGAAAAGCGCGGCCACAGTTCCCGCCCATGAATGCATGTTTCATCTCTAGTCAGCATCCCATTCTACTCAATAACCAGGAATGTTGGGGTTGACGCCCGAGCTCGTGGGAGAAATCTTGTGCAGGCTTCCATTCTCGAACGCCCTCATCTCCAGATGCGTGTGCCGGGCGTGGAAAGCAGCGGTGGACGAGCCCAGCTTCCGGAGCTCCTATACGGATAGCACTAAGTTCGACCCCGGGGAAAACTATATCCTGGACAGCAGTGGCAAGATGATGCGCTGGGAGCCTCGCAGTCACGATGCTCCCGACTGTCTGTGTGCCATCTCCCAAGGCAATCGCTTCTTGCTCGCTCGATCCACAAAGCTTAAAAAACTCTACGTTGGGAGTCCCTTCGCAACCAGGTGGGAGGAGATCCCCTACTTGGGATTCACGGTTTCGAGTGTGTTCCTCTTGGCCACTGCTGCCGAGCAGTTCAAGGTTGTGGTGGGGTTCTTGGATGGCAACATCCACACTTTCACTCGCGGCCAGACGGAATGGTGTCGTGTCCCGGTGTCCGTGCTGCATCGACCGCATCAAGTTCTCGTACAAAACAAATTGGCTTGTATAGATTCCTGGCATTGCAAGTTTGTTCAGTTTGATGTGCAAACCAACAAGATCACGTACAAGGATCTCAGTCTGTATCGCACGAGCGGTAAGTGTATCTACATTGCTAGCTGGAGGGAAAAGCTCTACTTGGTGTGGCTGAATGGAGGCTGAATGTTTACAATCAAGAAGGTTTGTGCGAAGACTGGCAATGAGATTGCCGTAGTGGGTACGCATACAGTAGAAGCTATACAGGCTAGACCGAATATCAGATTTATTTTTATTCAAAAGGATAACAGCTTGAATTTTGTTGGATATGGACCACATAGTTGTCGTGTCGTTTTATCATGTGATTTAGATACAGGTACTTGTGCTTGCTTTACTTTCTAATAATCATATCATATATCAAGGAATACAAAACAAGTTTTTTTTTGGTCGTCAAGAATCCCAGTGATCATTCAACCAAACTCATTTCCAAGCTTTCTTAATGTTTGTCGCTGGCGATGAGATTCTTTAGAGCTTTGATAGTATCACTGGCAAGGATGCGGAGAACGTCGAGTGACCTCCCCGCGTAAATGACAATGCCCGGCGATTGATACTCTCCAAATCTCCAGTCTTTTGCAGAATAAGCTCGCATTGCCGGAGTGTCAAGACCATCTGAAAACCAATTGCCTTTGATCAGATCAAGGAAGTTTACTTGATCATACATATACTTGCCTGCCCACATCCTGCCGTGTGCATCAAATCCTCTACAAAACGGTCTCATGCTACCTCTTCTTACTTCCTTTTGTAGCACATCCCACGCCTCCACTCTCATTTGCCGCGTTACTCTCCTGCCTCGCACGATCTGGAAGGAAGGATTGAGTATCAGCTTCAAACGTTAAAGAGGAAAGAAACGACTAACCTGCTGATAGAGGTAGTAAGATGGCCGTGGAACTCGTCTCAGATCATTGAAGCGATCGACCGACACAAGGCCGAACTTTGGACAGTAACCATCTGCCCATTCCCAGTTGTCTGAGATTGTCCAGTGGATGTAACCATCGATTGGAATGCCCTGGTAAAAAACCAACCAAAGAGTGAATAGAAAACTTGGAAAAACCGTCAAAAACCTTCTTCAAAGCTGTGCTCACGGCCAGCAAGTGTTCGATCAGGTATGGCCTTCGTAAAATATCACGAGCGTCCGAAAAGCCGTTCTCTGTAATGATATATCTGAGCTCAGGCTTGCGCGTCTTGTAACGATCGTGAAACGCTTCGAGTATTTCGAGCAGTCCATTAGGATAGACTCCTCTACCAGCCTCACTGTACTCTTCTCGTTCGTCTAGCATCAGCCCAGCCGCAGACAGAATTTCCTACAAACCAACGGACCTTGTGTAAGTAATAGTGATTCGCAAATCTACTTACCTGGCCATAGTAATTTATCCCACAGAAGTCAAGGTGGTCTTGGATTAAATCAATCCAGTGAAACTGAGTGAGCCACTTGGACAAAAGCGAGGCGGGAATGTCGAGAAAACCATAAGGCTTGATCACTCCCACATGATGAGCAACTCCTACGACGGCCTTTGGATTTCTACGAGAGAAGCATCTCAGTCGTTGTCAAATAGCAAAACTCGAACGTACCTTTCGTGGAGCACATCATACGCAGCAATATGCGCAGAGCTTATCGCCCGTATAGCCTTCCCATAATCACCGAGCGGGGAGAAACACAACAAAGAGGAAAACAGCGACAGTCGAACACCCGGTGGCCAGGTTCCGGAACAGTGAGTGAGCAAGGCAAATATGTGTGGCTCGTTGAATGTCACCCAGTAATCAACATACTCTCCAAAATTCTCATCGGCAAACCTGGAAAGGTTTTATTTAAGCAACAAGTATTATCTCAAGAGCACAAGAATTGGTACCTTGCAAACTCCGTGAAGTACTTAATCGTCCTAGTGTCCGTCCAGCCTCCATATGGCAAAGCCCACTTTGGAAGAGAATGATGGAAAAGAGTGAGCATAACTCGCATGCCGTGATCCAAGACACTTTTAAGGATCTTTTTGTATTGCTCTACTGCTGCTTTATCCACCTACAACATGTAAACAAGATACAAAAAAAAAAAAAAGAAGCAAAACACAGACACTACGTACCACTTGCTCGATGCCATTCACTGGCTCAGCTATCACAATTCGACCCCAGTCTATGCCCAGTCGAAACACACTCACTCCCGTTTCTTTCGCCAGCTTAAGCTCTACCTCGGGATTCGACCAGAAACGGAGGCGCTCATCGGGTTGTGGAATGTTATGCCATGCTCTCACCTGCAACTTAAAATCTGTAAGTACAAAAACGAAAAACATGACGTTTACATTGAATCTCTTCTCTTGCGCAAACTCCAACCAGGAGTCGTTCAGCTTGTCTTCTACATGAGCTGGTGCAGTCGCAAGGCCGAAAAAGAATTCCCGTTCACAGGAAAAGTCTGATGATATTGATCAATCAATGAGCTACATTTCTTAGCACAGAGGAGAAACAAAAATGCATACCTGGCGGCTCCACGTTGCAGGTACTAAAATCAGCCAGAACTGGAGCTTCATCGCCGCTTAGAAGCCTGGCTTTCGGTGACTGACGCTCAAGAATCCAGCCACACACAATCGCATACACTACACCTATGAACCCCAACCAGAAGAAGAAGCCTGCTCTTGACATGGGATAAAATACTTAAAATGGCATTCAACCCTATAAAGAAAACAAAGAGAGCATTGTTTTTTGAACCAGACCACACACAGTCTCGACACTCCAGCTAGAAGAACTAGTGTACCTGTAGCTATGTACAGAAGCAAAGGCTTCAGGTCGGTAGTGTCTCTCACTCTGACTTCTTAAAACTGCGACTTGTCGAGGTTTTCGAAGTAAGGGTGTTGCATTGCTGCCTTTGCAGAGATCCGCTTGGAAGGATCGTATTGCAGCATTTTCTGCGAGAAGACGGATGGAAATGTAAAAAGTGAGATAAGAGGTTCATCTCTAGAAATCGAGAAACTCACAGTCAGCAAGTCCACTCCTTTGGGATCAAGGTCCGGAACGGCGCGGCTTATGTTTTGTGGTTTCCACTGCGGGAACTCGTGCCAGTCACGGAGCTTGCTCACTCCCGGCCAGATTTCATCGTTCGGAGTACCCAGGAGCCTTTATGACGAAGCAAAAAAAAAAAAAAACAAACGTTCAAGAAAACAGTGATACACAACAACTTTTTTTCATGCCTGAAAATGTGAAGCAGTTGTTGCAGCTCTGAGTCGCCTGGAAATAGCGGGACCTTCCTGGAGAGCTCGGCTGCACAAAGAAAGCAAGCGAGCCACATTATGTTTGCGAAAGGTACGAGGAAACATACCGAAAATGCAGCCGACGGACCAAATATCTACAGGAATGGAGTAGTGAGTAGCACCCAAAAGTACTTCCGGGGCACGATACCACAGTGTCACGATCTAATACGAGAGAAAAATCGTCAGGTCGAGTTTCATGAACTGATGCTCAATCTAACCTCGTGGGTATAGCTCTTCAAGGGAACAGTGAAAGCCCGGCCGAGTCCCAAGTCAGCAATCTTTAAGATTCCTTTCTCCTTGTCGACGAGAAGGTTTTGCGGCTTGAGGTCCCTGCAAAAGGACACTCGTTAGAAAGAAGAAAAAAACTACCAAGGAAAAACTTAAGAAAATACCTGTGCATCACTCCATGGCTGTGGCAATGCGCGACGCCCTTGCACAGCTGATACATGAAACTCTGGCAACAGATCACAGAAGTAAGAAATCCAGTCACGAAACCACTAGAATCCACGAAAACCTGGATGATCTTCGGAGGAATAGGACGCCCAGTGTTGCCGCGGCCAAACAGATCGATGTACTTCTTCAGATCTGTGTCCAGGAACTCGAAAACCAGATAAAGCATTGGCTTTCCCTTCTTATCGACGTGTTCCACGCACAGGAGCCTGGCGGCGGCAAGAAATACTGAGCGACAGAGGAAGAAGGCAGAGATTTCGAGCTCACCTCACGACATAGATGCTCTGGGACAGCATCTGGAGCAGCGAGACCTCGCGCAACGCCGTCGATGGCACTCCCTCCTCCTCCATTTCGAGCCGCGTCTTCTTGAGCGCTACCAGGCGCCCGGAATTCTTCTCTCGCGCCTTGTAGACCTTGCCATAGGTCCCTTCCCCGACCTTCTCGAGCTTCACGTAGTTGTCCATGGCCGGATCGAGGCGGCGGCAGCGGCGATCTGGAGCTCCAGCGCCCAAACCCTAAAGAAATATTTGGAGCCGTTGCAGTCCCTCCTCTGCTCTTCACTTCAAACTCCAACGAATCTGGGCCGTCCGTGGCTCTAACGTTAATTCCACGTGTCATATCCATGACGTGTCACGCCAACTCAGCCGCTATCACAGCCGTTGGATCGGACTGAATCGGGGCCGTCCGTGGCTTATGACGTGTCACGCCAACCCAGACGCTATCACAGCCGTTGGAGCTGATCAAATCGGGGCCGTCGGTGATAAAAATCTCTACCGTGGGATATGCGTTACACTAGAGCGCGTTCAAACTTCAAAGTCTCACGCTATGGTCATTGGTGGCGATGATGGTCAGGGTTTCTTCGCCGCGCCTGGTGATCGTGGCGGCTGGAGCGATCGCCATCGCCACTATCTTGATCGCTTTCGCTCCAGTGGTCGACAAGGCCAGATTCATTCCATCAGCGGTAATCTCCAATTTGATCCGGTCACGGCCACCGAATTCCTCTGCCCGAGCGATTGATCGCCAGCGCCTCCAGCAGTGCTCCGCGATTTCAAAATCCCCATCGCAGTGCCCGGCCTACTTCTCCTGGATTGACAGGGACCTGGCACCGTGGAAAGACCACGGAATCACGCTCCACAGCCTCCAAGAAGCCAAGAAGAGGGCGGATTTTCGCGTGCTCATCCTCAATGGCACGCTCTACATGGAGCGCTACCACAAGTGCTTCCAGACGCGCGACGATTTCACGCTGCGCGGCCTCCAGCTGCTGCTCGATCGCTTCCCAGGGATGGTCCCGGACGTGGATCTCATGTTTGGCTGTGGAGATTTCCCGGCAATCCCTCGCGCAAAGGGCAGCGACGATCCATCGCCGCCTCCTCTCTTCTCCTACTGTACCACCGCCAGGGGCGAGAACTACGACATCGTATTTCCAGATTGGTCCTTCTGGGGATGGTAAGGCTCCCGAGATTTTCGGTTATGTTCTTATAACTTCCTTGAATCACGGCCAGGCCCGAGGTAAACATTCTTCCGTGGGAGGAGGAGAAGCAAAAGATCTACTCGGGAGCTCGAGAGGAGAAATGGTCAAAGCGGCAGAGGTTTGCGTATTGGAAGGGGAATTACTGGACTGGGGCCGCTCGACCGGATCTAGTAAAGTGTGCTGCGAACAAAGATGTCAATTCCAGCCGCTTGATCACTCATCACCAGGTAAGAAGCAAGTTTCAATCCAGGTTTGAAAGATCTTAGACCTCGAAAGAGCTCTTTGTCTCCATGATATCGCAGGATTGGAATGCTGAGAAAGGGCAGGGTTTCAAATCCTCGGACATGTCCAAGCAGTGCACTCACAGGTAGAGTCTCATTTTCATAGCGCCAGCTACAGATCTAGCTTTGATCCTCATAGGTACAAAGTCTATGTGGAAGGTCGAGGCTGGTCTGCCAGTCTCAAGTATATTATGTCGTGTGGATCCACCGTTTTGTTCATCAACCCCGATTTCCACGAGTTCTTCTCGAGATCACTGATCCCGTTCGTCCACTACTGGCCGATCAACCGAACCGACATTTGCAACTCGATCAAAGCTGCTGTAGATTGGGGGAATGCCTTTCCTGAGGAGGTTTGTCACGAGATTTTCTTGTTTCTTTTGTGCTTCCTAACCATTTCATCGGCCAGGCCGAAGCTATGGGGAAGTGTGCTCAAACATTTCTAGACATGGAGCTCGATATGAAGTTTGTCTACCAGTATATGTTGTTGCTTCTCCAACATTATGCCCAGCTGCTAAAATTCGAGCCGGTTTTGCCTGAGGGATTGGCACCATTCCAAACTGACAACAAAGCTTTTGTAAACAAAACTAGCAGTGTAGCTCTGACCCAAGCTTGCACTATATACTAAAATTTTGAGCGATTAATTGTTATTTAACTTTAGCTGTTAGTTTAATAAACCCCAAGCACGAGAAAGACTTTTCTAGTTCATCTCCACTGTGTCCCTGGACTTTTTGTGTTCCATTTGGCACAAGGACTAGAAGAAAATGTAGTGCCTTGGCATTTCAAGGAAGTTGACGCCTATGAAATAGAAATTTCACTAGCTGGCTTTTGGCCTTTGGCGTTTTCCTAATAGTTTAAATATTTGTATGTATGTATAAGCAAAGAGGTATGATTAAAATTATATCAATTCTAAGAACATTCAAAAACCTATACATTATTATTTTTCAGAAGTTAGTTTGAAAGGAAAGCAACCATTGGACTTTGGTTTCAATCCATGCTCCAAGCCATGCTTGGTGATTGTCAGGGCATGCCGGTAAGCATCTTTCCTCTCTGCAATGCATCCTTGCCTTGCAAGCATTGCTCCCTGACCCTTGTGACAAATCTCCACTGTGATAATTCTATCTTTCTCCAACCTTTGTTTCCATGGTTCCCCATCCATTCTCATGTAAGTGCAGCACTGATTTGATCGTGACGATGATCTGCACTGGAGCTCGATCTTAATCTCGTGTGCCTGACAAAGAAAAACGCAAACTTTACCGCAAGAAAAGTCGTTTTTCATACCTGAGCGAGACGAGTTCCATGGCCCTTTGGAAACAACAGGAACAAGCCGTGCCATCCATCTCTGAAGCCAACTATTTCCAGCAATCCATCTTCCACAGATGGAGAAGTTAATCCTCTCTACAAAATTCTTCCAGTAAAATCGAAGATGACATAGCTAGAATACCTTGATAGATTTTCTGTCATTGGGAGTCCCCCAAGGATCCAAGCCTCCTGAAAAGCTTGGTAAGTTTAGCAAAACCAGGGACCTTATGCTGTAAAAGAAAATCATAGAACACAAGCACATTGGACTTCAACATAATACCTAGAGGAAATCGGCAGTTTCTTCCATGGACCATTGAAATCAGCTGTATACACTGTCGCGATTTCATTGATACTCCTGGAAACAAATCGTTGGAATAAATCACAAGACGAGAAACAAGTAAATTCACAAACCTTGAGGAAGGATGCAAACAAGGAGCGCAAAACCATCCTTGAGTACAGCCAAGAGTAGCATAAGCACACTGTAAAAAATTGATCTGTTATTTAAAACCATAGATATCCTAAACTTTGTCATACTTGGTTTCTTAGTTGGCTATTGAATTTCTCGGGGTTTTCACGTCTTTGCTTATGAAACTCGTATGAAACCTGTGCATCCATACCTGAGAAAGTATAAAGAATGAGAATATTTTGAAAACTGGAACACTATGATAATCACCTATGCTGAAATAATTCCAAAATCCTCCACGAAACTTTAGTGGAGCTTCCTGACGATCTTCGAGAGTCAAGCCGTCATCTAGAACGTCAAAAAGAGCTTACATTGGTTTCTTCGATTCTTGGAATCTTTTGTATTGAATGAGGCAGCATATCCGGCTCTCCTTCCATTGTCATTGTTAGCTGCCATCTTAGATTACCAGAATCATCACAACTTGTTAGAGATTTTTAGCTCTTTAGATTTTTAGATCAAAACCTGTCCACTTTCAGAGAATGTGCCTCGAGCACTTGCTTGAGAAACTTTTTCATGGAGCGAGCATCCGTGCCAGGATTGAACTTCCCCTGAATGTAAAGTTTGGAAGAAGAAAAATGTAAGAGAGCAGTGGAAAGCTTGGAGATCACTTACCCAGCCAAACGAGAATGGAAGATTGTTTCCAGTTCCAAGAGGAATCGTGGTAATTGGAAATGGATGGTGAGGGCTCACGTCGCTCGCTGTTCCAAGCAGCCATCCAGCCGTGCCATCACCCCCTGCAACCTTTTAAATCTTTAGAACAAAAAGTTCCTGAGCTATCAAGAGAAGACATCGCTCACCACAATCCTCAAAGAGTTTCTCAATTTCTTCGCAACATCGTTCTCGGCTTCTAGATTTTTCGAGACTCTGGATAGAACTTCTCGAGGATCAACCTTGCTTAGATCAAACACCTAGTAGACCAAAGAAACCACTAAGCCAGAAAACCAAAAAAACAAAAGTTGGAAGTGAAAAAGATACGTACCTGGTGTGACGCTAGAAGCTTGGAGAAGGTCTCCAGGAGCGCGATTCCCAGCTGCCCACCACTCTTGGCATTGACAAAAACGAGCAAAGGAAACCTGGGAACCCTTTCCAAGCCGCCACCATCGCAGCGCTCCTCGCGATCCAACACAAAAGCCGGCAACAAAAACTCTCCCAAATCCAGCATTGTAAACAAAAAAAAAAACCTCCCAGTGCGATCGATCAAGGAGGAGATGAGCTAAGATACCATCCGTCAAGGAGTGAACGAATGACGCGGTGTTCCACAAAGGAGGCTACTGGAAAGCCTAAATTTTGTCAAAGAAAAAAGAAGCAGCCACTCACGCTAAACTTCCTGCCTCCTACCTAGGTATTCAAATATTTTCAAAATAATAGAGAAGGTCATATCTGTGCATTTATAAGAGAAATTGCGTTAGCCGGGAGTCGAACCCGGGTCTATTGCTTGGAAGGCAATTATCCTAACCGTTGGACTACTAACGCGATATCTTGTATACTTTTTCCAAAGTAAGCCTACTCTACGATTTTCCCAATGACCGTTGACCGATTTAAATTTTTTCTCGCAATTAGGGTTTCCTGCGTCGAGAGTGATAGGGCATGGGGGAGGCGGACGATGGAGCGCTCTACGACGAGTACGAGGAATCCGAGGAGTCGGTCGATGCTATAATCGCGAGGATCGAGCACAAGGCGCCGCAAATGGAGCGCCTGCTTAGATTGTAAGTGTAGCGCTATCAAATCGCAAGATTTCTCTCACCTCTCTCTCATTCTTTTGCAATAGATCTCGGAATAGTGAAGCGCTCAAGGTCGCGTTGGAGGACCCGCCGACGAGAACCAAGGACGAGCGATGCAAGGTCTGGGATTCAATGGTTTTTTCCAAGTTTCTTATGTTTTTTCTAGGAATGCTGCGCAGTCTGCCAATTGGATTTTGGTACATCAGGCTCTCATGGCGTGTAAAGACGTGGATGCGTTGTTTGCGACGCTAGATCCAGAGTACTACGACATTCTTATGAAGTAAGAAAAGATTTCCTCTCGTGCTCGACTATTGCTGATTAGATATCTCTCTTCTTTCCTTGCTTTTTTGTTGAGATTGCCAGGTATGTTTATAGAGGTCTCGCCACGGGCGATAGAACAACGTGTGATCAATGCCTTCGAATCCACGAGAAATTAACTGATCGAGCAGGGATGGGGTGTATAATGCGAGCCATAGCTGACACTTGGAACGTAGTTTGACTAAGTTTGTAAAAATTACTACAGTCAATGGGTCAACTTTTTCTTCTTTTTTTTTTCTTTGGAAAATACCTCGCATTCTTTTAGAAAGAAAGATTGGATAATAGTAGAATATTCGAAGAGCTCACCAATTAGAATTAGAAAGGAGATTTCTCCATCTTTGTCAAAGGTAGACGTGTTCTTCATGCACAGTCGCGTTGATTCTCAAGCGTTTCCATATATAAACAAGCCCTTGCTCGGTTACTAGGTACGATAGCAGCTAGCTATGGCGCTCGTCACACATTCTTTGATCGCGTTCTTCTTCCTCTCCATCTTCTCCACATTCTCGCTGGAACGCGTCCACACTCTGGGTGACAAGAAGGGTGACAAAGATGATGATTCGAAGTGTCCACCGCCACCATGTCCACCACCGCCGCCGCCACCCTGCCCCCCGCCACCGCCAAAGTGTCCGCTGGGCTGCATCCCAGCTCCTCCTCCTTGCAAGCCTTGCAAGTCCTGTGACAAAGGCAAGGATTGGAAAGACGATGATCGCAAGAAGGGTGTCAAAGATCGAGATGATCAGGACGATTGCAAGCCCTGCAAGGATGATTGCAAGGACGATTGTAAGGATGACTGCAAGCACGATTGCAAGCACTGCAAGGATGATTGCAGGTCTTGCAAGCCAAAGAGTCGTCCCAAATCCCCAAAGTTTCCACCGAAGTCTTCCAAGAATCCACCAAAGGACGGCGACGACGAGGACGATCACAAGGGCGACAAGCTGACGGATCGCGATGTTCGGAATCTTAATAATCTCCTGGCTGTGCAGTTCGTGCTCAACGACATCTTTCTCAGAGCCAGCCTCGGAAACGCAAGGGCGAGACCGTCTTCAGTTGTGCAGCCAGCTTCGGTCTCCCAGAAAGTTGTGTTTCAGCAAGTTTCAGGAGATCAGCAGATGATTCCACAGATGTTGAGCGAGTTCAGTGCAATCTCAATCGCCCAAGTCAGGTAACATTTTAATTATCAATCAATCCATATTGCAAAGTGTATTGATCAAACGCTCTTTCAGTTCCATGCTTAGTGTGCTCCAGGACCGGGCCATCCAGAGGCCTCAAGATCTAAACGTGACCAATGAAGTGCTCTCCACGGCAGTGAACAGGGCTTTCAATGGCAGCCTGCGGCCCGACTTCAGCATCGATGACGATCCCACGAAACTGCTGTTGGGTGTTCAGTCGCTCGGCCCGGGCTTGGCAGCATCAGTGGCAACAGACATGCTTCCAAATCTCGAGAGCTCCAGAGCAGTCTCGGTAAGTTATCATTCTGAAAGTTTACGAGAAAGTTGGCGAGCTTTGTAACTAATGGTATTGGAATTTGGCAGCTTGTTGCTGGGATTCTTCCGGCTTTGGCGAGCCAGGATGCGTCCATGCGCACTGTTCTATACTCGGAAAGGGAGGCTCGCGTGGAGCCATACAACTATACCGTGGGAGAATTCATGCAAAAGACGAGTTCCCTGACCGCGAATTTGCAGCAAGATCCTAATGGTAGCTCCGGGAATGGATCTGGTGGCGACATCCTCTCGGTGAATGTTTTGGGATCTGGGATTGCTGTGCCCGCGGAGAATGTCTTGAATCTCATTAGCAGCCTCCTCAACATTGCAAGTATCGGATAGATTTATGGGAACGTTATAGTGTTGTCGTGAAGAATAAGAGGAAGTATCACTTTTCATTTATACATCCATGAATAAAGCTTTCGATATGTTATCTCTTTTCTCTTGGGGTTTGTAAGAGGAGCTTATTTCTTTTGCAGTTTCTTTCTTTCAATCGAGCCTTGTGACACAAGTTGGATTGCAAGGGTATGCACAGTCGATGTGTATGGACGACGACGAACGGCCAAAGTACCAATCACCCACAGTTTTTGCAGTTGACTGTCCAGTCAAACAAGATCACGATGAGGTTTGAAACAATCTACAAGAAGTTTTTCCATACCAGGCCATTGACTTTGGGATTGTTCCACTTGTCATCCCCTTGAACTTGGCAGTGACTGAAGCAGGAATCGATGAACATCCCCGACGATCCCCGGGAGCGCGAGATGGAGAGCGCGTCGAGCATGCTTTGCCTGAACCCTTGCAGAACATTTACGTTTGGGCACGCCGAGTGATCTACACAGGAGCTGTATTGATCTCTCGACAATCTCTTGACATTCTCTAGCTGCGACAATAGGATATAAGAAACAACAATAGTACCAAGTGAAGAACTCTTGCCTGCCAAAAGTCGTAGGCACCGTTGACGAAGAACAAGGGCGGTCCAACGTAGTTTTGCATGTTTTGTGGAAAAAAGCACTGGAAGATTCTCGATGGAAATACACTAACTTCAGCAAGATTGTTTATGAAAATACCTGGGTTGCATCTTTTGATGAGATGCAAGAGCTAGGCAGTGTATCTTTCAAGCTATGTGTGTTGACAACTCCATTATAAAAACTATACAGTGCATAGTTGCCGCTGGTATCCGGCCTGAAAATAAAAACAAAAGAATGTGGGTCAACGGAACTCTGACTTTCGATGACTCACGCGTTGAGAAAGAAGCCACCATCGCTCAAGCACTTGACTTTGATCCCAGGGAGATAGTACTGAAAGTCATTGCAACGGTGAATCGTTGACAGTCCTCCGGCCGAGCATCCAGTGAGAAATGCCTGTAAAAATCACAAACTCTTGTAATTTATTTCGTGTTACTGGGGACTTTTACCTGGTCTGCATTGCCAAGACCTTGAGACTTGAGATCATCTATGATCGCTTTAAAAGCTTTTCTTCCTCTGAAATACAGCGTCTGGAAAGATTTTTCTTAAGAAAAACATTAAGTTTTGTGACATTACGATAGATTACCTGACCAGAAGAAGTCTTGTAAGGATTTGCTACGTCACTGTTGAACGATGATCCATCGCAGTATCTTACGTAGACGTGATTCCAGTTATAGAAGTCTATGATTCGACCACGTATCAAAAACAATTAGAGAAAGACGATGATGATCTCACCTGGGTTGACGTTGTAATTGTTATTGAGAAGGCCCGTGAAAGGGATTGAGGTCTCCATCTTGCTGGAGCTTCCCAGATTCGTAGATGCCCTCTCGACGCACTTCTCGATCGATTCGCACCAAGCTCCACCCTGGAAGACGACGATCCAAGAATTTGTGTTAGAATCCATGGCATGGCTGGTCCAATTTCTCGAGATCGAGATAATGAAAAACAGAGGAAGCACACCTCTAGATGTAAATGCCAGCTGTTCGCGCCACTTCCAGAGCCTTTGAGGAGATGATAGGCAGGAGCACTCCCATCCAAGCATACTGCATCACAATTCCACCGAATTTCACGAGAGATTCTTGGAAAACTTGAAAGAACTTTTCATCGATCCTTCCACTCACCGCCTCCAGTTGCCGAGGCCAAAGCGCTGGAAACGATCGTAATTCCCACCCAAAGTTGCCCGTCCCCGGCCTTGCGATGGTGGTGTTGGATCGGTGGAACGTCCGGTGTCAATTCAAACGCGCTGTAAGTGCTCTGGACAAGAAGAAGAAGAAGAAGAGCAGCTAAAGCTAGGCGAGACTGGAGCATCGAATTTTGTGCGCTGCTAGTTCCCATGCCAGCAAAAACTATAAGATACTCGCTCCTCGGAGAAGAAATTCTTCGATCTTGTTCTTTGCGATGTATGGAAGTACCACTTGACGCGCAAGAAAGTTACCAGACAAGATTAGTAGTACTATGTGTCACTCTCTCTTTGTCGAGAGATCCCAAATTTATAGCGCCGAGCGTGTGTAGTGGACAATCGTTCTTGTGGCCAGTCGTAAACCAGCTGGAGAGAAGTTTGGTGTCGTTAACCCTGTGAAATTTATGGACTATACGTTTGCCTTTTGTTGTGGTTACACAAGCTCCATCGCCTAACGCTCTGCTTGTTGCTGGATCGATCTATATATCTGAGAGTTCCATTGTTTTCTTTTGTGTGTGTTTTTTTCTACCAAAAGAAAATTCACGTGAAAACCTTTGTCACCTTTGCTGCGATTGAGATATGAGAAACGAAAGTTGGAGGACCCAAACTTTTGCGACTAGCCAGCTAATTCAGCGAAAGCCGCACGCATGGTGCCCTGGCAATTCTGTCGATGTCATCTCGGTGTAACATCTTAGTCTCAACGTCTTATAGTCTTAGAGTGATTATAATGCAAAAGCACTGCTCTTATATAGCTCCTGCCAGTATTCCACCAATAATTGCAAAGGAAGAGCCAAGCATGACAGAAATTTTGCATTGTTAATTGGGACAACTTGTCGATATCATTGGCAAGCACGGATAGCGACGCAGCTCGGCTGAGATAAGAAGCCCCCAATCTTTCCTCCTGTTTGTTCACGAAAGGAGAAAAACAAAGAGAAGAAGAAAATAAAAAAGGCACATCACTCTCTTCTCCAGTTGTCGACGCGATTTGCTCGTCGCTACACAATCCCAACGCTTGGTGGAGTTTGATCGGAACTGGACACCTAAGAACATGACACGCAACTTAACATCCTTTTGGCAATGTCTCTATCGAATCGAACCTTGAAAGTGCGATGTCTACAATTGATTCATTTCCTTGCCAAGTGCCTGTTTTCTTCCTTCCTGGAACAAAGGTGGATTGAAAAAAAAAAACACTCCAAGAAAGAACATTCGACTATAGCGCACTAACCTGGCTGCGTGTTCTTGCCTCCGATTCTCAAACCAATCCAAAACGCGTTTCCTTGGGACGTGAGTCAGCTCAACGATGTTTTGGATCAAAGCACCCTGCTCGAAAACCACGAGTTTAGTTAGAAAAAACACCGAAAGATTTGATCGAAAACTCACAGTCGGCCTCTTCGTACGTTGGAACACCTTCTCAAAAGTTTCCAAGTGTTCTTTCCGGATTCTCTTCTTCCCGTACCAAGCCTTTGGACCTGTTCCTTGAGTATCACCCGGCAAGCCTATCCTTTCCACACGAGGAGAGTCGTTTTCCTCTTTGCCAGCTTCGCTATCTTGTTCTTGAGTGCCTGTTTGATCTTCGGGCTTGTCTTCTTCCTCGTCCGATTCCTTGTCGGATATCGAGTCAATCAGTTCGATGAGCTCCGGTGGAGGATCGCGTAGAAAGGTAAGAACATCCCTGCGGTCGAGGCCAGTTTCTCCAGCCAGGGCCTTCACCTGGAAAAAGAAAAGAGAGAACCAGTGAATAGAAAGAGAAAGAGAGAAGCCATGCACATACCTTGAGCTGGCTCTTTTCAACGTCCAAAGCATCTCTTAGCTTTCGAAGTTGCCATTTCTCGAGCTTGACAACTCGCTTCGCCACCATTTCGCTTTCCAATCGCTGTGCCTCTTCAATAAACTTCGCCAGACCAGATCCACCACCGCTGATTTCTTGTTCTTGTTCTTCCTCCTCCTCCTCATCTTCTCTTTCATCCCTCGAAACGTCTTTCTCCTCTTCTTCTCGATCCTTGTTCTTCTTTTTCTTTGCGTTTTTCTTTGCGCCCCGACTGCCACCACCACCCATCAGCTCCTGTTCCAGAGCAACCATCTGTTCCTCAGTGATCGTCTCCACCTCCACCTTCTTTCCCGCTCGCTCGGCCTCCAAATCCTTCTCCAGCTGAGCGAACAGTGCCTCCAGACCCGCTTCATCCTCCTCATCGTCAAAATCATCATCTTCAAGTTCTTCCACTCGAATTCTTTGCTGCCGGCGAGGCTGCTGCTGCTGTCGATCCTTGAAACCTGCCTGGAGTCTAGCAATCAGCCCATATCTCTATCCTCGTCCAAGAGAAAGAATGAAACAAACCTTGCTCTTGCTGCTCCCACTTCCCTTGCTCCGCCTAGGCGACGCCAAAGCCACGATCGCCCTGCCCACACAATGCTGCCTCGCTGTGCTCACCGGATTCCATAGCGCTGTGACGCTCCTCTGCCCCGGAAGCGCGAGCGCGAGCGAGACCGCCATAGCCATTACCTACATCGGGGTTTAGGGTTTATAGAAGAACGTTTGCTTTCATTCTGTTACAACAAAGAAAAATCTTTGGAAGTTACATAAGCTACTCTCTACGAAGCAAAAAAAATTATAGGAAGAAGAATTACCATGTTGGTACTTAAGGTTCGCTTGGATTGCTTGGATGGAGCTCTCATCCCTGTGAACACCAACACAATCAAGCTTGAAACTTTCATCCAGGAAAAGAAATATGGAAGAGAAAAACTCTCGCTTTCTTACCTCTTCCATTGCGTCTCCAGATCCATTGTATTGCCCAGTCGCAAGCGCCTGTAAACACGAAAAAAAAAGAGAGAAGAGTTTGCTGAGCCAATCTCCATGAGAAATTCAAAGACTTTGGAACATACCCTCTCGAGCCTCGCAACTTCTGCCAGCGTTTGAGCGTTTTGAATAGCAGCCTATACAAAAACAAAGAAAACGATAAGAAAGACTGAAAGAGTGATTTGTTTTTTACCTTGAGAGCCGTCCGGCTTAGATGCTGGTGCTTTGCGTCCGAGGCGGGCTCAACAGCAGCGGGAACCTCGCCGGGAACGAAAGTTTGCTCCGCTCCACCTTTCTTGGCATTTTCTTCGGCTTCTTGCGACGCAAACCTTGCCTTGGCGGCGATCTTTTCCTTGGCCTTCACCTTGCTAAAGTCCAGCAACCGCAGGTTTGGAAGCTTGTGGATGACGTAGAGCCGATACTCGGGTAGCTTGGTCACGACGTTCTCCAGGAGCGAGAGAGTGTGGAGCTTTACGAGCGATGCCAGGGGATCCAGTTCTGCGAGATTGCTGAGCCTGTTGTTAGTCAAGACGAGAGTGTGAAGTTTTGGAAGAAACTCTGCAAGTAGAAGGAAACCACTCGTTAGAGCAAATACAAGAAGAAAACTACGAAAGAAGAAACAATGCAATGCGAGAATAGCATGTCGACAGCCTCAGTCAAGTAGTGGAATCATGTACATGATCAGCCATTGTCAGGTGTAAAACACATCACTGGCTGAGTCCTCCTGAATGAAAGGATTGAAAAAAAATTCCTAAGAGCTTTCTAAGAGCTGTTCTTTGCAACTTACCTCCAAGGCTGGAACTGATGCGAGAAATTCTGTTGTTGCTAATGAGAAGTGTGGACAAGCGTCGCAGCTCTGGGAATCCATCCAGCTTGACGATCTCATTATCTGAGAGGTCTATACTGTCATATTGATCCTAAGAAGAATAGAAAAAAACGAGAAATCAGAGACTAGAAGAGACGCGCATTACGTACCGCAGTGACTCCAAGGTTCTCAATAGCAGCGATTTTGTTTCCTACAGCCACAGAAGAAAGAAAATGTGAGCGCTTTCCATACAAAGATCGGTGTGAGAGTACCTCGCAGATCGATCTCGCGGTCCTTGACGGCATTCAGGTACTGCGGCGCCCGCGAGATGAGCTCCGCTCCAAGCCGCACCATCGCGGAACCCTAGCGCGCTCGCCCTAGGGCTTTTCGATAAACCCTAAGAAACAGAGCCCAAAAGCAAGTACGGTACTTTCGTACGAAACTTTTGATAGATGCTTATATACATTTTGATGTCATATGGTTTGCGATAATTTCGGGAAGATTGGAGGATCCAGAAACTCTCCCGATAGAAACGCGTTTGCCACAATCTCGTAGAAGTGTTCCGTGAAGTGATTGTCGTTCCAGAAGATATACTGCGATGGGTCATCACAAGTTGGGCCCTGGATGCGAGCTCCATTCACGAAAACGCTCTCTCCACAGTCGACAGTGGTGGTAGCGTTATAAATCCCACAGCAAGCCTCGAATCTGTGCGTGAATCCTGCCACAAAAGTTGGAGCAGACTTAGAACCTCATCCGGATCGAAAAGCTTTGGATAAGGATGAATGATCGGACCATAGTGTTTGTAGTTTTCAAAGATTTTCTTGGTGATCCCGAGGAAGTCCCCGGTCGCGAAAGCCGAGCCGGGCAACTCGTCACGCAACTTGCGTACCATTCTCTCGAGGAGGAATTTATGACGATAGCCAACCTCGTTGAATCGTGCAAGACAGCCCAACTCGTCCATTTCCTCCTTGCTCCAATCAGCAGTAGCAAGGGAGCGAACGTTACATCCCTGGATTGGAACATTGATCACCAGGAAATTCCGCGCTCCCGCTTGATACAGCTCCTGTTCGTAAGAAAATCTTCCTGTCAACATACTGTAAACTTCGATCATTCTTAATTTACCCGGATCGTTTCTTCAATCTCGTGGACCACTCGAGGGACAAAGAACTTGATTATGTCTAAGAAATCGACCCCACTTCCGTGGAGCATTGCGTAATCGTTGCCCCCAATCTCACCGATGACATACAGAGCTTCACGAAACTGGCGAAGATTTGGAACAGAATAGGCTGCGCGAGATCAAAACAGTATGATACTACCTAGACAAGAAACAAAGACTACGTACCACTCGATCCATTCATAAGTGCTTGCTCCTGGAAGCTATGGAACCACTGTAGCTGTGTGTCAAACGAGAATGTGGGCCTGCGAGGCATGATGTTGCGCTTGCGGTAGAAATCCCTGATGCTCAAAGCTGTGGCTCCAACCGTAGCGAAGTTGGCGCCATAGACAAAGTTCGCACTGGCCTTGTCGAGGTATGGGTCCAGAAAAGGGACACCCATTCCACTCGCTGCACAGAAAAGTCGAATCGATCACGCATTTCCCTCTCGAGAGAACGACGTGAATCAATCAATCACTCACCTAGAAAATCGATGATAAGTCGCCCGTCCGTCACTCTTCCAGTCGCCCTCTTGAAGAAGGTCTCGCCGTAAGGGGGGAGGCCCAAGATTCCTGATCCATTCAGGCCCGGGAACGCGAGGAGTGAATTGCCCGCGTCGGAGAGGGAATCGCCAAATTGGAACACAACCCGGTGATCGCATAGAACCCCGAGATGGAATTGGATCGCGCACAAGATCACCGCGAGCAGCAAGAAGAGCGACATTGGGGGCAAGAAAGAGGGAAAAGAATATCCTCTATTACGGATCGTAAAAATACAGTTTTTACGTGTTTAGACTTGCTTCCCTCGCGGAGAAAACGTTTGAGAGCATGACATACGTGCAGTGATCGTAGGGTTCCAGCTCCGACGCGAGAGCGCCAGCCTTTGCGGCGAGCTCCACATTGCCATGGAGTTTGCAAGCGCTGAGCAAGACCTTCCACACAACGCTTCCCGGGTACACGGGCATGCTCTCGATCAAACTCTCGGCATCTTTCACTCTCCCGGATCTTCCCAAAAGATCAACCACGCAGCCAAAGTGCTCTGCGGTGGGATCTATCCCGAAGTCCCATTTCATGAAACGAAAGTGTTCGTGCCCCTTCTCCCACGCCCCGAGGTGGCTGCAAGCACACAAGATGGCCACAAAGGTGATATCGCTAGGCTGCAAACCCTGCACCACCATTTCCTGGTACAGCCTCAACACTTCCATGCCGGATCCGTGTTGCGCGTGAGCCATGAGCATGCAATTCCAGGTTATAATGTCTCCATTGAGACTGAGCTTCTCGAAAACATTCGCAGCCTCCGCTACGTTCCCAAACTTTGCATACATGTGTAGGATTCCTGTCCCGAGGATTGGATCTGAATCAAGCCGGCTCGCAACGACACGCGCGTAGATCATCCCTCCTATCTCAAGGGCTCCAAGCTGAGAACACGCCTCAACTAGGGCAACAAAGGTGGCAAGGTTTGGCTTAAACCCTTCCTGCTCCATTCTCCACAGCAAATGCATGGCCTCCCGCGGATGCCCGTACTGGGCATATGCGGAGATCATGTTTGTCCAGCAAATGGTATCTTTGTCCGGCCCAATGGCATCAAATGCCGTACGTCCCTCCTCAGCACAGCGCCCGCACTTGCCGTACATGTTGACGGCCGCGGTGGCCACCAGCAAATGCGAGCCGTATCCGTGCCGTACAGCCCGCTCGTACACCGCCCTCCCTCTATCGAGGAGCTCGAGCAGCGCGCAGGCTCCCAATGCCGCCACAAACGTAGCATCGTCTGGTTTGAGAGCCATCTGATCGTAGAGCTCGAGCGCTCGATCCGGCTGGCCGAGCTGGATATAGGCGCCCATCATCGAGTTCCAGGAGATCACGTCCTTCCACTCGATCGAATCGAAGTACTCTCTGGCAAGCTCGGCGCTGCGGCACTTGCCCAGCATGTCGATCACCGCATTGGCAATGACAACGTCGGAGTCGAGCCCGGTGGCAGTGACGGCATCGCGGATCGCAATCGCCTGCGCGAGATCGCCCAATTGTCCGCTCGCGCCAAGGATCCCGAGGAACGCGACCTTGTCCGCCCTCATCCCGCGCTGGCACATCTCGCGGTACATTTGCATCGCCTCCCGCGGATGCCCGTTTTGGGCATACGCAGCAATGATCATAGTCCATGAAAAAACGTTCTTCCAGTTGATCCTCTGAAACACCTCACGCGCATTCTCAAGATCACAGTACTTCCCATACATTTGGACAAGGATGTTCCCCACAAAAGTCCCGCGATCTCGCCCCTCTCGAGCAGTTTCATCGTGAATTGCGCATACCTCCGCCAGGCTTTTGCATTGACGAAGCAGCGCTGCGAATTTCGCCTTGGCTCTGTCGCTAGGAGAATCAAAAACTCTGTCCTTCGTCCCAACCCTGCTGGATTCCACCTCCACCGCTAGCCCTACCGCCAAATCGGTCATTCTAGACCACCATAAGCCCTAAAACCATTTGAATTGTGACCGTAGGATTTAGCAAAGTCCATGGCTTTGTATTGAAAGGTGGCTGATTTCTATCTACCTACTGGGTCTGCGACTAGATCAACATATTGTCCCGTGAGAAAGACGTTTGCGACAATATGATAGAAGTGTTCCGTGAAGTGGACTCCATTCCAGTGGCCCTTCGTCATGATGCCGTTGATCATCACCGTCCACGCAATCAACGACCTGTGTTCGCCACAGGGTAACGTAAGAATGGATCTAGCAGCGGCAATCCATAGCCCTCCGCTATGTAGAATCACAGAAGAATGAGACACAAAGATCATGGCGTCCTGTCTCTCCCTGTGGGATGATGGAAGAAGGTCTCGCCATAGAGGCGCTTGTAAGTATGTGGGAATGCAATGGGAGCCAGGGACAGTGTGAGCAATGAATATTCTGTGACTAGTGGCTTTGTTAAAACAGCCAACAGAAAATTGAACAAGCTTTAATTAGACTGATCAGTCCAGTATATTCTTTTTGGCAGTGAAAGCTTTTTGGAGATTCTTTTTCAAATTTTTTTTTGGATATAAGCTAACAAGAGAATTGTCTCAACTTCATACTCAAGGTCACCCATTTACAATTTCTAGAGAGGGATAAATGTCAATTTGTCATATAACGTTTAGCATGACTATCATTCTCCATTGCCAAACCATTAAACCCATAGTTAGTTATAAAAAAAAGTTAAAGAATTTTTAACAAAAAAAAAGGAGAGTTAACTAGGAAGGTTTGTTTGTGATCATTAGGCTAGACTGAAACTACATCAAAGTGATTAAAAAATAACTTAAAACTATGTAAGAATTTTTTATATAAATTTATTTATGAACTAATTTATTATATTCACATCTATTTTCAGAATAAAATAGTTGTAGAATTTAAATTTTTTTGCCAAAACTTTGTTGATTTTAATAAAATTTTAAAATTTTAATCACTTGCATACAACTATCCAATTGTTATATAATGCAAAAAAAAAAAAAAATATAAATAAAAATTATGTAATTATTGAGAAATCTTCCTTAATTGAAAAAGTATAAACTTTATATTTGAAAAAAAAATTCTTGATTTATACGTGAATGTTAATACAAATAACATTTATAACATGGAAGGATTTTTTACAAAGTTAACAATGTAATTATATAGTTGTACATTTGACCCATCTATTAAAAAATGTGTGATTTTAAAAGAACATTGAATTGAATTTTTTTAAATTTTTTTTCTAAATTTAGAAAAATAAAATTAAAATAATAACACAAATGAGGTAAAAATTTAGCATTAAATACTAAGATAATGAAATTAACCACTTGTAATATATAAACTTTAATAATATTTAGATTAATATATTAAATATCATTGTGAAAAAAGATAAACCTTTTAAACAAAAATAAATATCACTGGAAAGTGAACTAAAATCATGTAAAATTTTCATGCAATAATTTTAATAAAATTTTTATCTACTTTTAAAAATAAATAATAAAAAATATATTTTAATTAATGAGTTCTATATTATTGATATTTTGAAAATATAAGAAATTAATATATATGTAAAACATTATGCAAAAATTACAAGTTTATATGTGAAGTAATTATTACAATAAAAAGCTATATATTAATCCTAAATAATAATTATAATATTGTATACACATAAAAGGTAAATAAATATTTTCTTACTAATAATTAAAAGTTTTTTGTTATTTTTTATTAGTATGTATAGTTGTTAAAATATTAACTCTAGTAGCTTTATATGTATCTAAATAGATAATTATTTAATTTGAATATATATACATTTTTATTTTACTAAAAATAGAAATAATTTTACAGAAATTATGTTTCTCCAATGTTTTTAAATTTCACATTAATGAAATATAAAAAGTTATTAAATACTTTGCTATGTGTTGTATGTAGCAATGCTTGGTTTGCTTAATAGTAGTGTTATTCCAATTGATCAAATAAAGTTTCTAATTATAATGATGTTTGTAATTTATAAACATAAGATTAATCTTATTATATATCAATCATTAAATGGTAGAATAAAGGGTTTAAGAAAATTTATAAATTATAAACATGTTTATAAATTATAAATACAAGATTAATCGAAATGAATAACAACCTTTAGATGGTAGAATATCCTAGAATATCCAAGCATATTTTAGGTATATCCACTACCATCTCAATCCTGCTCAAGCAAACTAAAAATAAATGCACTATTATAGTATTAATACTTGTAATGTCTGTATTACACTATAATTATCTATCTTGTAGACACAACTATTTAAAGCTATCTATTTATATATAATAATACTTCTTAACCTTTTAAATTAATATATTTAATTATTCAGCTCAAAATAATAATAAAAATTCATTAGCATATTCCCATTGGTCTGAAGCTTTTTATAATTTTTAATAGTTGAAATTGATAATAATGAGACAATTATTTATAAAAGATGGAGCAGATTTTGATAGTAATGTATATACTTTCAAATTTTAGCAGATTCTACATTGTATTCTTAAAATAGTTTTAATATTTATTTTTCCACTATTCTATTTTTTAAAATGAGTTTTAGCATAATGCCTATAGTCCTGTGTGTCATATATTCTCCAGATCTTCACTTCCGTGAGTCCAATGACATGTTTGGTTTTCAAAAGAACTTCCCAGCAGTATAGATCCCGCAAGTTTCTTTAATCTCTTGGCTTTGTATCTATCTATCTACTGGTCAAGCTTTTGGTTTGCGACTAAATCAACATATTGTCCCGTGAGAAAGGCGTTTGCGACAATATGATATAAGTGTTCCGTGAAGTGAACTCCATTCCAGTATATGTGAACTGACGGGTCGGCGCACGTCTGGCCCTTCGTCAGGATGCCGTTGATCATCCCACCGTCCACGCAATCAACGACCTGCGTTAGCCAGGGCGTACCACAGCATACCGTACGAGGCTCCGTAAATCCTGCGTGTAAACTCTCGGTTTAGCCAGGTGAAAAAGGTAGAAACAGAGTGGAAGTTTACCGTATGATTGAGGATTTCGCAAGATCGGTTCAATCGCGCTGTAGAAATCCGCGTGCGCGATCGACGCTCCGGCTAGGCTGACGCGGAGATCGTCCACTGCCTCTCGAAGTAGCGAATTGTGGTGGGCATTGAGCGCGTTGAAATCCGCGATGCAGCCGAGCTCGTCCAAGCGATCGCTGGGACGGCGGGAGACGAGGAAGCTGGGATTGCATCCCTGGCGCGGGATGTTGGTCACCAGGAACTTGCGCGCGCCCAAGTTGTAGAGATTCTGCCCACCATGTGGAGAGATTTAGTGTGAGATCGAGAGATCCATCAATGCGCGAGAGTAAACTGACAAAAGCAGAGAATTGGGAAAGTTCATCCTTGCCTGGATGAGATCCCGGATGGCCTGTACGACGAACGGGACGAATTCCATCATTTGGGGGTAATCCAGGCCACTCTTCTTCATGAATCCATAGTCGTTTCCACCGATCTCGCCCACGATGTACAGGGCCTGGGAGAAATCATGCAGAGAAGGGTGTGTTCTTCCCCCTGGAGTGAAAAGAGTGAAATTTCTCGCTTGCGAAATGGATTGATGGATCGAGTACCTTGGTTGGAGCGCAGCATTGACACATTCTTGAAATCCTGGAACCACCGGAGCTGGATATCGAGCGGGAATGTGTGCCGTGATCCCGCGAGCGATATGTTGTGTTGGTCATAGAATCGAAGGGGTAGCGCCGAGGCTCCTCCCGCCGCAAAATTCACGCCATGGCGCCAATTCCTCCCCTTGGACAGCAGCAAGTATGGATCCAGCAGCGGCAATCCATAGCCTTCAGCTATAACCCAAGAATCAAAGAATCAGACAAAGATCGCGGCAAAGAAAATCGAGACACTGTTTCCCAGGATAAAATAGATTCGAGCTCTCACCCAAGAAATCGACAATGAGGCGCCCGTCACTCTCTCTCCCCGCGGGATGATGGAAGAAGGTCTCGCCATAGGGCGACGTGTTGAGGCGCTTGTAAGTATGTGGGAATGCGATGAGGGAGTTGCCAGCGTCGGAGAGGGAATCTCCAAACTGGAAGATCGTTGGGACTTGTTTGATGCCTCCCAGCGCCCAGGGAGAGCGCGCGGCTCCAGCTGCTGCAAATTTGAGAAAGAAAACGAGAAAGAAAGCTGCTGCTACCATTGATCTCATTGATCGCATTGGCGTCAGACTGGAAGGAATATATCTTTGGAAGGAATGAGGACCAATCTTTAGGCTCTTGCTTCTTTAAAACAGCCAACAATGGCCATAGGTTAGAATTTATCCAAACTGAATTTGTTTAAGATGCATATTACTCTAAAATATTTTTACCATTTAGTACATTGTGAACTTTAGCTTTTTCTCTATCTACTGGTCAAGCTCTCATTGGCTAGGATAAGGTCCAGTACGCGAGTCCTACACATCGTACATGTTTACAACGAGCTATTTGACATTGTTGTGCTGTACTTTCATGTCGTATGCAGGAATCAGGATCTATTTGCTGCTCCATGCTGTAATCTCCATAGACCAGATATTACCTAGCATGGGTAATACGAGGAAGCCCAATAAGAAGCATGAAACAATGTGAGTGCCAAGATGCAAGTTCATAAGGTCCAGATCTTACCAAACATACAACAGAAGAAATCCACTAACTTTCCAGGGGAACATTAAAATGCTTGAGGACCAATCTCCACCTTTGGAAGTTCTCTTTTTACTCATGGCAAAAAACTCCATCTAAGGATGGTATCATTTAAAGAAAAACCATAAAATGTTTTGTCAGTACCAAACAAGAACCTATTCATGGATCTAAATCCAGCTCTGCACTAGGAACTGAGACTCCTAGACGTTTGATCACATCAATATCCATGTTTATGTAACACTGTAGAATTTTAATTAAACAATTCTCGTTACTCTTTGTGGTCATATTGCTTTCTTCAAGGCCTTAGTCTGACAATATTGCTCATTGAATTCTCTTTACAAGGAACTCCACCAATCAACTTTCTCACCCAAGGTGCAAATCATTCTCACTAGTTAAATCTGTTTAGCTTGTTATTAGAAGACCACTGCCCTAACAAGCCATGTTTATTATCTAGATGATTGACTTGGGATGATGTCATATATTTACAAAGTTGAATGGAGCGGTGGCAACTAGGATTTAGGCAGCCACTCAATGGCTGACACATCAGATCAAAGTTTAATAATCATAATAAAACGTGAATTGATTATTTCTTACTAATCTTGTATTTAAACATTGTTTTGGAATTGAATCATTCATTCATATACTGTTTACAAGGTCTCATGGCACCCAGCATGAAGTAAGGCCAAAAGATTTTAAAACTATTGTCCATGAATTAGAAATAACAGGTTCTAGGATCCCTGGTTTAAATATCTTAGTAAAGCCTATGACGATCTTAAAGATAGAATAATAGATGGCATACTTGAATCTGGTCGTTTTTATGGTTATTAGGGATGTAAACATGAATGATTATTTAATCCAGAAAACATCCACCACCAATTTTAAAGTTTTTCAATTGCATTGCATTCATAAAGTCTTATGCTTCTCTATGAGCACTACAAGACTGTAAACAACATATAAATAGATAGATAGATAGATGACACCTATCTCTCCCCTCCTAGCTTTATTGCCATCTCAAAAGTCTCATATAGAACTGAATTTGTTGATTGAAATGTTTGATTTTTACCTCAGGAGCGGTAGATGGCAAGCCTTTATCAAATTGATTTAAAAAATATCTTTCATCACAATTTAACATTATCCCCTATTTTGGATACACTTATGTACTGTCCCTTGAGAAATGCGTTGGCCGCAACCTGGTAGAGGTGTTCCGTGAAGTGCAATCCATTCCAATACAGATGCGTTGACGGGTCAGCACATGTCTGACCCATGGTCAGCGCACCGTTGATCATCAGTCCGTCCACGCAATCGACGATCCAGTTTTGCCATGGCGAGCCACAGCACGGTTTACTCGTCTCAGTAAACCCTGCGCGAGACCAATTTTTACCTTCATGGTGCAGTAAAAAAGAGTTGCTTTTTACCATATTCTTGGGGATTTCGCAGGACGTCTCCAGTTAGGCCATAGAAATCCGCGAGCGCGATCGATGCTCCGGCAAGGCGTTCCCGGAGATTGTCCACTGCGATCCGGAGCAGTGAATTGTGACGAGAATTGAGCGCATTAAAATCCGCGACGCAGCCAAAATCGTCCAGTCGATCGCTTGGGCGGCGCGAGAGGATGACGGAGGGATTGCATCCCTGGCGTGGAATGTTGATCACCAGGAACTTGCGCGCCCCCAAATTGTAGAGATCCTGTGACATTGATCAAACAAAGAAACGAACGGATTGGGAAAGTTCATCCTTGCCTGGATGAAATCCCGGATGGTTTGGACGACCATCGGTACGAATTGGAGCATTTGAGAGTAATCCATAGTGCTCATCATGTCTCCATAGTCGTTACCACCAATCTCGCCGACGATGTAGAGCGCCTGGGAGAAATCATCCGCAGAGGGGTGCGTTCTTCGACCTGGATTGCAATTATCTCACGAAATTCTTGATCGTATCCTCTGATCTAATCGACGGTTACCTCGTTTCGAGGAGCGCATCGCCGAGACAGTCTTGAATTCCCGGAACCACTGGAGCTGGATATCGAGCTGGAATGTCGCCCCGATCGAGATGTTGTGATCGTGGAAGAAGGAGCGGCCTAGCGCGGAGGCGCCGCATGCCGCGAAGCTCACGCCATGTCGCCAATCCTGCCCCTTGAATCGACGCAAGTAGGGTTCCAGCAGCGGCAATCCATAGCTGGAAGCTTAATCACACACAAAGAACAAGAAGAGATGATCCAAAAGAGAGAAAGAGGCCACCATTCTCACCCAAGAAATCGACAATGAGGCGTCCATCACACTCCCTCCCCGAGGGACCATGGAAGAAGGTCTCGCCATAGGGCGATGTGTTGAGACGCTTGTAAGCTTGTGGAAAGGCGATGAGAGAGTTTCCAGTATCGGAGAGGGAATCCCCAAACTGGAAGATGGCAGGGATTTTTTCCGTGAATCCTCCCAGTTCCCAGGACGATGATGATCCAGCGTCCGTGAATTCGAGAGAAATCAAAGCTGCGATAACAGACACTATAACCATAGCCATTGGCCAAGAACTATGCAAAGATATTCGCTATGGGGCATCCCTAGAAAGTTTAAAATCTACTTTATAGATTCTTTTGTCGTCTTGTATGAAAATCGCGCTAAATAAGATAAAGACCAGCGATTCGAACACTGGACTTGGTTGACTAACTCAGTCAACTCTGACCGAAGACTAGTAGTGCTGTGATCCACTGAAAGGCCACATTCCTGTAAACAAGGCTCTCGATCGCACGTACCCGGTCCATATAGTTTTAAACGTTTGTGGACTGGCCAAAAGGAGAGAGGAAAGAGTTTGGAGCCAAGATTTGGAGCTCGGAGAGGAGAGGATGAAGCTCCTGGGCTTGTTTCTCCTGTTCGATCTCGTCCTGGCCAGTTTGGAAGGTAAGGAGGAGGAGAAGAGAGCTTCTCTCTTGGCGTCTCTTACCGGGCATTGTTTGTTCTTCTTGGCAGGAGACTCGCTCAACGCGTTCAAGCAGGCGGTGAGCGATCCCACTGGGATGCTCGAGACCTGGGATCCGACATTGATCAATCCTTGCACCTGGCTCTATGTTACCTGCAACCAAGACGACCTTGTCACTAGAGTGTAAGCAGGGAGAGAAGATTGGAAAGCAACCTGGACGTTTTGATGATCGGATCGTGTTCTTCCTTGCAGGGACTTGGCACGAGGAGATCTGTCCGGGAAGCTGGTTCCCGAGCTCGCCAATCTGAAAAACTTGGAGCATTTGTAAGTGTCGCACTTTATGGAAAGTTTATGTAGCTTACCTTTCTTGTGGATCGATTGGTCGATGAGCAGGGAGCTTTTCAACAACAGCCTTACTGGATCCATCCCTCCGGAGTTTGGAAACTTGAAGTCCCTGGTCAGCCTCGACTTGCAATACAACCACCTGTCCGGATCAATCCCGAAATCGATCGGTAACATGCGAAGTCTTGTTTTCCTGTGAGTGATTTGTCGACACGTCGTTCCTCTTACGATAATTCTCACTACAGCCGGCTCAACGACAACCAATTATCCGGTCAAATCCCACAAGAGCTTACGACGTTGCCGAACCTGAAAGTCCTGTAAGCTATAGTTTGAACAGTTCTGCCGGCGGAAAGCTCCAAAAGAACTTACATTTCTTCCCTGTATGTTTTTTTGTTCTGCAGCGATCTCTCTCATAACAGCTTCACAGGAACTGTTCCTCGGGGAGGCTCGTTTCAGAAATTTGGCCAAAAGAGGTAAGGTAGATGTAGTTTTCGAGTCGTCTGGGAGCTTAATTGTCACATTAACTGCGTGTTGCAGCTTTGAAGGCAATCCAGGACTTTGTGGACACGCAGTCAAAAGACCCTGTACTTGAACCTCAAGTCCAAACTGCATCAATCAATCACCACGAAAAGTCAGTCTTGGTAATGACAAAGGCGTAGCAGCAGACTTATGCATACCGCTCTCAGCAAAACAGAGACCATAGTTCACGTCCACAGAATTATGATTTTCCAGAGAGTTGTAGAGGGAATGATCTTCCGGGGATGCCATGAGTTGTAATCCTCGGACTCCGTTCTGGAAGTTTCCTCCAACAATGATCATGCAATCCAAAGTCACCGTTCAAAATTCCTTCGCTTTGGGACCTGTAAAGAATTCAAAAACGAACGTTTAGCGTCGTAGCCACAGACAGACGACAAGGACTGGAATCAGACCTTGGGCTCTCTTCTGCATCCCTGCTAAACGTTTGCAGCCCGGAAAAAATGGTACTTATCTGAGCTCAGCACTTACACACAAGCCAGCAGGAAAAAACACTTGATTCTAGTATAAACGGCATTAAACACCTGATGAAAAGTCTCTCAAAAATCAAAATTTTCTCTGTATTGTCCGTACCAGTCTTGGAAAAGACGGAGATTTAGAAGCAGTCCAACAGTCTCCACCCAGAGCGCACTATAACAATAATTTGGAGTTTCGTCGTTCCACTTCATTCTTTGAGACTCGTAAAGAAAGTGTCTGCAGGCTAATGTCTTAGAAACAACGAAAAGCAAACAATTAAAATGTGATATTTACCAGTAAATCAGATTTTCTGATGCAGGTCAAAAAGAATCTCGTGTCAAATACCAGTACGCTGCACGCCCGTCCCTGAACACAAGAAATGCATGAGCACTAGAAAATAAAAAGCACAACGTACTCTGCTCGACACGAAAATTTTCTCGGTGGGTCAGAAGAATGGTCTCGAAAGTTTGGTTCGCAATAATACTTTAAGCGAGATCAGTTACCAAGAAAGATGGTGTACTGTGCCCTTTAGGAAGCTTTCCAGAACTGGAAACAAATTCGTGTGCCTCATCCGTACTGATGACAGTGTTCACGAGCAGCAGGTTCCTGCGTGGATTAACTGGATCAGAAAGAACGGTGCTTGCGTGCTTACTGTGGTTCTGGTTCTTCAGTTGTCGAGCATATGTTCGCAAGGACGACGTAAGGGAAAGAATCCCCTGACTCCAGGCGTAGAACCTCAGCAGCAGCTCGAGCTCCTTTCTCCATGTTTCCGTGCGTCTTGCACGCATCCAGAAACATTTTCCACACCACGGCATTTGCTTCTACTCGAAAGGCCTTCATGCTCAGTATAAGCTTTTCGGCTTGGTCCAGCTTCCCCACTTTTCCCAAAAGCGAGACCATACAGCCAAAGTGCTGTATCGTTGGAGATACTCCCAGCTGGAGCATGGAACGGAAGTAGTACCACGAATCTGTCACGAGGCCACTGTGGCCGCAAGCGTCCAGCAGACTAACGAACGTAACTTCGTCTGGAATCACGTCCATTTTGTGGAAGAGCTCGACTGCCTGCTCTGTGTAGCCGTGCTGTGCGTATCCTGCTATCATCGTGTTCCATGCCACCAAGTCCCTGTTCATTGTCTCGAATACTTCTCTTGCATCTCCCACACTTCCGCACTGGCTGTACATTTTCACCAGGCCAGTTGCCACAGAAGCGTGGTCCTCCATCCGAAACACCTTGACGTGACCGTGAATCCTTTTCCCGTTTTGTAGAACACCAATCGATGCACAGGCCGCGAGAACGCTGGTGAAAGTGATATGATCCGGTTGTATGTACTGCTCCCCCATTGCATTGTAGATTGAGAGTGCCTCCTCTGGACGATCACCGTGAGCGTATACTGAGATCATGGTGTTCCACGTAACCAAGTTCTTCCCGTGTAGTCTCTCGAACACCAGCCGGGCGTCTTCCAAACTTTTACACTTCCCGTACATGCTCATTACCGCGGTTCCCACGGCCACGTCCGACTCGAATCCATGCTCCACAATCTTCGAATGGATATCTCGAGCGGCTGCCAGATCCTCGTCAGTAGAAAAGGCTTGAAGCAAATTCATGAAAGTCACCTTGTCTGGTTGCACATTCTCCTCCAGCATTCGCGCAAACACTTCGAGAGCATCCTTAGCACCGCCTAGTTGTGCACACGCAGCCACCATTGAGTTCCACGACACGACGTTCCTCCTGGTCATGCCTTCGAAGACGAGCCTTGCATCTTGCAGACTACCGCATCTCGTATACATGTGGACCAGCGAATTCCCGATAGGAGTTTCGCTGTCGAATCCACAGGCAGCTACTCGCTGATGCACTTCCCTGGCACGTGAGATCTCTCCGATGTAAGAACAAGCTCCCAGTATGCACAAGAGGGTCACCTTGTCTGGCTTCAGTCCGTTGAGCTCCATGTAATTTACGAGCTTCAGTGCCTCCGACGGATATCCGTTCTGGGCATATGCCGAAAGCATAGTGGTCCATGAGACGAGGCTCGGTTTTACCATCCTGCTAAAAACCAGGCGTGCCTCCTCCAAGCAGCCACACTTGATGTACATCTGCATTACCAGATTAGCCACGAATGTGTCCTGCTCGTACCCGTTGTCGATAATGTGCTGGTGGACAAACTTGCCGTGAAGCACCGACTTTGCTCGGCCGCACTCGTCCAAAAGCTGGGCATATGTTCCACTGCCTGCTCCAATCAGTGCAACCTCCAGGTGATCCAGGGGGTTCTTTTTGCGCTTCGACATGAGCCTCTGGTTTGCTCCCGAATTTGCAGAGAAGACGACTGCTCTAGTCGGTAAGCTATGATTTTCCATTTCTGTACATGAAAACACAGATGTAAGTCACAAACCACAGAAACATGAAGCTACTTACTTGCTAGATATTTTGAATTATGACCCGCACTAATGCTTGAATCACGAAAACGAAGGCACAGGGATTTTTCAACAAGTTCAATCCATTCATAATACGTAATCTTAACATGTATACTGCTATATATACCTGTGTGAGAATTATAGAAATCAGCATTCTCTCCCAACACTGGGACCGCAAAGACCAGAGTTTCTTTGAAAGCTGCAAGAAAATAAAACTTCGAACTTCACTTTGAAGCATGAAAAGAACATCTTCGCACCTCTTGGAGCTCATGCGGGCGAATGAACCATCACTGGGAACCCGTCCGCTGAGATTGTTATCCGAGAAGTCTCTGGAATATCAGAATCATAGTTTTGCTATCAAACGCACACTCTTCACTTACATTACTTTGAGATTGGACAAACAGGTGAGTGATTCCGGAATAGATCCCGAAAGCAAATTGCTATTTAATCTTCTGCACTCGACACACAGTGTTTAATTTAATTCGAGAGTCAGACAGAGAGATACTGGGAGTGTACTCACAAGAATCTGAGAGAGTTGAGCTCAGACAAAGTGTCAGGAATGGTTCCAGTGAGATAGTTGTCGTACAAGTCCAGGCTGATCAGTTCCTTAAGCTCCCCAAGTTCCCGTGGGATAGAACCGCTTAAGAGATTATTGTTAAGTTCCCTGTAGATGTGAAACAAGTCAGCTTCTACAAGTCGAAAGGAAGACTGGTATGTAACAAGAGTTGCAGCAAGGTCCTAGTGGCCAAGCAGACAGACTGAAAATCTGTGGCAGCTTGTGTGGCAGGTTCAAATCCTCCTCTTCTTTTTGCAAAGACAAGGACCCCACTGGCCCCTCTATTCTATTCTCTATCTATTTCTCTACAGTGCGCTCCTTCCTCTTTTTAATGTAGGTACTTACAGATATTGCAAATGACGGAGGCTCGCAAGGTGAGGTACTAGTCTCCCTCGCAACGATGCATTCTCCAAGTCTCTGGAACGGGAAAACAAAATGAGGGAGATAATAGTTAGCTTCTTGTCATGTATGAGCTTGGAACTCACATTCGCATCACGAAATCGTCGCTGTTGCAAGTCACTCGAAACCATGTACACGGATTCACCAGAGATGGATCCCAACTATCCAGCACACCGTTTGGGTCGACGAGCGCTTCTTTGAAAGCTGCTAAAGCTTCACCTGAATATTTTCCCTTGAGAAAAAATAGGAAAGAAACCAGGCTTATAACCTTCCCGATTTGCTTTTCCATTCTCGAAGAGCAGCGCCACCACCACCAGTGTCACAAGAAGCACAGCGCCTACGCTTCGTCGCCTCATCCTTCCTCTCCCTCTCCCTCAAGCACCAAGACGCACCACCGCCGGAGATACTAAATTGTTTGCAGGACGCAAAAGACCACACCTTACAAGCGTTTCTGTGTGCACTTCTCTTTATCTGTGCTCATCAATCCAGCAAAGACGTCATAGTAATGTACAAACAACAAAGAAAGAAAAGAAAGAGCAAACCTCTCGACTTACTTCACGGCCCAAGGCCAACCTTCGGATCAGGAGAAGAAGCCGGCGTTGATTTACGTGCCCACCGCCGCGGTCATTACTTGCCCACCAAACTCATACCATGACCGAGTCGAGAGTTGACACCGATCGATTTTCACTTCATTCGTTCCTTTATTGCAATGGGGAATTGTAAAATTACCAATCTCGGTCTGTCATTCTAATCCTCTCGTTCTTTGTCCTTTTTCCATGACGTATCTTGTCACCGAGAACCCACTGCTTCACACCTACGTTTTCATCAGCATACTAAAAAGTACCTTTGCCATGGGAAAATTTCGTCGACCGAAGGATCACAATGTACGAAAGAAAGGAAGAGGGTGATAGGAACCAGCCCGGTGCCGCGTTGGGAGCAGCTAACCAGATTTCTGCGCTCGTCAAAAAAAAGGAAAAACGAGGGCCGCTGCACTTTCAGTCGGTGATACGGTACTCCAGCGTCATCAGGTCCTTCATGATCTCGTAAGTCACAAACGCCAAGGCGATGGATGGAACCACCTGGGAATGAAATCGTTAGTAGCCAGCCATACGAGAAAACATAGACAAGCCACTCCACCTTGACCGAGTTGGGAACCAGGCCTTTGTAGAGCGCAGTGAAGCCTTCCTTCTTGACAGTCTGAGAAAATGCGTCCAGCATGCCATTGTAGTGAACTTGCACCTTCTGTCCGTTGATCGTTGTCGTGTACCACCCTCCCATCTGCATTCTCCGTCGGATGACATCCAGAGGATATGCCACGGTTTGGCCAGTTGCTCCCGCGACGGCACCACACCCAAGCTTCGTGAGAACAGCAAGCTCTGAGCCTGGAACGGGTCCGAATGGCTCTTCCTTGACGATGTAGTCCTTCAGCGATTCGTAGACGGCGAAGTTAAGTCCCACGTAAGGCACCTGGAAAACAGACATTAGTGAAAGTAAACACGCACAGAAAACTGAAAACTTACCACTCCGATCACAGACGGGAGCCATCCTTTGTATAGCGCTTGCCATCCTTCCATCCTGACGATCGTCCTTGCCGCGTGGAGCATCCCGTTGTAGCTACTCTCGGAACCTTTGGTCTGTAGAGACGCCGACGTGAGCATTAAATTGTTCTAGCAGCATGCAAACGAGAAAAGAAGGTAGACCTGCACGGTTAGTCGACCTCGAATCATGTCCATCGGGTAAGTCGCAGACATTGCAATGATCCCAGCGCAAGCTCCGGCGCCCAGGCGTAGAACTGGATTGAGCTCCGCTTCGCCTACAATGCAATCCCAAAAAAACACCATGAGAAACCGTCATCGCAGTTGATGAGAAAACAAGGTCTTACTATCGCCAGTTTCCCTTCGATACGCCCAGAGGATGGCACTGTGACAAAAGAGAAAAGAACCTTCAGCAACGCAACAAAGGCAAGGAAACAAAGCGAGCGTCGCAACTTACTTGGCCGCATGCTCGTAGCTTAGAAACTTCACGGCCGAGTTGGGGACGATTCGGGCACAATTGACGCCATTCCCGATAAAGAATCCCTTCACTCCCTCCGTGTTCCAGATCGTCCTCAGCCCCTGAAACATCCCCTTGTAGCGGGCATTCTGGGAATTCTGGACCTGTCCGACACACCGTTAGTGGCACATTGTCTCCCAGTGCATGGAGAGTACCTGAAGAAGAATCTTTAGGCGCTCCAAGGGGGCAACGGCCGTCCGGGACCTGGATCAGCGATGGAAATTTCACGAAATATCACTCCACCAATGCATGCAAGGGGGAAAAGACCCGAGATTACTCACACTCCGCCCGCGACGCCACCGGCAATCAGCGACTTGGTGATCGAGAGGAAGACATCCGTGGGAGATTTCACATCCAGCTTCGTGTTGTCGACCAGCGAGGCGATCGCCGACGCGTCTCTATCGTAGACTTGAGGCGATTCGCAGAAAGCCGCGTTACCGGCGGGTGCATTCTTGCTACCTGCTTGATCGGCCATGCGCGCGCGCTGGGAGCTCAAGAATCGCCAAGCCGCTGCCAATCCGCGCTGGGCTTGGCCGCTGCCAGGAGCTCTAAACCCTAAACCCTAACCGAAGCCGGATAGAGAATGCCATCACGTGTACTACCATGGAATACCATTATAAAAAGTATCACGACCGTCCGTTCCCCACACGAGCGGTCGGGATTGGATCTCCCCGAGATCGAGGAAAAGTGTAACTCCTATTGCTCATCTTCGTACACTGCGGCTCGCCCTTTTCGTCCTGTCACTGCTCTCAAATCGCCGTCTTTGGAAACTTTCGTGCTCTTGGCTTCCAATTCCAGACCTTGAAAGCTTCTGGATGCGAAAAAATCCGCCGCGGTTCTAGTTCCTGGTGATTTCCCGACAGTCGAAAGAGTTCCAATCGACGAGGAGTCACTGCCCACCAGGACAAGATCGCCGCTGCTTTCCTCGTCCTTGTTGTCAACCGCTAAGCATGACGTCAGTGAAGATTGACCTGAGAGAAGAGTAAAAAACGCTTTGTCTCACCAGTTCTTGAGGAAACATAGCCACCGCTTATAAACGAGAAGCGTGGCTCTTCTTCCGTGGTGGAGTCTTGCGGATCAGCTGGCAGCTGGACGTCTCGAAAATCGAGGGAGTACGAGCCAGTCCATTGTTTGCCCCTGTCAAATTCGACGTGCTTAGAGCTGAATGAATACTAATCGCAAACAAGAGCATACCTCACAAATGCCAGTTGAGCTTCGAATGTGGTGAGAAGAGGAGCAAAGAACTCCTTGTTGTCTACTAACGCCGTCTGGGGACATGCTATAAGGACAAACACATCACACTACTCAAAGAAGAGTAAAACTTTTGCGAGTGGTAGCTAGACATACCTCGGGAAAGTTTGCAAGCTTTGCAGGATTTGGCTTCCCGACTGCAAGAGTGTATGACTTTTTCCCTGCGCTCTTCACCATCTGCTTTACATTCTGTATAGCTTGCTTATAGCCGGCTGCGAGAAAGAACAGGTGTTAGAGAAAAAAACATCCTTCAATCAACTAATAAGGAAAAACGCCGACCAACCCCGAGTGTTCCCACAACTATGCCGACAATGTTTGCATCCTTGGCACGCTCGATTAAATAGTACCTGGAAAACTCGATATTAAAAATCAGGTACTGCGAATAAAAGCTTTTATACCTTCGCCACAAAGTCGAGCTCTGACTGGACATGCTAGTTTGCTCACCGCTCGCAGGATCATATCTCACTGTCTGCGAGTAGCCCGTCAGGTCCTCACGAATGCAAAAGAACTTAGAAAGAACTTACGGCAGCAGAGTTGTACGTGAGCATCACGTTTATCAATGCCGGGCCTTCCTTTCCAATCCACAGAATCTTGGTCGGCGTTGATCCTTTCCATTTCAAGCCACCTATTGAATGTTCATCGTTATCGAGTATTGGCTCTTTGTCACACTTGCAAGGATTTAGTTCCCTGCCAATAATTTCTGCAAAAGTCAGGCCTGAGTTCTCTGGAGCCTCCTGTCGGACTGTTTCTCGCAGCTCTGGAATCGCGTGCGCGTACTCAAGATCATAGAGAACCTGTAAGCAAAAGAGATACAGTTTCGATAAGAACAAAAGAAAAAAACTAAGAAAACGAGACACCAACCAGTAGACGTTCGTCTTTAGCAACAAGGTCAGCTACGACTTCTCCACACGTATTTATATCCAAAGGAGTTCTTAAGAACACAAAGTAGGCAGGAAGATTGGTCACACTGCACAGAACAACGTAAGCAAAGAACTTTCGAAAATTTTCTATGATAGAAGTAAACTTACGGGCTAAGGCAAGCCGGGCCATAGTGAACGACGCAATCGGCATTGACGTGAGCGGCCGCGACCTCGTCAACACAGCAGCTGCCAAACGTGGTGTCCGCCATGATAAAGAATCTCACGCCAGGACCGCAAGCGCTTTGCAATGCGCTCGTCACGGCGACGCTGTCGGCGAGAAGATTATCCGGAAACTAAGATTTCGAGAAGATCAATGCCTCTGCTCGACAAATTCTACGCTAGATTCTTGCCTGGAGACCGACGCGCGAGAATCCGTGCTGCTGGATGTGAGCCGCAGTGGAGGCGACCTCGTAGCGATCCAGGAGCGCCATCGCCTAAAACCCTACAAACCCTAGGTGAGAAGAAAGAAAAGCTTCTTTATTGATTAAAACATAGCGCTATCCCTCGAGTTGTGTATTCACAAGAAAAATTTCTCCTCTCATTCCTTGCTCTTGCTCTTGCCCCTGAAAGAAATCCAAGTGTTGCCACCAAGAAATCTCTCCACGCGCGGGGAAATTTTACCTCGATAGAGCGAGCACCTACTTCGATGTGGTCGCAAGAACGCCCTCGATCGGCGGACTGCTGCTCGACGCGGCCTCCTGTTTGGGGGCCGGCTTTCCAAACATCTGCAGAGAAGGAGCGATGGAGGATTACTCGCCAACGATCGGAAGATCACAGAGATTTCTACCTTGCCGAGCGTGTTCATGAAGCAATTCTTGTGATCCTCCATGGACGCGCTCATGAACTCGTCCAAGTGATCCCTCACGTCCTGGATGAAGGACGCATCTGGATTGGATCTCTTGCGGCAGGAGCGAGGAACTGGCGGCTCCTGTGGCGTCGGCGTCTTCTCCTCCTTCGTCTCCTCTTTCTTCTCCATGGCAAAAGCCCTAATCGCCCCGAAACCCTAACAAGGGTAAAAAGAAGCCTCGCGAAATACGGGGTCAAATGAAAGGGTTAAAACTTTTTGACTAACTGGTAGTATACCGTTGTTTTATCTGGCCAAAGCATAAAAGGCAGGCACTACTGACTGGAACCCAGCATGATGGAGATTTCCACTCTATTGCTCGCATTTGGGACAATGTGGATTAATCTCCACTGCGTCCGCGCTGCCCCGGCGCTCTCCAGGAGAGATTTTCCCGCAGGATTTCACTTCGGCACAGCGGCATCGTCCTACCAGGTAGAAATCTCTCGAATTCCTCTCGCGATTTCTCGTGTCAATCCTCCAATGCTTCCACAGTATGAAGGCGCGGCGACGACAGGAGGAAGGAAGGCATCCATTTGGGATGAATTCGCGAAAATTCCAGGAAAGATTGTCGATTCCACGTCCGGGGATGTGGCTATCGACCAGTACCACCGATTCGAGGACGATATCGACCTCATGGTGGATCTCGGTACGGATGCTTACCGATTCTCGATATCTTGGAGCAGAATTTTCCCCGGTACTCTTTCAAGTATCTGTTGTTGTTCCAGAGCTGATCGGTCATCTCGCAGATCGCAAGATCAATCCCGAAGGAGTGGCCCACTACAATCGACTGATCGACAGACTGATCGAGAAAGGGATTACACCATTCGTGACGATTCTTCACAGCGACACACCGCTCGCGCTGGACGAAGAGTACGGCTCGTGGCTGAGCCCGCGCATAAGGTACGAATCTGACGGGATGTGCTCTCTGGCGCTGACGAAATATTCCCAGGAAGGACTTCGCGGAATATGCCGAGCTATGCTTCTCTCTCTTTGGCGACCGTGTGAAGAACTGGATCACGCTCAACGAGCCCCATCTCCAGGCGAATTTCGCTTACATTATTGGACTTCTTGCGCCTGGGCGATGCTCTCAGGAGTATCCCAGGGGCTGCGCAGCGGGGAACTCCTCCACGGAGGCCTACCTCGTCGTGCACAATTTCTTGCTCGCGCACGCCGCCGCCGTGGGGATCTACCGCTCCAGGTTCCAGCACCAGGGCGGGTCGATCGGGATCGCGATCGATGCGAGCTGGTATGAGCCGCTGACGAGCTCCCGGAGCGATGAGGAAGCGGCGCAGCGGGCAAGGGATTTCGAGGTGGGATGGATCTTGGACCCGATCTTCTTTGGGGATTATCCGGATTCCATGCGCCGGTTGGTTGGAGACCGGCTTCCACGATTCAGCGTCGAGGACAAAGCTCTTGTCCAGGGATCTCTCGATTTTCTTGGAGTAAATCACTACACTACAAACTACGCGACCACGGGCCTGGATTTTCCTCTTTCACTCGTGGGCTATTACAAAGATCACAATGTCCGGCTTCTAGGTACGTTTGTAGATTTCCTTCTATGATTCTTTGCCTCGTGTTTGATTGATACGTGCCAGCGACCTTTTTTCTTTTCTTTGCCTCACAGCTCAAAAGGATGGAGTCTCTCTAGGCCCACAGGTGAATGGTATCAACGTTGTTCCCTGGGGATTTGAAAAGCTGCTGGGCTACATTCGCGTGAGATACAAGAATCCACGAGTTTTCATCACCGAAAATGGTCAGTGGCCCGTCCCTGCTGGGACAAAAATCCCTTACACTCACATCTGGTTTGTTTCACGCTATTTTCAGGGATTAGCGACGCTGTCGATTCCCTGACGAACTCGAGCAACTTGGGTGATCTTACCAGGATCAACTACATAAGCGGATACGTCGACGCGATGCTCACGGCTATCCGAAAGGGAAGCACGATCCGAGGCTATTTCGTGTGGTCACTCTGTGATAACTGGGAATGGACGAATGGTTTTACTTGGAGGTATGGTCTCTACTATGTTGATCGCCATGACAACTTGACGAGGTACCCCAAGGAATCGGCCAAGTGGTTCAAGAGCTTTCTTGCAGGCAAATACTACAACACGATTGCGATGTTAAATAGTGCTGCAATCAAGTGAATTTTGCAACACCAATGTCACCATGATTGAAAGCAACACAATCTAAAAATCTGTTTTATAAAATAAAGTTGAAAGTCGTTACAAGATATTGAAAACAGGAAAGATACGCAAGCATGACAGAGAGGACACGTAAAAATCGTGCCTTGGCACGCTAACTTACATCATCTTACGTCTCAGAAGTTACAAGGCCTTTTTTCTTCGCAAAGTATTCTTCCGCTCGCTTGATGTTCTTGGACACTGAAGCGCTGACCCACTTCTTCCTGCCGGGAAGTGTGATCAGCGTGCATCCGGCTGCCTCGAGCTTCACTTTGGCGGACGCTGAGAATGATCTAGCTTTGATCGACAGTTTCTTTATGCTCGAGTCCTGGAGATCGCCGAGATCTCCCAAAACCTGTGGAAACAACGATGTATAGTAGCGAAACTGTTTATGCTATACCTTTAGTGGAAGCTTTTTCTCCTTTCCGGAGGGATTGATGATACGTTTGCTCGTGAGAGTTTCCAGTGACACTTCCTCGCCATCGTTAAAATGCGTGGCAATGTCTCTTATGTTGACGGCAACGTACTTTGGAACACCAGCACGCATGCCTGTAAGGTGGAAGGAGTAGAAACTCGAGAATAACTACTAGACTGATCGATGGAAGAAGCTTTACCTCCAGCGATTCCTTTCAACTTTGGTAGACGGCGATAGAGAGGCATTTGGCCTCCTTCGAATCCCGGCCTTACTTTAGGCCCCGCTCGCGATTTCTGTCCTCGCATACCAAAGCCACAGCTTCCACCTTGTCCGGCTGAGTGTCCTCGTCCCTTTCGTTTGTTCTTGTGCCTGGATCCGGGTTGTGGAGCCAGGTTGTGGAGGCGAAAGCGATCTGGAAGGAAAAAAAGTAGCAAACAAACTTGAGAGTTCTTGTTCTAAGAAAACAACACAAAACAAACATAAACTGCTAAGCTTTCGGCTCACCTAGAACCGCTGGTGGCTCGACGAATGGATCATTCTTGGCTGTGACAATGCACCGCTTCCTCTTCTGTGTTTGCGCGGGCACGGAACTGGAAGCCGAGAACCTGAAAGATTGTGTGAAATTCGACCGCAGCAAGAGTCCGCCGCCACTTCGATCCTGAAGAACAATGCAGCACCGTAATCACAAATGCGCTCCCACAGCTGGACGGGACAAAGATTTTCACTCACCCTAATCGAGGCGTGGCAGCCACACAAGCTCGCCATCGGCGGCGTCGCCATAGCCAAAGCCTTAGCGTCAAATCCAACCTAAAGAATAAAAGAGCATTTGCGCTTTTGAAAATTCACATCTCAGCCGTCCAAATCTGTGATCCCAGCCGTTGATATAAACCCAGAGAAGGAGTTGAGGGGTGTTTTGATCACATAATAAGAACGTGGGTTTTCAATCTAGTTGTGTATAGAAAATTGATTAGCTATGAGGTGTTCGTGGTTGTGAGATGCTTGTGCTAGCACACTATGACAATACAATCACGTTAGACTATGACCTTGCAACCTTTGTCCAGCTATAGATATAGGCGAGATATAGTCTCCAAAGTAAAATAATTGATTAATGATTAGTGATTAGTGGTTACATTGCTTTATATGAGGTGTTTGTGGTTGTGAGATTAGCATAAAAATGACAAATCACCCATAGTTAGACTATGACCTTGCATCCCTGGTCCAGCTTAACCATGGGCGAGATATAGTCTCCGGCAATGATAAAGTCGGACATGATGTTGTAGAAGTGCTCTGTGTAGTGAATACCATCAAAAGTGAAGTATTTGCTGGGATCCTTACACACCGTGTAAACAGCATCGGTCTGGTTCAATGGAGCGCACCCGCAAAGCCCATCTCCATTGCAGTTAAACTTGCCGCCGCCGCCGCAGCACGACTGGAGCGAGTTCGTGAAGCCAAACTCGTCCATGTTCTCCAAAACATAGGTGTTGGCGGCAAACCAATCGAAGTAGTAGACAGTGAGATCGGGATACTTTGCCGTGAGGTCCGTCGCCAAAGCATGGAGTTGTGCGTTGAAGTAGGAGATAATCTGGGCAATCTCGACGATGCAACCATCCTTGTCGTAGTGGAACATCCCCTCGGGGTACTGCAGGAAGGACTGGAGATAGTTTGGCGAGCAATCGGCACGGGGCATGTTGTAGAGCAAGACACGGCGAGCTCCGTGTGTGTACAAGTTGTGGATTCCATCAGCCAGGCCCTGGATCACGGCCGGAATGGTGACATTGATCACGTAGCCGCCTCCCAGCGGCAGCCCGAAGTTGATATCGTCACCTCCGATCTCGACCATGTAGAGCGCGTTCTGGTACCATGGATCGCTATCCTCGCGGCCGTATTCGCGCACGACCGTGTCGCGGTGACGCACGAAGTCGTCAACCTGGGCCGAGAAGATGTGGGGGCTCGAGAAGGGCTGGTTCTCGACCTTGATCACCGTGGCTCCGGCGTATCCGAAGTTGAGGCTGACGAACTCGGTGCCATTGAACTCGAGGCTGGGGATGCCGAGGTTCTCGAGGTGGAGCTTCTGGATCAGGAAGTCGGGGATGACGAGACCATCGGAGTAGCGTCCGGTGGGCCTTCCGTAGGTGACGCCGTAGGGATACATGCCGGAGAGAGTCTTGCCGCCGCCTTCGATGTCGCGGTTGCCGCCATCGCTGAGAGAATCTGCAAAGGTGAAGACTGCGGTGGGGCAGAATGAGTCCTGCTTCGGGGATCGGATTGCAGCGGAGTGAGAGAGCAATGCAGCAAACAAAACAGCAAAGATTGCCAGAGCAGCGAAAGTAGAAGAAGCCATCTCTCTTTCGCTTTTGAGCTGTGAGTCAAGTTGATGGAATTGGGTTTGGGGGCCGAAGTTTATATACTAGTTGTGAAGTGTGCTAATATCTGAAACAGGAACGCTAATCTCAGCTTTCGAACGATCAATGTATTTTGAGTTACCAAAGCGATCGAAAAATCCCTTTCAATTTGAGGGGTCGCAGCGTCTCTTTTTACCACCTTGACTTTGTGGTCAAAGTAGAAAAAGTTGGTTTGGAATTAGATTCGACACCTAAATAATGGTCGCCACCTTTTTACGTGAACCAACGACTGTTTTCTTCTTCACACAAATTTAATCTCGTCATGCGAGCAGCCTGAAAAACCCTGCTCGAGAAAAATAACGAAACGAAGAGGGTAAATATATAAGAGACGGTAGTCACAAATGATCTTGAGAAGCTCTGAGCTTCGCAATCTTCGTCATCTTTTCCTGCGAGAGCACGAAAAACTCATCAGTCGCATTGATCATGAAGAGAAACGAGAGAAAAGCATGGATGACGTACCTGGACAGCCTCGGAGCTTTGTCGAACTTCGTAGGCGATCTTTTGCATCTTGGCCAGCATTCTCGAGTAGAGGAGCTCGATCTCCTGGACGCTACCACCGCATCTGGAAACGTTTTGGAGCTGGTCGATGCTGAATCCCTCGGCGTACATGCCGAGCAGCGCTTGCTGCTGCTGCTGCCGCAGCGAGGAAGAAGATCTCTCCCCCCTTCCACCAGTCCCGGAGGAACTCCTCCAGCTATCAACCTCTTCCTCCTCGCCTATCGTGGAAGAGCTCCCAAAGCTCGTGGAGAACCAAGGCAGCGGAGACACTGGAACAAAGCTTCCATACAAGCCACCTTGCTCGGATGATCTCCCTGCTCTTCCAACGTTTCTCACGACCAAAAGCCGAGGATGGAACTGCCGTGTCTGGCGCTGGAACTGGAATGCCCGGTACTCGTGCGTCTGGATCGAGTTCTCTGCCGTGGTCTCCGTGAGGAGGAGGAACAAACACGGCGACAATGCTGGAGCATCGCCCAGCTTTTCCTCCTGGCGATCGATGAAAGAGTCGCTAATGCTGCTACTCCTGCTGGAGGTAGCGTAGGGCAAGCCCAGATCGATGGAGGAGTTGGAGTTGTCTAGTATTTTTTTCTCCCGATCGAGCGATGGAGCTGGAGAGGCTGGATTCCTGGCGTTGAGGTTCGCAGTGACGGCGGCCTCTCGCATCGATGGCCGCATTGAGGAGCTCCTGCGGCCGAGGAGCCAGCCAATGATCGTGTCCCCGCCCCACTTCTGGCGATTCCCGACAAGGCGCTCCAGCTTCCGATCGTCCAGCTCCCCGGCGGCATCGTAGAAGCTCATGAGCGTACCTGAGCAGCAGCAGCCGGTGATGATCGCCGTGTGCTCCTCGCGGCGGCTGGGCGCCGCAGGGGAATCGCCATCGTCTTGGAAATTCTGGATGGATCTGGTGTGCAATCGGCCGAAGAGCAGCCCGTCGGTGTCTGTGTGTGATCCCAGCTCGCGCAGCGCCATGGCCAATGTGGATCCGGAAATCTCCACACGATCTATGGGATCGTCCATTTCCCCGCTCTGCCCTAGAGATCTTGGCTAGGGTTTTAGATTTAGTAAAGAGAGGAAAGGAAATGCGCTAGAACCCTAATCGATTCCTAGCAAATGGGGACCGATGGGAGCGCCTGGATCGTGTCACGAACCGCGCGAGCTCCAAGCAACATCGCGGTGATCAAGTACTGGGGTAAGCGCGACGAGGATCTCATCCTCCCGCTGAATTCCAGCATCAGTGTCACGCTGGATCCGAACGATCTCTCCGCGACTACCACGGTCTCTACGAGCCCGGATTTCGATGCTGATAGGCTATGGCTCAATGACAAGGTGAGCGTCTCTCAGATCCAGGCTCCTCGAGATCGACACATCCTTTTTCTTTCTCTCGATCCATCGAAATTCTTTCATAATTTCTTTCTTTCTGTTATCGCAGGAGGTTTCTTTGTCGAGCCATAGATACGTGAGCTGCCTCAAAGAGCTTCGTGATAGAGCCACCGATGTCAAAGACGAGAAAACTGGGATCGTGATTACAAAGGAGGATTGGAAACATCTCAAGCTTCACATCGTTTCGAAAAACAACTTTCCTACCGCTGCTGGATTAGCTTCATCAGCAGCTGGATTTGCTTGTCTTGGTAAGAAGAAAAGCAGAAAGAAATTTCTGTGAGATATATCCTGACTGACACTGGGTTTTTTCTTTGTTTTCTTCCCTACAGTGTTCACCGTTGCTCAGCTTATGGGGATCAAGGAGTCGTTTCCAGGGGAGCTTTCTACGATCGCTCGGTAAAGCCATTCACTGAATGGAGTGTTTTGGAGCAAACTTTTGCTGCTACAGGCGTGGTTCCGGTAGCGCCTGCCGCAGTCTCCATGGAGGATTTGTCAAGTGGGAGATGGGAAAGGTACTTGTTTTTTCCTTGAAAAACTTTGATACTAACATGCATTTTTGTGTGCTGTAAAGAGGGACGATGGAAAAGATAGCATTGCTGTTCCGCTTGCAGAGCATCACGAGTGGGATGATCTTCGGATTGTGATTTGTGTGGTAAGTGTGAAGCTTGGAAAGTTCTCGAGTGTAGCTATTGTGATTTTTATTTCTAGGTGAGTTCGCGGCAGAAAGAAGTGAGCAGTACATCGGGCATGCAAGAGTCCGTCCAGACAAGTCCACTCCTACATTATCGAGCCAAGGTGATTTTTTCTCTCTCGATTTTTGACGTCCTGGCATATGTAAGTTTATATTCCCAAACAGGAAGTAGTGCCAAAGAGAATCACTGAGATGGAAGAAGCTTTGTCCAAACGCGATTTCTCTTCCTTCGCCAAGTTGACTTGCGCGGACAGCAACCAGTTCCATGCAACTTGCCTCGACACCTCTCCACCAATTTTCTACATGAACGACACCTCCAGAAGGATCATTGGTCTCGTGGAGCGCTGGAACAAGTCCGAAGGGAGTCCTCAGGTATTTTTCGATCTCGATTTCGTGACTTGTGGTTGATTGGTGTGAGAACTGCTAGGCAGCATACACTTTTGATGCTGGACCAAATGCAGTTATCTTTGTTCCCCAGAAATCTGGAGGAGCATTGCTGCATCGTTTGCTCTACGAGTTTCCCCCACCGGAAGGCATGAATCTATCAAGGTAAGACAGATTGATTTCTTCTTTCTCACGAATAGTAGTCCTAAGGCATTTGTTTGTGTGGTTTGCAGCTACGTTGTTGGTAGCACAGAGCTTTTGGAGGCTTTAGGCATTGATAAACTGGAAGATATTCGTTCCCTGGAGCGCCCTATAGAATCTCCAAAGAGAGACGAAGGACATGGAGAGCTTGCTTATCTAATTTGCACCCGGCCAGGGAATGGCGCTTCCTTGTGTGAATGATTTCAAGGAAAGACCACTTAGCCATAGCCTTCTCAAAAGCGGTTACCAATGGAGAATCCAATACAAAGGAGGACGACTGATTGATTCCAAAGCTTTTGTTGTGGAACTTGGGCCGAGATCTGGACACTCTTACTGGCTAAGGTTGTAAAACGTGAAACTTGTACTCTTACATTTGCAGTTAGATGTCAACGCTTCCTGTTCGTTCGGGTGGAACTTGTTGAGCTTATCTATATGCTGTTTATGTGTGGCTAGAGGCCGAACGTGGGGAGAGTTTACGAAGGGCCACGGTGTTTGATGTGTACCTTGCAATTGGATACATTTAGTGTTATTGATGATGTTATTATACTATTAAGAAAGGCTAGCTCTTACATGTGAGAGGTAACGTTTTCTGGCTCCTCCCACTGACTAATTCTTCCTCACAACTCGTACTTAGCAGCGAGCATACAGAGTTCTTCTTGGCTATGCACTTGCTTCATTGAGAGTTTCCGAGTTATGGCCATTAGGCAGCTTTCTAATGTGCAGCTACATAGGATCTTTGCTGGTTTGTCATCCCTGGAGTTTGATGTCCAGTTTAAAGAGTTTGAGTTTGAGGATCTTGATAAGTTGAATGGTTTGGATCGTGATGTTTGGGTGTCTGTCCCTGGAAGGGTTGAGTTGGATGAGAACCGGATGGCTATCCTAGAGCGTTTAGGAAAGAAGCTGAAACACCTCTCAGCATCTTATTGTGATGACATGTCCTTGCAAAGTCTCACCAGTTTGGCATCCTTGGATCTAGAGATCGACCAGAATTCTACGTTAGAAGGTCTGATTTGTGCTCTCCAGGCTCCATCTTGCTCCTGGCGGCACTTATCCATCAAATCTCCACAAAAAGGTACACTCATTCTAAATGAGCGCCTCTGTTCGGCTTTGACATCGGTTCCCTCCCTGGAGAGCTTGGAGCTGACAGTGGACGGGGGTAATATCCATGAAGAGCATGCTCTACAACTGCTCGTCCAACGGCTCGTCAATCCTGCGTGCAACATTTGGAGGCTCAGGCTCTATCGCCGCACACTTAACTCTCAGATCTTGTCGCATTTGGGCCGCACACTTCAAAGCCCAGATTGTAAGCTGGTTGACCTCGGCTTGGATGTGTACCAGCAGAAGCTCATTACCGTCGACAAGAGTGCCAGCGAGTTTATGACAGGTTTGAGAAGTAAGCATTGCAAGCTGCACCATTTGATGCTTAGAGGGGTGCAGAGCACTGGTTTCATTGGAGAACTTGGGAAGCTATGCAAGGACTCGGTGGTTCTCAACTCACTAGAAGTGCATTCAGGTTATTCTGGTTTCATGAACGAGGAAGAGAAGCTGCTATCTGTCATGGGTGAGCTTCTAACCTCAAGCCTCCGCAGTCTCGTCTTGGATATTGAACACGAGCCAGAAAACATTCGAGATACAAGCTTTCCATGCTGTAAAGGCCAACGGCTCCTGGAGTTGTTACCTAATTGCAAAATTCAACGCCTTGATATTGGTAAGCTGGATGGCCTGGCACAGATTGTTGAGTACCTCAACGAGAATTTTAATTGCCCCCTGGAGACATTTAGAACGAATTGGGACACCGATATTATGGCTACGTACTGCTCACAGATCATGGAGCGCAACAAGTTATATCGTATTGAGGGCCTTGCAGCCCAAAAGCGGGTGGAACCAACCATGGCCAAGCTTTTCATCTGTGGAAATTCTGGAGTCGGGAAGACTACAATACGGAAAAATCTTTCCAGACAAAAAGGTATCCTTCCCAAGTTGCAGCGCCATCTATCCACCTACGGGATTGATATGGAAAAGATTGAATTTGATAAGAAGACCCTGCTAATATGTGACTTGGCTGGTCAACCGGAATTCCATGCTTTCCACCACTATTTCATCAGAGGGAGCGACAAGGACCTCTTTCTAATCGTCTCCAAGGCTCCTGGTAAGGAAGATATTCGAACGTGGGAAGACCAACTTCAGTACTGGTTAAGGTTCATAGTGTCACACAGAACCTTGACCAAGCACAAACCAAAAGTTCTGATTGTGCTGAACTATTTTGAGGACAGTATCCCGCCACAAGACGGTTGGACGATGTCAGACCTGGCAAAGTCAAGATGCAAAGAAATGGTACGGCAGTACTCAAGTGTGATCGACTTTGGGCATGCTGAAAACAGCCTCTTCGGTTTGGTGGCCACCAAGGTCAAGAGCGTGAAAGTTTTGAAAGAGCACCTAAAGCTCAAACTGGATGAGCTGCTAACAAGTAGACCGAAGGTACCTGAGATCTGTCAAGCTGTCATTCTAGCCAAAGCAAAGAAATTTCAACAACAAAAGCTTATACGCATGAAGCACTTCAGGAGCAAGTTGGGCATTCAGGACCATCGACTATTCAAAGTCGCAGTGAGCCATCTGCATGACATGGGGGAGGTGATCTATTTTGATCAGGAGGTGGACGATGAAGACCAGGTTTTTCTCATTCTCGATGTTCAGTGGTTTGTTCGAGATATTATCGGAGTTTTCTTACCTCGCCAGAATAGGATGATCGACAACCTGCCAGCGGAGCAGCCTCCTCCCACTTGGATGCCGATAATCCAGGTCGAAGACATGCTTCCAAAGAAAGGCTGCACACCGGACGATCTTCCCTATATTATCACCTCGCTGAACAGGCTAGGAGTGTTGCTATTGGATCAGAAAACTAAACGAGCCATTGTCCTGTCACTCCTAACTGAGAGAATCCAATCGTGGTCGAATTTACCAGCCGGTTCGATGGCTGCGGATGACGACACCACCACTTTCTGGGGGAGGAGGCTCGAATGCAAGGATTCAGAGAAGATGCTGCTTCCAACAGGTATATTTACAATGCTACAGGTCAGGCTTGCGAGCTTATCATCCGCCTACACTGTGGGGCAAGGCTGGTGGCACCTGGGTGAGAACAACATTGAGATGATCGTCAAAGTAGGAGGCCAGAGGGGTCATTGGAACGACCGGCATTGGATCGACGTGCTAGCTTGCATACCTGAGGAGTCAAATCTCGACGAGGCAGGAAGGCTCTTCTTCAAAATTAAGAAATGCATCAGTGAGATATGTGGTGCGTACAACTGGGGCTGCCCGGCCATTGAGCTGGAAGAGAAGATCATCAAGCCAGAGTGCGTGAAGCTCTTGAACTTGGAGTTCACGAGCTCGCCTCCAGTTCAAGTGGTTCCGCTTGCCGAGGTCCTGGAGAAGAACTTGCTCTACAAGTATGCATGGCCTTCGGAAGATCATTGGAAGTTCGAATATAGTCAGGTGCTGAAGATGGTGTTGCCGGAAGAGCGGGAGCGATACTTTGCAACTCGTCTAGACCTCCTGGACGCCATCAAAGACGAGGTGCAGGAGTGTGTAGAAGCTGAAGATTTGGAGACAGCGAGTGCTTGCATTGATAAGTCGGAGGACATCACACTTCAGGATGCAGTCAAAATTCTGCAGGCGCAGATCAAAATTCTGGAGAGGCACATCAAGAATCACGTCACCAAAGAGGCCGACCGGGTCATTTCTCGAATCTCCAAGCTGGAGGAGAAGGTGTTGCAGAAACTGGCATCAGTCCAGCTGCAGAGTGATAAGATCATGTCCAAGCTGGCGTTGCAGTGGGACTCAAAGGAACCCAAGTATCCATACTTCGTCGACAACAAGAATATCTTGCAGCGGTTTTCATCCTCGGCTTTTGGTTCCAGTTGGAAGCTGCATTTCCTGTGCGAGTACGGTGGCTGCCATCCGGTGGAAGATCAAAAGGGATTTCCCATCAGAGTCGATCCCGAGTGGTGGACAAAGGCTGCTCCCGTGCTGATTCCTGCCCTCAAGATCTTATTCTTCGCGGGAAAACTTGCATTGGTGTCTACACTTGGGGTATCTTTGCCATCGCTGCCCAAGAGCGTTAAAGACGACGTATTCAAGGAGGTCGTGGGTAAGCTATTTGGAGCCATAGACAAACGTCTGGATGAGTCTCCGACGCATGAGAACCCACTACACAAAAGAATCCCCACGCTCGAGGAGCTGCAAGTGTTTTACAAGTACTTTCTCGGAGAGCAGAAACTGAGATTTGCTGCCGACTTTGGTCTCTTCCGCAACAAGGAGAAGGGCATCTGGGTCTGCCAGGAACACCTGCAATGACAAATGATTTCCGTTTGTAGAGCATCACAAGTTTGTGATTTGTGGGCAAGTATGAAGCTTTGGAAGTTCTGAGTGTACCTATTGTGATTTTATCTGAGTTCGTTCGCGGCAGAAAGAAGTGAGCAATACATCGGGCATGCAAGAGTCTGTCCAGACAAGTCCACTCCTACATTATCGAGCCAAGGTGATTTTTTCTCTCTCGATTTTGACTTCCTGGCATATGTAAGTTTATATTCCCAAACAGGGAGTAGTGCCAAAGAGAATCACGGAGATGGAAGAAGCTCTGTCCAAACGCGATTTCTCTTCCTTCGCCAAGTTGACTTGCGCGGACAGCAACCAGTTCCATGCAACTTGCCTAGACACCTCTCCACCAATTTGCTACATGAACGATACCTCCAGAAGGATCATTGGACTCGTGGAGCACTGGAAGGAAGTCCTCAGGTATTTTTTTATTTAATCAGATTTCGTTACATTGATGTGAGAACATTCCAGGCAGCGTACACTTTTGATGCTGGACCAAATGCAGTGATCTTTTCTCCCCAGATATCTGGAGGAGATCGTTTTCTCTACGAGTTCCCCGGAAGGCCTGGATTTCTCAAATTTCTCTTTTTATACGATCAGTAGTTCTAAGGCGTGGTGTGTAGCTATGTTGTTGGCACAGATTAGGCATTGAAGATATTTATTCCCTGAACCGCCCTATGGAATCTTCAAAAGAGAAATGAAGGATATGGAGACCGGCCAGGGAAGGGTGCTTTTTATTTATAGCTTTAGAAGAATGTTTGTGATTACCTAAAAACTCTGGAAATTAAATGACTAACTTAAATATAAAATCCATTTTGCTTTGCTTGCTTTTGCATCCATGGTTAAAAAAATACATTACTAAATGGTAAAGTTTCAGAAACTCACACTTGTCATTACCAGATAAACAAAAATTTCAAAGTTTGATATTTGCTTCCTTGCAAATATACAAATAAGTAAACACAAAACATTATGTAAAGATGCTGTTTAGTAAAGTTTGGTGGCAAAGCTATGCCAACTTTTTTAAACATTAGAGTTAGAATACTTTTTCAGCACACAATGCAAAATGGTAAACATTAAATTTTAAGTCACGTGATTGAAGACTTGTCATATAACAAGATCAGCCATTAAACTTATAGTAAGCATGCAAACTGTTGATATAAAAGTTTTTCAATATTTAAAGTATCCAACTCATGCAAACTCTAGTGATAAGAAATATTACAACCTTGATTACAAACAGAGAAAAGTTTAATAACAGAAAATCATAACTATAAAAATATATCTACATAATTAACATTAAAAAATGTGACTTAGAATGTATTAAAATTTAAAGCCTTGTATGCTTTTTCACCAGATTGTGTTAAAATGTTGCAAAGAATTTTAGGTATGGAGTCACATTGGATTACTATTATAGAGATCTTTTTAGCAGGGAATTTTTATTTTGCATTAAATACAATGGTAGAAGTCATCTATCTAGAGTGAAAAGGTTTTTTCTTCAACAACCATATCATGTGGAGTGTACCATTATTGGCAATGGTATACTCTTTAATAAACAACTCAACAAAATATTGAAGGATGTGATAAAAGTAGGATGGGTATATTTTAGTGAAGCTTATAGCATGGATGGTAAATTATTTTGTTGGAAAAGTTTAATAAAGTAATTATTCTAGATTCTTTCAAAATTTTAATTTTTATATTCAATTTCAAGAGTTCAATAGTAAACAAGTTTATGGTATATTGCCTATTTGACCCAAATGAGGTGAAATATTTATAGAGTAAATCCATTTAAATATTCTCTTCTTACTGCCATAATAATAGAAGATCCCCCTTATTGGTTTCTGCCTAAGCTAGTTTAGAAATCAACTATCTTATGTATACTTGAATTGATATCACAACATGATAACTCACTATATCCACTAGACACTCTCACTAATATGCTTTATATTTTGGTCCCATTTTAGTCTCATTGGTTATTTATGAAAAATGCCTAGATTTGCTAATTAGATATATCTATAGAATATAAAAATTGTCCTCAATACAATGGTATTGCTTTTAGGCCTAAATTTACAATCTGACACAATTCTATATTTAATATTTTATTTTGTCCCAAATACTATCTTTTAGGACTAGGGTGATATGAGGCACGTGGTTTTCACTTTTTACCCTATGGTGATTTACTATAGGAAAACTACGAAAAGGAATCTAAATCGTTAGACATGTGGACTAAGAGCAATATAGTGAAACTTAAACCCTTAAATATGTGCACCAAGAGTAGCAAAGCAAAACTCAAGTTTTAGGGCTTTGAGCCATTAAACAAAAAGATGGAGCCAAACTCTAGAGCATATAGTCAAAGTGTGAAAGAATCAAAACATAAAAAAACTTTTGAGCATATAACCCAATGAGCAAAGAGATATAATTAAGGAGTAACTTAGGAATAGTCTTAGAGCAAGTACCATCCTAATGCTAAAACTAGCATACAAAATAGAGCTAAATGGAGTTTTACACTATTTCAATATACTAATGGTCTAATGCGAGGATATAAATACTCCATTAGCTAATATGGTAGAACACTTAATTTTACACCCAAGCTAAACATAAAACAAGGATAGACATGTAGGCATGAGTTAGACTATGCTTTAAATTGGTCAACTATACATAACTTACCTACTATTGTTGTGAATATGACTTTAAGTATCAAAAGTTATCTATTAAATATCCTTTTGGATATTCTTTTATTACTGCCACAATGATAAGAGGTTAGTATTGCTAGACTTGTTATTAATCCCTCTTATGCTAGTGGAGTTAACTAGACATTTTGAGTGTACTTAGACAGGATGAGCATAAAGACGGAATTCCTATATACTATTAGCTTAAGCATACTTAGCCTAGTACGAAGTTCCCGTCTCATTATGTTTTGCACTGGCTAGTGACAAAAACTCTCGCGTATTGAGACTAGTCCCTCAATATCACTGGATGATAGCTTACCATGTCTACTAAACACCCTCGCTATCAGTCTCATTCCAGTCCTAAATACTATTTATGGAAAGTGTCTAGATTTACTCATTTGGCATATCTATGGAATGTAGAAATTGTCCTGAACACAATAGTATTCATCCCATGTCTAAATTCACAATCTAGATTTAGGGACATTCTATATTTAGTAAGTTTCAAGCTTGTCCCAGAGACAATTAATACAAACTAGTGAAAGGGTTGGAGTTGACTTTGGTTTGTTTAAACCTTAGTATGTAGTTTGTATGATATAGCCTAAAAGGGATGTTGCTTTCTTGAGGCTAAGGCAATTGAGTTGGATAGAGTCTGGAGTTGGTGTAAAAAAGTGGTCGTTACATTTTTCTAGAAAGGTGACCCTTGTGCTTTTCTTTTTTTAGTATTGTATTTGGTGGTAGGTTGCACTTTGCATTTCGTTAAACATTGTGAGAGTAGTGAATTCTTATTGATCTTGATTTGGTCTTGGTGGCCCTATACCTTGGCTTAAGATGGTGATGTCCAACTTAGTTGTTTGAGGTTAAGATGTTAATACCTTACTATAACTTTGTCTATAAGGAGGTTATGTACCAATATGAGTTTTCATTTTAGTTTTGACTAAGTGTTGGTCATGTATAGCTAGCCTCTTCAATGTATGCTTAGAGCTAACAGCTAAACGTGTTGGTGAGCTTATTGCAGTTAAATTAAATTTGAGTGGTTATTTAGTTCTTGTTTGTCCATGAACCTATATCTCATACTTGGGGTGTTACATTCATATTAGACAAGTATATGACTTGATGGCATGAGTTTAGTGTTTGGGTTTTGTGAAGGCAAGTTGAAAAGTGGTTGTTGGTTGCTTTAGACTTCGTTAAGGACTTTTGATACTTACTTCACTTGATGATAATTTAGCAATGATAGACTTGCTTTATCTGATAGTGTTGCGTAGGGTCATGTCATGGCTTACATGGTTTTTCTATGTTGGCATATCGATTCCTTTGTCAATATCATTTAATTACATTTAGTCTGTAGAGTTGGATTACATTGAATCTTGGATGTGGTGATTCATTTCTTGATGATGTGTTATTTGTATCTGAGTATTATTGAAGGATTAGTCTTGGATACTGATTAAAATATCTTCAACTTTGGTTAGCTTAGCTGTTAGAGAGTTTTGGGTGGTGATTCACTCTTGCTTTTTTTTAGCTTTGTTTTGGTGTTGATGGCATAGAAGTGATGTCTTGTTGTTGATATTATTAATGTTAAGATTTAAGTGAAATGAGATGTCTCTCCGTAGGATTGATATTAAGTTTCATTGGTCTCAATAGAGATAGTGTTAATGATTTGGCTATAACTTTGTGTTATTAGCATTTGTGCATTTGTCAATTAGCAACTGTATTGTGCAAATTAATTGAGTGGCAAGTTGAATCAGTTATGTTCTAGATAAGATTATTTAGTAGGGGTTGTGTTTTAGCTTTTTCTTGAAAAGTGATTTAATCATAGACTATATTAACTCTAGAAGCGGAAGAATTAGTGATCAATATTGGAATGTTTAAATCTTTATTGGATTTGAGTTGGAATATATTGATCATTAATGATTCTTTTTATGCTTGTTATGAAGTGAGTTATGTTTTGTTATAAACGGATTCATGGAGGATCGGTTTAGTGGTCACTTGTTGAGCATAATTTTGTTATTTTTGGCTTTTGGATTAATGCAGAAATACTCTTCATTAGCTTTGCATTTCTGAAGTTTAGCTTATAAATATGTTAAGGAGGATATTATGGGTTATACCATAATTTCTTCTTTAGCATTGAAGTTAGTTCATGCAATACTCATATGTAAAATAACAAACATAGATCATTAATTTTGGATTGATGCAAAAATACTCTTCATTAGTTTTGCATTTATGAAGTTTAGCTTATAGATGTGTTAAAGAGGATATTGTGGGTTATACCATAATTTCTTTTTTAACATTGAAGTTAGTTCATGCAAGACTCATGATCATTATTATACAAGATTTGGCTATAAACATTTTCGAGCTTTTAGTTCCTTGAGTTTTCATGCTTGTGGTTCATTTGTTAGAATTTGTTAAGGAAGGCATTCTGGCTCATTAGCTTCGTGTAAGCGACTAATTTTTCCATTTTACTTTAGTCACTTAACCGCACCTCCAACCACTTGGAGGAGTTTCATTCACAACCTCCATAAGTCCCAGTTAGGACTTGGGCTTGCTAGCCCCGAGAATGGCCTCCGTGCCACTCCACCTTTGCACTTAGTCCAAGTGCTCCACGTGTCCGATCCCATGACCGACACCCCAAGGTACCCCCGACATATTGGCCCGTTACGCTAAGGCCATGCCCATTCACCTTGGTCACACCTTTGGTCTAACGCCACCGGCATCATAGTCCCGTCTCTCAAAGACTGGGCCATCCGTTCGTGAGTGATCATCCCAGATCCACTCCTTAGCATCCCTAAGATGCCCGCAGATATGGGGAATAGCCTTCCCCGACATCTCTTTTCCAGTTCCTACCAAGTCCCTTCTCGTCCATGGCTGTGTTCGCCAATACTGCCACTGGATCAAGGCCCGCAGGCCCGACCACTAAGTCCCACTATCCTTTGGGACTTCCTCACCATGTGACCGTATCCTTGGTCACTGCATTAGAGGCCTACTCCTCTTCCCTTTCACCGTTTGG